ATGGTTTTCCCAGTAGTGATGAATGGAAGTGAGAGCTGGACCATAAAGAAGGCTGACGCTTTCGAATTATGGTGCTGGAGGAGACTCTTGAGAGTCCCATGGACTGCAAGAAGATCAAACCTATCCATTCTTAAGGAAATCAGCCCTGAGTGCTCACTGGAAGGACAGATCCTGAAGCTGAGGCTCCAATACTTTGACCACCTCATGAGAAGAGAAGACTCCTGCAAAAGACCCTGATGTTGGGAAAGATGGAGGGCACAAGGAGAAGGGGACGACAGAGGACGAGATGGTTGGACAGTGTTCTCGAAGCTACCAGCATGAGTTTGACCAAACTGCAGGAGGCAGTGGAAGACAGGAGTGCCTGGCGTGCTCTGGTCCATGGGGTCACAAAGAATCGGACACGACTAAACGACTAAACAAGAAGAAGAAGATGATAATTTACTGCATCTTGTTCATCCCTCAGCCCTGGTTCTTTGCCTTCTTTGCCTGCTCATGCCCGGATGCCTGAGACCTTAGAGCATGTCTGCGCATTGAAAAGGGGAGGTGGGGGGATGTTGCAAGTCTCTGAAGCAGAGGATGTTCTGCAGTGAAGCCTCCTCACGTCAGATCCTCAGCCCCTGACCTTTTTAGTCATCCAGGTGCACATTAGGTAAGGAGAGCTCTGATAAAATCAGTCTGGAAGATTAAAGGGCCGTGGATTTCCCGTAGACTGGAGCGCAAATTTACGTGCAAATTCCTCTGGAACAACCAAGTCTGCCAGTTGCAATCTTATTTTCATATTTGGGAAATGGGCAGTTGTGTGCACAGGTGAAGCACGCCAAACAAATTACCTTTGCATCTGCTGTGCTCTTTCTTGGTACTGACTTTGGCGTTGTTGTTGTTTTTTTAAAAAAAACTTATTTAAAAGGTTTCACATTCACAGTGTTCTTAACTTGCCAAATGAGTTATGCTGCCAATTTTCCCCTTCTTATTGCTATTCCTGCAATGGCTGTTTTGGGGAAACTGGTGTTATTTGGGGCAAGGGGTGGAAAAAAAGTATTAGGTTACAAAATGTGAGGTGGTAACAGAAATCCCACAGGTCCTCTCCAACAGAGAACTTTGCTTCTGGGTAAAGATGTACAGTGGTGCCTCGCAAGACGAAATTAATCCGTTCCACGAGTATCTTCGTCTAGCGGTTTTCTCGTCTTGCGAAGCAACCCTATTAGCGGATTAGCGGATTAGCGCTATTAGCGTTTTAGCGGCTATTAAAGGCTTAGCGGCTTAGAAAAGGGGGGGGGAGCGGAAAAAAAACCTCAAGACTCGCAAGACATTTTCGTCTTGCGAAGCAAGCCCATAGGGAAATTCGTCCTGCGAAGCGCATTGAAAACGGAAAACCCTTTCGTCTAGCGGGTTTTCCGTCTTGCGAGGCATTCGTCTTGCGGGGCACCACCCCCTTTTTCTAAGCCGCTAAGCCTTTAATAGCCTTTTAGCAGCTAAGCCGCTAAGCCTTTAATAGCCGCTAAACCGCTAATAGCGCTAATCCGCTAAGAGGGTTGCTTTGCAAGACGAAAAAACCGCTAGACGAAGATACTCGCGGAACGGATTAATTTCGTCTTGCAAGGCACCACTGTACATGATTGCACTGTCCGTCTACTCTATAGCATTACTTAGAAAAAGCAAAAGGTCCTGGCCAATAAGAAGGGCAGCGCTTTTACTAGGCGAACCAAAGTGTCATAAAATAGGAGACAAGCTTTTCAAGTTATCCAGAACTCTTCATGAAGGTGTATGTTAAACATCTTGCAAGCTATTTTGTAACGTTTTGGTTGCCCTTAGTAAAAGTATTGTTCTACTACGGATTTCGGAATCAAACAAGTTTTAAAGTACAGTGGTGCCTCGCAAGACGAAATTAATTCGTTCCGCGAGTTTTTTTGTCTTGCGGGTTTTTTTTGTCTTGCAAAGCACGGTGTTGGAAAAGTTTTGGAAAAGCTTCAAAAATCACCAAAGTCTTCAAAAACCTCAAAAAAGGCTACCACACCGCGTGCTATGAATTGCTCCTCGAAGTCAAGTCGCAACTGTATTAACGGTTTTAAGAAAAAGGAAACAAACTTGCAAGACGTTTCTGTCTTGCGAAGCAAGCCCATAGGGAAAATCGTCTTGCGAAGCAACTCAAAAAACCAAAAACCCTTTCGTTTTGCGAGTTTTCCGTCTTGCGAGGCATTCGTCTTGCGAGGTACCACTGTAACATCGTGATGGCAACTAGGATAATCAATTCATCCGTTAGGGTGTAGTGCCATCTTGAGGTAAAATGCCAGATTCAAATTTCTTTTCCCGTAAATCCAGGGTGCCTCCCGACTATCACTACTTTATAGGAGGGATTCAAGAGAATACTGCAACTGTAGGTTACATTAAAACGCTCTGTGGCCCTAGCAGAACAAATCCACCCTCTTTTTAAAATGGATTTTAAGTAAAGTTAAGTAAAGTGATGGAGAAATGAATTGAAAAGTGTGCAATATACCGTCAAATACAGTGGTACCTCGGGTTAAGTACTTAATTTGTTCCGGAGATCTGTTCTTAACCTGAAACTGTTCTTAACCTGAAGCACCACTTTAGCTAATGGGGCCTCCTGCTGCCGGCGCGCTGCCAGTGCACGATTTCTGTTCTCATCCTCAAGCAAAGTTCTTAACCCGAGGTACTATTTCTGGGTTAGCAGAGTCTGAAACCTGAAGCGTATGTAACCTGAAGCATATGTAACCCGAGGTACCACTGTAATGGTAAGAAGTGTCAATGGCACCCTGCAAGCAAATCAGGATGAATACTACCATATTTTTCGCTCTATAAGACGCACCAGACCACAAGATGCACTTAGTTTTTGGAGGAGGAAAACAAGAAAAAAAATATTCTGAATCATTGGTTTAGACCACAGCGCCACCCAGGTCCCCAATAAAGCACAAATGCAGATATACAGTTCTTATTGGCACATTGAAGTGTGGTTTGTGTGGCTGTGACCAAAACAGAGACTTAGGAGCAGGCATAGGCAAACTCGGGCCTCCAGATGTTTTGGGACTACAACTCCCATCATCCCTGACCACTGGTCCTGTTAGCTAGGCATGATGGCAGTTGTAGTCCCAAAACATCTGGAGGCCCGAGTTTGCCTATGCCTGCTTAGGAGAGTCCTCCTATATAGTCCATTTATTGTAGGTGCAGGCAAGGGAGCTGGTAAATTAATGGCTCGTGTCCTTGGGACACCTCTGGAACGTGGTCCGCTGTTAACACTGCATGTTGGAACTGAGACAAGGCGGAAAAATTGCAACACCCCTGCAATGTTATGCTTAGCAGCAGCAGACCAAGTGTGGAAGAACCTTTGGTCATCGTCCATATATTGCCAAACAGCATTGCTCTCGCCAGCCAGCCCCAGCAAACTTCCAACAGCCAGTTTCCACAGATCATAGGAAGTGTAGTTCAGCAACCTGGGGGTGGGCAAGTGGTCCTCTACACCTGAAATATATCACAGGATCCTTTCCACATACGACGATTGAGATTTTTAAAATGCGACTTAAAAATGCATTGGTGGAATTTTAAAGCAAAGTTCGTGTGCATTGTCCATAAAGTTGGTAGTTTAGAATTGATGTTGTAGCCCCCTCGTAAAATCCCACCGGGGGGGGGGCGTTGCAGCAAGGGTACACCCCACTTAAATTGCCACTTGAACCTTTCCACCTGGGTGGGATGTTTTCCACTCCAGCTTAAGCTACTTCTGAGGTTTTGGTTAGTTGATTGTGATATAGAAAAATAGGGGTGGTTGGCTTTTGCTGCCCAGCTCCTCAAGGGACTGAGTCCCCTAAATCCATGATCGGTCAGAGATGAATGGATGGAGGCAGGATGCAGAGAAATCAAGGCAGATCTTTATTTTTCTGTTGCAACAGAGTTCCTTCCCCTCCTAGCCAGGAGGCAAGAGAGACCCAGAACCCAGAAGAAAACCTATTTTTCAAGGGTTTTTATATTGGCGTGGAGAAGGACATCCGTGCTACAAAAAGTCAGAAATTACATCACACATAAGGTGGGGTTAATGTGGCTCAGGCAGGTCAAGGTGTGATGTCCCTGAGGATTTAACAAGTTTTGCATAGTTCCAGACAGTTTACACAAAACATTCGCATTTGATAAGACAATCAGGATGCCAGTCAGAGAACCCTCAATGCTGAGCATCTGGGCTAACAATGACAATTAATACCAAGGAGGCTCATAGATATAGGAGAGGAATCCCTTCAGGAACGTCCCCTGATTAATATCAGGCAAGGGGGATTAAGGAGGCAGAGGAAATATTGAGAGTCTTTAGGAGAGCAAGATGGTTTTTGGATTGCTCTCCTGTACTCTTTGTGGTCTAAACCACTGAGTCTCTTGGGCTTGCCAATCAGAAGGTCGGCGGTTCGAATCCCCACAACAGGGTGAGCTCCCGTTGCTTGGTCCCAGCTCCTGCCAACCTAGCAGTTTGAAAGCATGTCAAAGTGCAAGTAAATAGGTACCGCTCCGGCGGGAAGGTAAACGGCATTTCCGTGCGCTGCTCTGGTTCGCCAGAAGCGGCTTAGTCATGCTGGCCACATGACCCGGAAGCTGTACGCCGGCTCCCTCGGCCAATAAAGCGAGATGAGCGCCGCAACCCCAGAGCCGTCTGTGACTGGACTTAACTGTCAGGGGTCCTTTACCTTTTTTACTCTTTTAGACATGTGGTTTATATTCTTATGTGTGTTTACCTTGTGCAATTATCAACATTTCTTCTCTGTTTGAGACCTTTGAATTCCTATAACAGTTGTAACTCTTTGGGCAATATAAATCGACTAACAAATAACGCCACCACCACAGAGGTCTTGTGTTTCATTCACCCAGTCGGGTGATTCATATTTTTATAAAGAAGCCCACCTTTTGGTACAATAGTGCACAGACACTGGGTGGAATTCAAATGTTTTAAAATTATTTTTCGCTTTTAACTTTTTTTTAACTTCTTAATGATTTCATTGTATGTTTGTTTTATATATATATATATATATATATATAAAACACACATATATATATATATGTGTATATATATATATATATATATATGTGTGTAAGATGTGTGTGTGTGTGTATATATATATATATATATACACACACACACACATATACACATATATATATATATACATATACATATATTTGTTGTAAGCTGGCTGTGATAAATCTTTATAATATACATATACATCGGTCTATAAATATATTTTTATAAATAATAATAATAAACAAATACATAAGCACACCCCGCCCCCTCTCTCCCCTCAGCGCAACTGCAAATCAATCCCGACTGCTTTTACATCCCATTGGACAGAGAGCACCTGATTGGACCTGAGCAGTGATTGACAGGGCCTCGGAGGCCAACCAGGAAGGCGCGGGGACTGGCGGGGCGGAGCTAAGCTATTTTTTTAAAAAAAAAGCCGTTCGAAAGGCGACGCCTGCTGCGGATGTGAAGTTCCGGCTTCCGACGCTGGCCGCTTTCTGCTTCCGGGTCGCGGCTGCCATCTCTTCACCGCCGAGGGTGGGCGGGGCCCGCTTCCCCAGCCATGGCGGCGGCGGAGGCACCTGCTGCTGCTGCTGCTGTGGGGCGGGAGAGGGCAGAGGGGGGAGGGGGCGCCCCCGCCCCCCCCCAGCCGCCCCCCCCCCGCGGCCAGAGAGCAGGTGAGTGGTGAGCTGAGTGGCCGGCAGGGAAGGCCCTGCCCACCCCGACTCTTAGGTAGAGGAAGGGGCGCGGGAGGAGGAGGAAGTGACGCACAGGAAGCTGGCAGGGACTGGGGGGGTTGTTTCAGGTAAATTGGGGGCTTTCTAGGATTTAGTGGGGGGTGATGTAAACAAAGTTTGCCCTTTTCCCTTATGGGGTATCCAAGAGCCCATATAGGGTCCTTACATAGGTTCCCTATTGGTAGGAGAGAATAACAGAGGCCAACCAGAGAATATTGAGAAGCAAAGCAGCTAGTAAGCCTGATCTTTATTGATCTGTTGCAACAGGGTGCTCCCCTCACCCACAGGAGAGGAGGAGGAACGCAGAAAAATGGCACGCAAGGCCTTATAAAGACTTTTGAAATTGCCACCCTGTAGCTGAAGACCACCTCCAGAAACACCATGCATACATCACAGAAGGGGTGTAACCTAAGACCACCCCTCAGATACATCATACCTACATCACAGAAAAGGCAGTCTTAAAACAGAAATTTGAATGTTGTTTTTCTCCTGTCCTTGTTTATCTGGCAGGTTACTTGATTGGATTGCCTGGGGAGCCTGGCCAGTCTTTTGTAATGATAAATACTTAGTTCCTGGGCCATGTCACAGGCTCACACCCTATTCATATCTTAAATGTGTCCTTAAGACAGGATTTGTGAGCAAAGAGACAATGGGGAGGTTTCCCACTTTGACCTTGCAGAGAAAACATTTGGTCAGTTTAGGAATCAAAATGGTTCCAGGTTGGCCTTCCTGTGCTGAGCTATGTACGTGCTTGGTTGGTACACTTATGAACATTACCATATATCTAAGACCATAAAATTCCTATCACAGGGGGTAGAGCAAAAGTGGCTGATAATGGTGTGGTGAGTCTCTGGGAAAGAGGAAGCAGCTAGAAGAGGTACCTTATTATTTTAAGAAAAATACTATTATTATTTAGAAAAATACTACTATTATTTATTTATTTATACCCTGCCTTTTCCCCTGACAGGGACTGAAGGCAGATTATAAAAAAAATAAGAAAAACTAAAAATGGGGGAGTATCCTTAAAACACACACACACACAAAATTAAACTTTGGTAGAGTTTATACGTAGTTTCTATTACACACATGCATAGAATTGAAGTGTTGGGATGGCGTGAGTCATCTTAGTCCAGCCACCTGCCATGCAGGAATCTTTTCCCCATTGTGGGGCTCGAGCCCGTGACCCCCGAGATTAGTAAGAGTCTCATGCTGAATTAGAGTAAAAACCAGCACAGCGCCAGGTGCTGAAAGGGCAGCAGGATGGGGGTATGTTGACAGGGAACCAACCTACCATATTTTTCGCTCTAGGACGCACTTTTTCCCCTCCAAAAATGAAGGGGAAATGTTTGTGCGTCCTATGGAGCGAACGCAGGCTCCTTGGCTTCAGCAAAAGCAACACGAAGCCTCCAAAGCGCAGAGGGAGCGCTCCGGAGACTACGCGTTGCTTTCGCTGAAGCCTGGAGAGCGAGAGGGGTCGGTGCGCACCGACCCTCTCGCTCTCCAGGCTTCAGGGATGGCCGCCTGAAGTCTTTGGAGCGCAGCGGGACCTCGCGCTGTGCTCCAAAGGCTTCGGGTTCCTTTCACTGAAGCCGAGAGAGCAAGACTCTCCTGGCTTCAGGGATAGCCGCCTGAAGCCTTTGGAGCGCAGCGCGAAGTCCCGCTGCACTCCAAAGGCTTCAGGTGGCTGTCCCCGAAGCCAGAACAGAGAGACTGAGAGCTGTGCAGCATCTCACTGTTCTAGCTTGGGGATGCTGGGGCTTTATGGGGAAACCCCGGGCTTCCCCCTTCAGCCCCGACACTGATTTGATTCAGAATATTTTTTACTTGTTTTCCTCCTCTAAAAACTAGGTGTGTCCTTTAGAGCGAAAAATACAGTAATAGTTGAGCCGCCTCCTTGTGAGTGATGTAGTGTTACAAAAACAACACTTTAAAGGGAGAACACAAGGAAAATAAGGGTTGGGTGTGTCCTGCTCAGGTGTAGATTTTACTTCCGTCATATTATGCTGCACATGCACATCGTCTGCTCAGATCAGTAGTAAATTGCTTAGGTGAACTTGGAAAAAATAATGTCTGCACCAGCGCCAGTGTCATTCTTGCTTATAGAGTTGCTGCAGCGTTGTGTTGGATTTATTGATTTGGACTTTGTATCACACAGTTCTGGTAAGCAGTTGAAAGCGGCTTCTATGGCAAAAAAAAAAAAACCATCATAATAAATGACAAACAGCAGTCATCAGTTTGAAAACAAGCAATCGTGATGTAGGAATGCAGTGGTGTGGCAGGTGTCTAATGGCGCAGTGGGCTTCATGGACAACACACATGGAAAAGATGGGGAAATATAACTTCCCCCCCATAAGTATTGACCACACAGACCATCATGTTTTAAGAATCCTTTGTGCAGCCAAAACTTACTTGCTTCGTACCACAGGGTGGCTACAGTAGTCAAAGCACATTGCAGGCAAACTGTCCAAGAATCCATTAACAACCAGACTTGGAGACCACCTCACAGAGAATCAGACTTGCAACACCTCCCAGGAATGAGTGGCAAGAGATTTCCTCCCTACAACATTTTACTGGCTCTGAAAAATATACAGCAACAGTGAGTGAAATCTTAAATCTCATCCAATACACCCACTAAAAAAACCCGCAACTCTTCAGAAAGCAAACATTTGAAAAATATCTTAAAACACATCATTTGAGTTAGAAATTTCTTTTGGCCCATATACAATCATAAAATTGAAGCGTTGGAAGGGATCCTGAGGGTCATCTAGTCCAACCCCCTGCAATGCAGGAATCTCAACAAAAGCATCCATGGCAAATGGTCATCCAACATCTGCTTAGAAACCTCCAAGGAAGGAGAGTCCACCACCTCTCTTTTGAGTGTTGAGCAACCCTTACCATCTGAAAGTTCTTCCTGATACTTAATCAGAATCTCCTTTCTTATAACTTGAATAAATTGGTTCAGGTTGTGCCCTCCCATGCAGGAGCTTGCTCCATCTGCCCTTTAGATATTTGAAGATGGCTATCATATCTCCTCTCGGTCTCCTCTTATCCAGGCTAAATATAGCCAACTTCCTCAATCGTTCCTCATGAGGCTTGGTTTCTGGACTCTTGATCATCTTGGTCTCCCTCTTCTGCACTCATTCCAGCTTGTCAATATCCTTCTTAAATTATGGCACTCAGAACTGGGCACAGTATTCCAGGTGCAGTCTGACCAAGGCAGAATAGAGTGGTACTATTAATTCCCCTGATTTGGACACTAGACTTCTGTCGATGCAGCCTAGAATAGCATTAGCTTTTTTTTGCTATTGCATCACACTGTTGACTCATGTTAAGCTTTTGGTCTACTAAGACCCCTAGATCCTTTTCGCATGTACTACCGGCAGGCCAGGTGTCCCCAATCTTACATTTGTGCAGCTGGTTCTTCCTGCCTGTGTGTAGAGCCTGACATTTGTCCCAACTGAAATTCATTCTGTTAGTTAGGGACCAGTTCTCCAATCTGTTAAGGTCATTTTAAGTCCCAATTCTGTCTTCAGTGGCATTGGCTACCCCTCCCAGTTTGGTGTCATCTGCAGATTTGATTAGCCTCCCTCAATGTCTTCATATAATGTTGCTTCATACTACATCAGACACTTGGTTCATCAAAGCCTTGTGGTATCTGCTTTGGCTTGGAGTGGTTCTGCTATCCAGTCCTGCTATCCAAGTTCCTCTTAACTGGAGATGCCATGGAATTAAATTGGTAATTTTTTTTCATGCAGGGCATGTGCTTTACCACTGAGGTATGTCTCTGCCACCTTAACAGCTGATCTATGGCATTACATTATTCATGTGGTCTTTGAAGATGGACGGACCTTAGTTTGTATCACACGTGTGATGCCTTACAGAAAACATGTATGCCACTTACGGCAAGAGAGGTTTGGTGTAGATTCCAAATAATTGTCAGAGTTTGTACCTCTCCTTTTGAGTGATTGGACTTTGTGTGTGCTTCAGTGAGACATTTAAAATCTCACTCACTCAGATTGTCACAGCTTGTGAGGTCATAAATCCTTATTCATATCCCAGCAGATTTCACTACGGCCTTTAGGTATGGATTTTTAATTTTTTCTTTTTGATTTCTAACTTCCGTTCTCATTATTTAAAACAATGAAAATACAGAGACAAGGGCAGTAGAATTTTGTCACTATAATTAAATTTGCCACTTGTTCCTTTCCATCTCTTCTCTTTCTTCAGTTGAGCTCATTATACCTAAAGAGGAATGAGAAGTGATGAGCAAGGCTTATGCTATTCACACTTAGCAACAAGCACGCCCCATTGAATTCTGGGGGTTTTGAGTTGACCTGCCTAGGATTGTGCTGCAAGTAGATTCATCTTTAAACAAATACAGTTCTCTCATGAAGTAACTTGCACCAGAGAGCAATTTTAAACATCCCCAGGAGTTTGCATGCACCAAGGGATTTTTGACTTTCCCCCTATAAACCATCTCACATACACACTATTACAAACTGGTTTTGAGACGCCCTGCGGTTTTCACAGGGGTTTGCCATGCAGTGAAAGTTGTTGGCTGTGTAGGAAAGAAATTCTTAATGTTTCCTTGAGCACATGGAGCTAGTCCTAGGATAGCCAGTGTAGTGAGATGTTGTGAATGTTATTCCTGAGCTGAGGCTGCTGGAGTCCATGACATCTAGCGAACACAAAGCTGGCTTTCCTTGAACAAGTCTTCCTGCTTACATATCATCAGGATCCAGTGTGCTTGAGCCTCTGTGTTTTGCCCTAACAGCTAATCCAAGTACAGTAGTACCTCGGGTTAAGAACTCAATTCGTTCCGGAGGTCCATTCTTAACCTGAAACTGTTCTTAGCCTGAAGCACCACTTTAGCTAATGGGGCCTCCTGCTGCTGCCACGCTGCCAGAGCACGATTTCTGTTCTCATCCTGAAGCAAAGTTCTTAACCTGAGGTACTCTTTCTGGGTTAGCGGAGTCTGTAACCTGAAGCGTATGTAACCCGAGGTACCACTGTATACATTTCCATTCAAAGCTGGAGATTCTTGAAATATCTGCGCTCCCGTACTGGTCTTTGTAGATTAATTTTCATAGCTCATCTCAAACAGATAATGAGGGTGTTATCTGTGTCTGAAAATACGTTCACTGTACAAATGGGGGGGGGGGACGACAAGCATCAATATTTAGGCAGGTACACTGAGGCTGAACATTACTGGCTCTATTTGTGAGTAAAATGTCCTGAAGATGAGTACAGTGTGGATCCTTCATGCGTTTTTTTATGAACCAATGAATAAAATTTCTATAGACTCCCATTCATCCATCAAAGGTGTACACTGCAGTCCTGATGAAAGTCCCTTTCTGTTTGGCATGGGAGGGAAGTTTGCATTGGTGCCAGTCGGATTTATGTGTGCCAAATAGGATTTGGAGGCAGTGACCCAATCCTGGTAACCCCTTCCTACACCTGCAATTTAATGTTTTGAAAAGATTCACCCAACCACACATTGTAATGTAATTTGGCCTAAAGTGCGTGGAGGTGTGACATGACTACTCTTGCAATATTTCATATAGGCCAAGGTGGTCCAACCTCTCAGACCAAGTGGGCCGCAAGAGTACTTTGACATAGAACCCGGGGGCCGCACCCTGAATGAAATTTCCATGTCGTAAATTAAAGTGTTCACAATACACAGTGGTACCTCGGGTTAAGAACTTAATTCGTTCTGGAGGTCCGTTCTTAACCTGAAACTGTTCTTAACCTGAGGTACCACTTTAGCTAATAGGGCCTCGCGCCTCCGTCGCACAATTTCTGTTCTCATCCTGAAGCAAAGTTCTTAACCCGAGGTACTATTTCTGGGTTAGCGGAGTCTGTAACCTGAAGCGTCTGTAACCCGAGGTACCACTGTAGTTAATACTATTTAATACAGGCAATTAATATATTTAAGGGTAAGGACTCCCAAGCATAATGAGACCTACTCCCGAGTAAGTATGCGCTGAGTCAGGTTGCTGTGCTACTATCCATAGAACAGGGTTGCAACTCTGTGCACACTGACCTGGGATTAAGCCCTGCTCAGGTAAAATGCAGGGCAAACCTCATGCGCTCCTACTCAAAAGCAAATGCCTTTAAGTTCACTGAGTCTTACTCCCAGGTAAATGCATAATGTGCAGGGCTGCAGCCTTAAATATATATGTAGAGTTATCCAGTTGTCCAATACCAGTGTAGGGGAAATACCTCTCTCGCATTAAATGCATTATTATTGTGATTACAGTGGTACCTGTAGGTACAGCAGGTTACGTACGCTTCAGGTTACATACGCTTCAGGTTACAGACTCCACTAACCCAGAAATAGTACCTCGGGTTAAGAACTTTGCTTCAGGATAAGAACAGAAATCGTGTTCCGGCAGCGCGAGGCCCTATTAGCTAAACTGGTGCTTCAGGTTAAGAACAGTTTCAGGTTAAGAACAGACCTCCAGAACGAATTAAGTTCTTAACCCGAGGTACCACTGTACTTTGTTTCACAGTGCGGCCCAGGGGTGGGGAGGGAGTTGGCCCATTTGGCATTGCAGAGGTTGCGGGAGACACAACAAGCACTTCTACTGCTTGTTTTTGTGTGTTCCCCACAGCCACAGCAACAAAAGCCGGCTATTCAAGCCACTTTAAGAAGTCCTGAATGTTGCCGACAAACACGACCTCGAGGGCTGCTTACAGCCCCCAGGCCGCATATCAGACCACTCTGATATAAGCTGTAACTCTGATTTGTAGTAGGAAGAGTCTTTCATTCTGAGTATTCCTGCATTGCAGAGGGTTGAACTAGATGACCCTCAGGATCCCTTCCCACTCTACAACTCTGTTATTCCTTCTTGTAGGTGGTTGTAAGGTTAAATGGAGGCAGGAGGAGGCCTGTTCTTTCCTGACGTTTCATTCCAACCATGTGTTATGTCCCAGCAGAACAATCTTCTGTTTGGGGTTAGTAAACAGGCAATTTCTCTCTTTCTCTAATCTTCAAGAGACTGTGTTTAAACTGCACAAAGCAGCAAACTAGGGGAACGATTGTGATTTAAGAGCTGAGTCGTGTGCCGTTCTTCCAGGTTCATACACACCACAAATTGTCACCCCACTGATCTGCAGTGACTCTCCAAGGTTCTCCAGCAAATGGAACTCCCAGACCTTCTAACTCACATTGTTTAGCTGGGAGTGGCATGGATTGAGCCCGGGAACTTATTCATGGAAAATATGTGCTCTTCTACTGGGTTTAATGCCCGGATGCTGAGGTCCAGCGCCGAGGGCCTTCTGGCAGTTCCCTCATTGCGAGAAGCAAAGCTACAGGGAACCAGGCAGAGGGCCTTCTCGGTAGTGGCGCCCGCCCTGTGGAACACCTTCCCATCAGATGTCAAAGCGATAAACAACTACCTGACATTCAGAAGACATCTTAAGGCAACCCTGTTCAGGGAAGTTTTTAATGTGTGATATTTTAGTGTATTTTTGGTTTCTATGGAAGCCGCCCAGAGTGGCTGGGGAAACCCAGCCAGATGGGTGGGGTACAAATAATAAATTATTATTATTATTATTATTATTATTATTATTATTATTCCTCGAGCAGGAAAATGTATTTTCCTGTACAGTGAGTTGAGGAGTCATTATCTTGCACAAGTTCCTCTCTCCACCAATTCTCCACTCAAAACAAGCTGAATGCTTACAGTGCACAAATTATATATGCGGCAATATATGAGACAACTCATAGGCTCAAAGCCCTGAGCAAAATGCCACTGTGCCACTTTGACAGGCAATAAACATAAGCTCAAATTATGAGATGGAATGCAGGAATGCCTCATGTGAAATAACTCTCTCACTCCGCATTAGACACCAGGAAACTTGCGGCAGTGGTGCTAGTGTGCTGCTGAACTTGTGCAAAGTACAGCAAAAGGTGGGAGACAGATCCTGCCGCCTCTACTCAGGACCAGCAATAAATGGCTGGCTAACACATTGGACTGGAATTTTTGTGAACTGATGTTAGTGGGACATGAGTATATCGAAGCAGGACGAGAAAGAATTTGAGGCCTTATGTCATGGCAAAATCACTCCAATACTATTTTCTTTCACCAGTTTCACACAGTGAATCTTTTCATCGGTGTTTCTACAGCTGGCATTTCCCATGTATGGAAAAAAATATGCAAGGCCCCCTGATGTGGTAAATAACTGCTCTCACCGCATGGGGTACATTCATAAGAAATATACACCACGTGAAATTGCTGAGACAAAAGCTAGCGGGAGCTAAGCAAAATGAAATGGATTGCAACCCAAATACAGTGGTACCTCGGGTTACATACGCTTCAGGTTACAGACTCTGCTAACCCAGAAATAGTGCTTCAGGTTAAGAACTTTGCTTCAGGATGAGAACAGAAATCGTGCTCCGGCGGCACAGCAGCAGCAGGAGGCCCCATTAGCTAAAGTGGTGCTTCAGGTTAAGAACAGTTTCAGGTTAAGTATGGACCTCCAGAACGAATTAAGTACTTAACCCGAGCTACCACTGTAAAAGGGAGACAACATGGCCGAAAGCAGGATCCACTCTAAGCACCGAAAGCATTTTTGAGCTTACTTTAGAGTTGTTGACAAAGATTCTCCAAACCAAGCTCGAAAACTAAATTCGGAGGCTGTTAAAAGGCTACCACAAATGAGAGATGAGTTTTTGGAGCTGCAGGGTGTATTCTCCATCCCATATGAGAATCTGAGCTGCGGAAGAATTAGGGGCTCGTTTTCCTGGCACCTGCTGTTCCCCAGACCCACAAAACACACTTTCCTCCTAACTTTTACTCTTCAAACAGCAGGAGAAGCAACAGCCAGGCCATAAGAAGGATTGAGGGGGGAAGAGTTTCCTGAGATTGTCTTCATAATCTAGGTAACACAGCATTAGGGTGCAAAGTTTAGGGGAGTTAAGGAGACATAGTTTTTGTGAGGACTCCTGCAATTGCAGTAATGTCTTGTGATCCTCTGCTAACTCAAAGCAACCAGGGCATTGTATAGAATGAGAGCCCTGCTGAATCAGACCAAAGAACTTTCAAGTTCAGCATCCTGCCTACAAGAAGCCTAGAAGTCTGAGGGCAGTAGTCCTCCCTGTAGCTGGTATTCAGAACCCCCAACCCTTCCATCTTGGTTCCACTTCTGCATGTAACACGAGGGGTGCAGGGACCGGTTGGCAAAAAGATCTCGGATATTTTCGAAATTAATCAGAGGCAAGCTTGGGCCTGCGCACCCACCTCCAGTTTAAATCCATTAAATGTCAAAGCTGCTTGGTGAAGCAGATTATCCGTAAGTGTACGTTTATAAGCAACATTTAGGGTTTGGACATACAGTGTGTAACCTCTGGTTACGTACATCAATGGATGCCAAAGGTTCTGATCTTGCAGCTGCTGGAAGGGAACTGGGCTACGTAGACCTGAAGCGCCACTTAGGTAAAGGTAAGGGACCTCTGACCATTAGGTCCAGTCGTGACCGATCTCTGGTGTCTGCAGTCCTGAATCTTAGCTTCATTGGCCGAGGAGTCAGCGTACAGCTTCGGGTCATGTGGCCAGCATGACTAAGCTGCTTCTGGCGAACCAGAGCAGCGCATGGAACACTGAGCGTACCTGTCACCCGAGCGTACCTATTGTATCTACTTGCACTTTAATGTGCTTTGAACTCTAGGTTGGCAGGAGCAGGGGACCGAGCAACAGAGCTCACCTGTCGTGGGATTCAATCGTTGACCTTCTGAACGGCAAGTCCTAGGCTCTGTGGTTTAACCCGCAGCGCCACCTGCATCCCCATACCTTGTTCATAACTGCTGAACCATGGTTTGCCATGGTATTCAAACCAGACCAATGTTGATGTGAAGAAGAATATGCGAAGCTGAATTAAAGTTTTAATAATTAAAAGAATTAAACATGGCAATTGCCTCAGGAGCATGGCATGAGTATTTACAAAATCTGCATAAATTTGCATACAAATAATACAGTAATCTTAAAGCATTCTTTCTTGTTTTAAAATGAGGCATACCACATGTCACCACATGTGTCTCTTGTGTGAGAAGGGAAGTGGAATGATGATCCCTGTTTAATTCATTGAAATGTTTTTGTTTCCTAAGTGCCCAATTAGTTAGGGCCAGCTTGTCAACTGATCAAAAAGTTTTTAATTAATCTGATGTGAATGTGCATTTGTAGATTGGCGCCTGAATGTTCCACTCTGCAACTCTGCCCTGTGTTTGGTTGTTCATACGTAACCTTGCAGAATAAGTACCTACTTGGGAGTGAGCCCAGCTGGTTGGACTGAGATGGCTTAGTTGACCGTGCATGACAATCTCAGGGTTGTGGGTTCAAGCTCTACGCTGGACAAAAGATTCCTGCATTGCAGGGCGTTGGTCTAGATGATCCTCAGGGTCCCTGACGACACTGCAATTCTATAATTTTAAATTTAGTGGGGCTTACTTCTGAATAGACTTTGCCGAAGTAGATTTGAGCAGCTACTAGCGTTCATACCTGGCTGATCTTGGGGGGAAAACTATATTCTGGATAATGATTTAGAACGTGTTTTTACAAGCAAGTCCTCACGTTCGGGTACTTTATTTTAAATTTGAAACTTAAATTTTGATTTATGTTCGTTTACAGAAAGCCATTGACTCCCATTGAATCTTTATCCATGTAAATGGATTTTGGGCTTCAGCTGGATATCGTCACATGTTGCCTCGAGACATGTGCACAGAAACCCACATAAGCTTAGATACTTAGAATTAGCCAAACTGACAGACATAATAAGGCAAAAACCAAAAAGTGAAGTAAAAAAAGAATGAGAGTGCCTAAATGAATACCTCAAAAGTCAAGGTTTGAGGACAGAAATCTGGCTGAGTCTGGAATAACCTTGTGAAGGGAAAGGATATGAAAGAGGGATTTATATCTAGATGTTAGGATAGAGATGATAAGGAAAACAGGAAGACACAATGAGAGATAAAGGAGGTGCTGTGGGATTGGTGGAAGTCTTGTTTTAGTGTCTTCTTGTTTTAGTGTTTATAATATTAACTTGTAAGATACAGATTTGTGGTTTTTTTGCTTTTTTGTTGTTGCTTTCGTTTTCGAATGTTGATTTTTGTGTATTGTTATTTTTCGATATCTTTTGTGTTGTTGTGTGGAAAATACTAATAAAATTTATTTTAAAAAGAAAGAAACCCACATAAACACACTGCTCCCCCCACTGGTTCCCATGTTCATTCTCTTCCTCCACTTGCTGTGGGTTTTTCTTTTTTTATATAAAAGTGTTCTGCGTGGTACAGCATGCAGGAGAGGAGTTGGGGCAGGCAAAACAAAGATGGCTGCCAGAAGCAGCCATTCTGTTAATCAGCAGCATCCTCTGCCTTAGGATTTGCTGAATGGTTAGAACAGAAAACCCTGCCAAAAACATGAATAGATTGCCTTGATAATGCCACATTATCTTCATTCTGGCTGCTGAGCTCTTAGTGTCTACGGTTAAGTGTCCAAACATGAAATCAAGTTTTCTTCCAACATTCCTCCACATTCCCCACTAATTCTGTCTTCCCGTGTGTCTTAATTTTTCATCCTTTCCCTAGTGCTTTGAAAATGGACCGCTTTGTACACATCATAGCCTGATCTTCTCATAGTACGAGGTGGATGGGAGTCCACTGTCAGATAACAAATCCTTTCCCCTTGCGCCACCACAGTCTGCATTACAAGCGGGGACCATTTTAGGCATGCCCAATTAACACGCAGTCGCCAACGCATGGGTCCTTTTGGACCCAGAAGAAGGCAAAACGGGCTTGCTTGCTTATATGCACTCTGCCAACGTGTGGGGTCCGAGGACCAGGAACAGAACCCCTGCACAAAATGGTCACCACCTGCATTATGGCTAAACCTCCACCCATTAGCTTCACTGGGTCTACTCTTAGTTGTATGCAATCCCTTATGATTGCTTTGGGAAATACAAGTAGCACACCAGTGTTTTCCACAGCAAACACCTAACATGTAGACATTGCAGATAAGTGTACATCCTTCTTTACATCACTTTTCACATATCTAAGCAGCACCTATTCCCCACCCCAGCAGCTGTAATGAGTGAAACTAGTTTAATTCAATCTCCTCCACTGGGACAAAAGTTGCCTGTATTGCAAAATCTGCCACAAATCTCCAAGGTCCAGTTCAGATGGTCCTCAAGAAGCAGAAATCCTTACCGTGCTTGAACTTTGTCCACAATGCCCAAGGGCCACTTAAAATTCATTACAATTTCCTAAATGCCAAAAGTGATGGGTTTTGTAACGTAAGGTTTGTCCTCTCTGCATCTGCCTGCCTTTATTAACCCCTGAGGCTGTGCTGGCCTGTAAGGAAAGTAGAACCTACAAAACCCACAACTGGACAATACCTTTAATAAGACACACCAAACAGTGTCCAAACTTTTGAGTTCTGTGTATCTCTTAATTGAGCTAGAGGCTAAGCAGAACACGGGTTGAAGGATTAAGTAGAAAAATAGAAGAAGAAGAAGAAAATAGGCTGGACGTTACAGCCCGGATGTTATAGGAATTAGACTAGGGCTGCTTCGAGATGGACACTGTTTTGCCAGTTGGATTCACACGCAGACCAACAGATTTGGTTAAAGTGGATTTGTCACTTGTGCACACACACCCTCAAAAGAACAACCCAGACTTTTTGTAGGAAGAAAAGTGAGGGATAACAACTCCTTGATAAGACTTAACTTCTCTACAAACAAATCAGGATAAGTGTTCAGTAAATAGGTCCCTTAGTTCCAAGATCAAAATTGTGGGCTGAATTAGTCTCCACTAAACACTAAAGGTAATCAGATTACTATCTGCTTATTGACGGCTATATCCTTAATCATTCATTTAGATGATACTTTGGATGAAGTGACAAGGAAAGAACTATGCACAGACACTTTCTGCAAAGTTTGTGGAGCTGTACTGCAGTTTGAATCGCAAAGGGCTGCACACTATGAGGTAAGCTTTTGGAGCGGAATATGTCGGTTGTGTTTCCAGCACACACACACCCCTTAACTCCTAGCAAAGGATGGTTCAATGTTTGCCAGTACAGGCTCAATTTCCTTGGGAGGAAAGTTCACTAGAGAATTGTAGCATTTTTAGAATATCTGTTCGTTTATAAATATTCAAACTGAGTAGGCAGACACCCAGACATAGAGTGTTGCACTTTGAAACAGTTCATTTATTTTATTTGTTTATTAAATTTGTTGGTTGCTTTTATCTTGCCCAGGGCAGCCCAAAGCAACTTACAAACAAACAACAAACATAGATAGATAGATAGATAGATAGAGTAAAACCAAGGGGTTTTCTCCAATAATAATAATAATAATAATAATAATAATAATAATAATAATAAAAATAATATCTTTATTGTCATTGCTCCTTCGGGACAACGAAATTACTTGACTGCTCCATAAAAACACTAATTAAACAATACAGTATAATACAGCAAGGGAGATTAGATGACTTTCAAAGTCCGGGCTTCCCATTCAGGGCCGAGATCGCTCTGGAGAAGAAGCTGTTCTTAAGACGGCTCGTTCTTGTCTTCATCGTCCTGTATCTCCGTCCCGACAGCAAGAGCTCGAAGAGACAGTGACCAGGATGCGATGGATCTTTTACTATGTCCAGTGCCTTCCTATGGCACCTTGTGGCATAAATCTGCTCTAAGGTGGAGAGTGGGCAGCCAACAATGCTCTCTGCTGCCTTAACAACCCTGCACAACCCCATCCTGTCCTGGGTAGTACAGCTTCCGTACCACACACATAAGCCATAAGTGAGCACGCTCTCAATGGCACAGTGATAGAAGGCAAGCAGCAGTTTCTGCGGAAGATGGTTTTTCCTTAGTATTCTCAAAAGTACAGTCTCTGCTGCGCTTTCTTCACAAGCCCCTTGTGTTGACACTCCAGGACAGATCCTCTTGTAATTCAATGCCCAAAAATCTGAACGTTGTTACCCTCTCCACACAGACCCCATCAATCAAAAGTGGCTGGACGTTGCTCTTCTGTCTCCTGAAGTCCACCACAAGCTGCTTTGTCTTCCTTGTATTTATGAGCAAGTTGTTAGCTCTGCACCACTCTGTCAGCTGCTCCACCTCATCTCTAGGCAGCATATTGGAGGGGCTGTCTCCTCAAAGCCACCTGCAAAAACTCAGACTTGTCTCTGTGGGTTGCAATCCAAATCATGCCCACAAACGCCCTACTTCACCCTTGGCCGGTAAGTCTTAAGAATCTCCGTGAGCTTGTAATCAGCGGCCAAAATAGTTCATTGAAGAAACCTGTTCTAGCCATCTGTGCCCTTTGAAGAAATATCTCGGCCCATTGGTAAAAGATCAAGTAACAAGTTACATCATCGCCTGACAGCCATAACGATATTATCCCATGTAAGATGCATATTCATGCTGTCCTGCATTACAGTCGCTTCTCCTAGGTCTGAATACATGTTAATATAGGGCCACAACTATTAATTTTCTTGAGATGCACACCCCAACCCACGTAAAATATTTGTCTTGATTTATTGCTAATAACTGGGACGCTGGTGGCCCTGTGGGTTAAACCACAGAGCCTAGAACTTGCCGATCAGAAGGTCGGTGGTTCGAATCCCCGTAACGGGGCGAGCTCCCGTTGCTCGGTCCCTGCTCCTGCCAACCTAGCAGTTTGAAAGCACGTCAAAGTGCAAGTAGATAAATAGGTACCGCTCTGGCGGGAAGGTAAATGGCGTTTCCGTGTGCTGCTCTGGTTCGCCAGAAGCAGCTTAGTCATGCTGGCCACATGACCCGGAAGCTGTATGCTGGCTCCCTTGGCCAATAAAGCGAGATGAACGCCGCAACCCCAGAGTCGTCTGCGACTGGACCTAATGGTCAGGGGTACCTTTACCTATTGCTAATAACATTGTTTTGGCCAGTGAAACCAACATATTAAAGGCATGGGATCCATTTTTCTTTATCCCGCGCCACTTTGATTTAATCCCTTCTCTAAGCCAGCTTGTTAAAGTTTTCCCCTGAGCATTTTAGCATCGGCTGCTGTGGACATTCTGAGACAAGTTAAGTAGCCTCTGAACTGTCTGCGTTGTCATGCTCCCTTCTCTCCCTTCTCCTTGTCCTGCCTGGACACTTGAGCCTCTGCAGGCACATTGCCTGGGGAAGCCCTGCACCAAACAAGACAAGAAAGGTGGAGGAGCTGTGCTAGGCCACCAAAGAGCTCTTCCGTGGCTCCCATTCATTCTGATGGGGCTCATACGGAATAGCTTCTGTAAGGAGAGTTGCAAGCCGTCCTGCATCCCTGCATCCTTGGCCACTTTTGGGATGGGAAGAAGAAACTCTCTAGCAGAGCTTAGGTAGTGGTCAGGCTGGCAGAGGAGGAGACAGTCTCGCAAGTATCCAGGGTCAAGCTATTTAATGCTTTAGAGCTAACCGCAAGCACTTTAAGCTGGCAAGCAATTGCTGCTGCTGTGAAATGGGGACGATATTCTCTCACGGCTAAGGAATTCTCTCTCTTTTAAAAAAATAATGTTTATTAATTTTTCATTAATAACATTGCAATTAATAACGTTTCATATCATGCTACATCATATAAAAAATAAGAAGGCCAATTATCTATTCCAAATTAAATAATTTAATGGGACTTCCCATGTTCTGGCTGCTCCAGAGAAAATCTTTTGCTTTTGTTCCTGCGTCTTCTCCCAATATCATAGTTCCGATCTTAACCCCTTCTTATCATCACAGTCACTGGTATGGGACTTTTCCATCATACTTAAAAAGTCCATATTATGTTGGCATGCAAGAGGGATTTTATTCTTCTTATTATTCTTCTGGCTAAGGAATTCTCTAAACATTGCAGTTCCCCAAGTTTTTTTCAAAGGTATATTCCAGCCCTTACTCATTTTATCTCAAAAGAGAATCCCAAGGGGCATCCTGATATAAAACCAATCCTTCTGTTTTCCAGGGTAAAAGGCACGCTCAGAAAGTCCGGCTTTATTTACAGATGCATAGTGAACAGAAGGATGGGCAGGAGCCCAGCAAACAGAAGTTACAGTATGTGAATTTCCAGGTAATGTTATCTCATCCTCAGCATAAGCCTGGCAGGCATCAGAGATTGGGCCGACAGCCAGTTTTGGGAAAACTTTAACTACCTTTCCTGTGCCTGTCGCCATCAGAAACGGGAAATTTCAAGCTGTGGTTAAAGTGAAGAAGAGCCAGGAGCATGCCGTGCATGGCAAAAAGGCAAAGGTACCAAATTCAAGAGGGACGTGGGTGGCGCTGTGGGTTAAACCACAGAGCCTAGATCAGAAGGTCGGTGGTTCGAATCCCCGCAACAGGGTGAGCTCCCGTTGCTCGGTCCCTGCTCCTGCCAACCTAGCAGTACGAAAGCACGTCAAAGTGCAAGTAGATAAAGAGGTACCGCTTCGGTGGGAAGGTAAATGATGTTTCCGTGCGCTGCTCTGGTTCGCCAGAAGCAGCTTAGTCATGCTGGCCATATGACCTGGAAGCTGTACGCCGTCTCCCTCGGCCAATAAAGCGAGATGAGCCCCGCAACCCCAGGATTGGCCACGGCTGGACCTAATGGTCAGGGGTCCCTTTACCTTTACCTTTTTACCAAATTCAGGAAGTGCCAATGTTTTTGGTGCAAAGAAAGAATCAAGAGCATAGTTAGAGAGTGCATTCCCGATTATTCCTTTGAATCAAAAGCTTGAATTGCAGGGAGCTTTGCAGTGCAAATAATCCTTGCCCAGGGTGGCATCTGCCACCCAAAGGGAGCTTGTTGTTCGCCTAGCATCATGGTGGAATCAGGTGATAGGCAAGTGGGTGTCCCTAGCCACCTGTCAGAATGGCCCAGCCGGGTGGGGGAGCTCAGGATCCAGCCTGGAGTTAGATCTCCTTTTCTACTCTGCTCTATATGGCTAGTTGCCGATTAAGACCAAAACCTTTTCAGACCTGGAATATGTTTTTAATCCTAAACTGCGTCGTAAACCCTGTTGTTGTTGTTGTTGTTGTTGTTGTTGTTGTTTGCACCATATACGCCAGTTTTTTCTCCTTTTCCCTTTCCCTTTCTCTGTCCCACTCATTCTCCTCTCGGAAATTTCCCATCGGTTTAGCACTGGTGGATTAAATGTCTTCGCGCTTTGATTTCAGATGGACCCAAATGTGGACGAAAACACCTACTGCAGGCTTTGCAACATGGTCTTCACGTCCCCAATAGTTGCTCAGTCACACTACCTGGGAAAGATTCACACCAAGAAGCTGAAACGGCTGTCGGAAGATCAGGCACAACAGCCTGTGCAGAACGCTCAGCCAGAACCTGGTGAAGACCCAGTGGTTTTTTTTATAATAATAATTTTATTAGTTATACCCTAACCATCTGACTGGGTTGCCCTGGCCACTCTGTCCTCTGTCAGGGCAAAGTGGTGCAACATTTTAGCTGAATCCAAGGAACTGTCAGGCTTAAGAGAATCCAGTCCCTCCCACGGTGGGCAGCCAAGAAGTTGATAACAAGAAGAGTTCTTACCAAGTCCTTTATTCAATATTCCCAGAGAGAGGCTTTGAGAAGTGCCTCTCCATTCCAGTAATAGCATTGCTCCGAGTAAAGTCCCACACCCTCCCTCTCTCGTATCATAACTCATCCTTGCAGAGCCAGTGTGGTGTAGTGGTTAAGAGAGGTAGACTCGTAATCTGGTGAAGCGGGTTCAATTCCCCGCTCCTCCACATGCAGCTGCTGGGTGACCTTGGGCTAGTCACACTTCTCTGAAGTCTCTCAGCCTCACTCACCTCACAGAGTGTTTGTTGTGGGGGAGGAAGGGAAAGGAGAACGTTAGCCGCTTTGAGACTCCTTTGGGTAGTGATAAAGCGGGATATGAAATCCAAACTACTACTACTACTACTACTACTACTACTCTTCTTCTTCTTCTTCTTCTTCTTCTTCTTCTTCTTCTTCTTCTTCTTCTTCACCGGCTAATCTGAGCTTTCCGCTCTCCTACTCTCAATGCTCGCCAGGACCTGGGAGAGGGGTGGGTAGGATCTGGCATGCTTCCCAAAGACACTTGAGTCTATCAGCTGTCTCTCCCCTGGTGCTTCTTCTCCCTCCTACTCCTCTCCCAACATTTCCCAGCTTCTCCCCTCTGCAGCCTCTGAACTGTGACCTTCTGCAAACCACTGTTCTAAATCTATACTGTCTCCCACTTCTCTGGGAAGTGCAGCAGGGGTGGTCTCCACCATTCCTCCTCAGTTCAGTCCCTGACAGGAAGAAGGAAAGCAAAATTTCCCTTCTTCTTTGCTCCCTTGTTCACTTCTGCCTGTCCCCTGGTCTTTCCGCACAGTGCAGAAAGGGAAGGGAGAAAGTATTGACTTAGGTCTGCCAACCAGCCGCTTGCAGGAGGCTACACCTATAGCAGCTCACCACCAAGTGTATTTGTCATCCAGAGAGATAGATGCACATGGGATGAGGCATACCGTATTTCTCGCTCCATAAGACACACTTTTTTCCTCCTAAAAGGTAAGGGGAAATGTGTGTGCATCTTATGGAGCGAATGCAGGCGGGAGGCTGTTGCTGGAGCCGCGTGCTCTTTAAAGGCTGCCCTCTGTCCCTTCCCCCACCTCCCAGAAAAGCCAGCAAGAGCCGCTGCTAAACTCTGCTCCACGCTCCCTTGTAAGGGCTCCCTTTCGTCCCTCATTTTTTGCTGGGAAGCCAGCAGAAGAGGCACTGTGCAGCTATTGCTCTTGTTCTGCTGGCTTCTCAGCGAAGCAGGAGGAGGGACGGAAGGGTTTAAAGCAAGAAAAGCAAGAACCGCTTACATGCTCTGCACAGAATATTTTTTTTCTTGCTTTCCCCCTCTAAAAACTAGGTATGTCTTATGGTCAGTCTTATGGAGAGAAAAATACGGTATTTGTATGTCGGGCATTCCTTCTTGATACATAAGAGCTGCAAGGAATATATTCTATCAGCGTAACCAAAAGACTTACAGGGCCATTACCGTGTCTTCTCTGGCTGCTTTGGTGGGAGAGCTGACCTTCCTTCATAGAATCATGGAATAGAATCATAGAATCATAGAGTTGGAAGAGACCACAAGGGCCATCGAGTCCAACCCCCTGCCAAGCAGGAAACACCATCAGAGCACTCCTGACATATGGTTGTCAAGCCTCTGCTTAAAGACCTCCAAAGAAGGAGACTCCACCACACTCCTTGGCAGCAAATTCCACTGTCGAACAGCTCTTACTGTCAGGAAGTTCTTCCTAATGTTTAGGTGGAATCTTCTTTCTTGTAGTTTGGATCCATTGCTCCGTGTCCGCTTCTCTGGAGCAGCAGAAAACAACCTTTCTCCCTCCTCTATGTGACATCCTTTTATATATTTGAACATGGCTATCATATCACCCCTTAACCTCCTCTTCTCCAGGCTAAACATGCCCAGCTCCCTTAGCCATTCCTCATAAGGCATCATTTCCAGGCCTTTGACCATTTTGGTTGCCCTCCTTGCACTTATTTCCCAGGTCCCTCTGCGGTTCCATCTCTGCCGGAGCCATCTGTTGAAAACGCCTCGCAGGACACTGATGTGAAAGACCCGTCGCCGTCCTGTAAAACCACGTTGGATCTAGACGATCCGGATAAATTCTGCAAGCTTTGCTCGGCGCCCTTCAACAACCCGCTTATGGCCCACCAACACTATGTGGGCAAGAAGCACAAAAGGAACGAAGCGCGCAAGAAGCTGATGACCAAGATGGGATCTGAGGCCATTCCCGCGGAGTCCCAGGCCAATGGTAAGCAGGCGACACAGGGAGACGCCGTCCACTGAGCGTGGCTCAGAACCAAGCTGCGTGATCAGCAGATTCGTGGGACTTGGTGGCTGTTGCTACAGCATTTGAGGCAGAGGGGATTCCATGTTTTCTTGGAATGCTTCCCTGTGTTAAAAAAAAAAATCCCTGAACGCGCGACACCGTATCAGATAGCAGAAGACTTTTCCCAGGAACTGGCGGGCAGAGAGATATGGCACAAGGAATTCGGACACGTTTGGGGCATGCCCTAGGGCCATTTGCATTGCAATCTGTTTAACCTGCAGCCCTCTGTTCTTTTAGCAGTTGGAGTGGGCAAGTATATATGCCCCATTTGCAGCATCAGTCTCACGTCCATAGAAATGTACCAGTCGCACATGCAAGGAAATAAGCATCAGATAAAGTAAGTGTTTCCCCAGGTGTGCATTTTTCTCTTCTCCCCAACCCCTCCGCAAACAAGACTGACAGTTCAGTGCGGGAAGTGTGTGCTAATGTTTTCAGTGGAGCCTCACAAAGACTGGGTTGTGATCTCTGTGCAGCCCTTCATCTGGGTTCTGTACATAGCTGTAAACTTTTCCCTTTTCTTGAGAGGAATCCTATTCGGAATAAGGGAATTTCCCTTAAAAAAAAGGGAAACATTGACAGCTATGGTTCTGTACCTGCCCAGCTTTCTCTTAGAAGGCAGAGGAGAAGAGATTTTTCTTCTCTTGCAAGCGCCTTGCTGCTCGGTTCTCTAACAGCAGTCCTTTTTTTCAGGGAGGGGGGACGCAGGGGTACGCATACCCCTAATCATTTTCTGAATCTAAGTTTGGCCTCTTTGAGTGGGCAGTATTTTCAATATGAGTAGGAAAATGAGAGTACCCCTAAACATTTTTTAAGAAAAAAAGCACTGTAGCAGCAACTTTAGGACATGCCCTCCAAGGAGATGTCGCCTCAATTTGCTCTTTCAGGTTTTTTAAAATTCCTGCAGGAGATTTCATTGTCTGTTTTATTTACTTCCCCAACTCTCTTTCTTTTAATATAATATTTATTAAATTTTCCATTTTAACAATCCAATAAAAAACCACATTAAAACATTCTAAATGACAATGCAATCAAAAAAGCCAAATATTCAATGCCAAATAATATATCATTTGGGTGACTTCCCGTGCTCTGAAGTTCTTTTGTGGTTTTAGTTAAGTAGCATTTAATATGGTGGATAGGGGACGCGGGTGGCGCTGTGGTCTAAACCACTGAGCCTTGGGCTTGCCGATCAGAAGGTCGGCGGTTCGAATCCCTGCGACGGGGTGAGCTCCTGTTGGTCGGTCCCAGCTCCTGCCAACCTAGCAGGAAAGCACGTCAAAGTGCAAGTAGATAAACAGGTACTACTCCAGCGGGAAGATTAACAGTGTTTCTGTGCGCTGCTCTGGTTTCGCCAGAAGCGGCTTAGTCATGCTGGCCACTGGCTGCGGACAAACGTCTGCTCCCTCGGCCAGTAAAGCGAGATGAGCGCCGCAACCCCAGAGTCGTTCACGACTGGACTTAACTGTCAGGGGTCCTTTACCTTTTTAATGTGGTTGGTATTGTGACCTTCCTTCATGCTTACAGTGCAGCAGGTGTATTCAAGGAAGCACTGGGTTTATGGGGGGGACATAACCACCTCTCATTAGTGTAAGTTCCACTTGATTTGCATCTACCAAAAGTTCACCAGGCAAGTGCAGTGGAATAATTTGTCAAGGCTTCTAAGAAGAGCTGTGCAGGAACAGGCGTGTTTCGTCCACCGCTGTTCTTTGAGTCCAGCCAGGTGCCTTTCAGAAGTTTGCAAGAAGAGGCTCACTCTCACAGTTGTTCCCTAGCAACAGGTATTCAGAGGGATGCTAACTCTGATCCTGGAAATAGATTGATTGTGTGTGTGTGTAGTAACCGATGTGTCCAATGCCCGAACCAGGGACAAGAATTTGGGTCACCAACTGTTGGAACTCTCTTTTCCTGCTTTACTTGCATTCCCAGTTCCAGAAACTATTTACAGTTGGGGCTGAAGCAAAAGATCTCTTTCAGTTTCTTTTAAAATAGGTATGTGTCGTGGAGCAAGGCTTTTAACAGGAAGATAAGGCAGTTGCTTAAGTTATTTAGGAACAAGAAGAGCACCTGGTTAGACTTGGCTTTTGGGTCACTCTTCATTGCCCACTGAGTCAAACGTTTTCCAGCAAAATCCCGCAGCAGTTTATCTTCAAGTTTGAAGCAACTGCACGTTTTATGGATTTGCTTGCTTTAAAGGATTTATATACTGCCAGGACAGTTTTACAGCAGCACATAAAATGATAATCAATGAAACAGCAGCAAAAGGCAATGCTAAAAATAACCACAGCAGGGATGGATGGATGGATGGATGGATGGATGAGGTACCTGACACCTTAAAAAAGCATATTAATGTAGGCAAGTGAGTCTCACCGGAGAGTGTGTTCCATCACTTTTATGCACCAGGCAAAAATGTTTTTTCAGTCATGCTTTTGGCTTTAATTTGGAGAGTTTCAGATAATCTCCTTTAGTGGGTGGGATGGAGGAGACTACTTTTTATGTATAGGAATGTTTTTAGCTTTCATATTGTTTTAGTTTGTATTGGTTGAACATTGGTACAGACGACACCCTGTGGGTTAAGCCACAGAGCCTAGGACTTGCCGATCAGAAGGTCGGCAGTTCAAATCCCCGCGACGGGGTGAGCTCCCGTTGCTCGGTCCCTGCTCCTGCCAAGCTAGCAGTTCGAAAGCACGTCAACGTTGCAAGTAGATAAATAGGTACCGCTCCGGCGGGAAGGTAAACGGCGTTTCCGTGCGCTGCTCTGGTTCGCCAGAAGCAGCGTAGTCATGCTGGCCACAGGACCCGGAAGCTGTACGCCGGCTCCCTCGGCCAATAAACGAGATGAGCGCCACAACCCCAGAGTCGGCCACGACTGGACCTAATGGTCAGGGGTCCCTTTACCTTTACCTCGGGTTAAGTACTTAATTCGTTCCGGAGGTCCGTTCTTAACCTGAAACTGTTCTTAACCTGAAGCACCACTTTAGCTAATGGGGCCTCCTGCTGCCGCCACGCCACCGGAGCACAATTTCTGTTCTCATCCTGAAACAAAGTTCTTAACCTGAAGCACTATTTCTGGGTTAGCGGAGTCTGTAACCCGAAGTGTATGTAACCTGAAGCGTATGTAACCCGAGGTATCACTGTATTGTATTGCAAATCACTTGTGAGCTCACTTGTTGTAAAGAGAAGTGGCTCATAACTGAAAAGGCCCTGTATCCCAGTGCATCCTACCTCTGTTCAAATGGCTGGGGCACCATTGGGAAGGGATTCTCAGGACAGGGGTAGCAGCAGCAAGAAAAGTGGAAGAGCAGCTCTTAGGTGTGCTTCTGAGTGAGTGGCTTTTAATTAGTGTACCCAAATGAGATATAGGAAGACCCTTTGCCCCCCGAGGAAGACCTTTGATTGAAATATGTTGGGAAGTCTTTGCAGAAAAGCCTTGAGGCCTACTTCTTCCATCAAATTATATCACAGGAGAGCAGGATCAAGTACACCCTCTCTTAATTCAGCTCCTGAATACGTATGCATGTACTGGGAAGACAAAGGATTTGTTTCTCAGCAGTGTGAAACTGGCAAAAATCGATTTATCGTACATATTATGTAAAAGCCCCTTTAAATCCAGACTTGCTTCCCAGTGAAATGTGGGTAGAATAATACTGCAGGAATCTGGGTGGTGCTAAAGTGGAACTATAAATCATTCAGCTGACATTTTGGTCCACAGGAACTTTTTTCTTTCTGACTTCAGCCAAATTGTTTGGTTAAAAATCATGTTGTTGTCATTTTTGCTCATTCCCGCCACAATTGTATCTCTTCTCCCTTTTATTCTTGTAGAGAAACCATGATTTCCAATCTAATAACGAACTCTAAGAAAACATACGGCTCCTTCCAAGATGAATTGGAAGATTATATTAAAGTGCAAAAAGCAAGGGGGCTGGAACCAAAGACCCACTTCAGAAAGCCAGAAGAAGAGTTTCAAATGGAAGAGTATGGTGCCATGAATGGCCATGAACGGGGCTTTGGATTTGATCAGGATCAATTTTCCGGTGACGCTAACACACCAGAGCAGTATTCTGGCATTTTCTCAGAAACATGTCCACCTTTGTATTCTGCTAGAAGCAGATTGTCCCATTGGCCGCCAGGGTACAGAGACCTGCCAAAACTAGAAAATGCACCCATTTCTCAGCACAGCACAGAAGGTTCCCTAGAAAAGCAGGCATCTCCACTGGCCACCTACAAAAGTGACAATTGCAACCCATCATCCGAATCCATTGATGGCTACAAACATCTACCTTCCGATAGTAGCTCTGCCTTTCATAGAAGGAGCCAGAAGTCGCCAAAGACATTCAGAAAGGAGGAAGAATGTTCAGGAGAGGAAGACGGCGACCCTCGCCCACCCCTTGCAAAGTTCAAGAGAAAACCGCGCTTCGAAGGAGACGCAAACTTTGGAAAGGGCGGAGAGAAGAGGAAGAGAAAGAAAGAGGACGTCGACTCAACTGCCGAGTCGAAATCGAAGCACGGTAAAGACAGAGGAAATACAGAGGGATCTTCTGAGAAGGAGAGCAGAAAGCACAAGAAGGAGAAAAAGAAGGCTGAAGCCGGTGGACCAACAGAGGAGGAGATGCTTTGGGATGAATCCATCCTGGGATTCTGAGCTTCTCCTAATTAATGAATTTTTGCGTTCATTTGAACCGTTGTGCACTTTTATGTTTCCATTACTGGTTACTTTCCCTGCCCCCCTTTTAATTGCTTGTTCAGGAATAATGAATGATGGGCACAAGATCTCTCAGCAAAGCACTAGGGAAGAAGTGGAACTGAAATTTTGTTGTACTCTACGAAACATAATTAGCAATTTTCAGTACTTATCCTGAAGCGGCATTTAATGCGTTATGAATTTAGTGTGCAATACTCTTTCCGGTAGCATTTAAATGCAGGTTAAAAAAACACAAAAAAGCTATGCATTGTCTACGGTTGCTGCGATATCTGTGTTGTTGAAAGCTTTAATATGAAAGTATGGGGACAGGGAGAGGGTTTATTCCATTTCTTCTTTATAATTGTTTTCCCCTTCCAGTTCTGAAAGTATAAAATAACACATTGAACCAAGAAGAGAAAACTAGTTGAATGTATACACACACAGATCCACACCCACACACACACACCCTTTACATCTCAGGTACATTTTATTTAGGTATAGTTCTTAATCCTAGCCCCAATACCACCTCATCAAAATCTCTCATAAAGGTATAAAGGTTTATTTGACAACAACAGGTTTCACTGTTGAAACTGGGGTGAGGACCTTGCTTTCTGCAGTACCTCACGGCCCACTGGTGCTTTGAAGCCCCAATTTCAGGACTTCAAAGCACTACATCCCGACGCCATTTGTAAACTCAAGTGATTGCCCACCTTTTAAATTTGACCCACAAGCCAGATCCTGATAGGGATCTGGACCATGGAGCAAAAAAATTTCCCCATCTCTGGCTTCAAATGGTGATTGTCACCATCTCCAACAGGTAAGAGGTGTTTGTAAAGTTCAAGGATGGTTTTTCTGAAAACGAAACACTATTTAAGAGTGTTCAAGGATTGGGGATTAAGGCAGTCCATTTAAAATGAGAATTAAGATGCCCAGAAATCCATGCCTGCTTTAAAGGCATGGAAATGGTTGAAGCAATGTTTGCCTTTACTTGTATGTCATGTAGACAGTAAAGATGATTTCTAAAAAGCGCTCTCCTGTTTTGCTCCCATGAATGTTAGGTCCCTGTTCCCACAATTCCACCTGATGTTTCACCTGCTCTGCAGGTCAGGTCAAGCACTGACCCTGGGGTCACTGCAATAGAAATGTTTAATATTCAGCTACGAGTTGAAATTAATGGCATTTGATCTCTGCTGAATGGAGTAGAAAACTTCCAAACTGCACATCTCTAGCATTCTCCAAAGCAACATGGATGGATATTTTCGTTCCATCTTTTAAAATCCCGTCATCTTAGAGGAGACCTATTCCTCATTAATTAGTCCTGTGTCAAATCAAGAGGGCAGAAGCAGTGGCTGCAACTCTTATGAACGCTCAACCTTCGTTTGTGCAGATACGTCCCAGCCACATAATGTATACGCACAGCCCCCTTCTCCTCATCGTCCAAGCAGGCGCTGTTTTAACATTTCATGGGCACATTCTAACCAGATGAGCACTTGGAAGGTTGGAGCAGGGGAAGAGGAGGGGTGACCCCCCCCCAGGCCACCCTTTACAGAAATGAAGTTATTCAACTATATATGCTAAGGTATCAACAAAGCCTGTGAGCAATAACATCCTTACTTGGAAGCAAAAAGGTATTTTGGGGTAAAGCATGTGTGACAAATGTGGGACGTGGGTGGCGCTGTGGGTTAAACCACAGAGCCTAGGACTTGCCGATCGGAAGGTCGGCGGTTCGAATCCCCACGACAGGGTGAGCTCCCGTTGCTCGGTCCCTGCTCCTGCCAACCTAGCAGTTCGAAAGCACGTCAAAGTGCAAGTAGATAAATAGGGACCGCTCCGGCAGGAAGGTAAACGGCGTCTCCGTGCACTGCTCTGGTTCACCAGAAGTGGCTTAGTCATGCTGGCCACATGACCCGGAAGCTGTCTGCAGACAAACGCCGGCTCCCTCGGCCTATAGAGCGAGATGAGCGAGCAACCCCAGAGTCAGTCACGACTAGACCTAATGGTCAGGGGCCCCTTTACCTTTACCTTTTTATGTGTGACAAAGGGTTGTGCAAGTCAGCCATTTTAAACTCCAAAGCTTACAACATTTTTCTTCAAAAATGCCAGGAATGGACAAATTAATACAAACTATCTCCAGTGCTATTTTTCTAGGGGGGAAATGGTGTCTGAACTGAACAGGAACTCTTCCCCTTGTTCTCTTAGAATGGCAATGGCACCCACCTGAGAGGTGTCAGAACTGAGTTCTGGCTGGGAAAAAACACTATCGGCAAATATACAGCATTTGCTGGCAAAATGAGACTTTTGTCATGAGTGCTTGTGTGAACAAAGAACAGCCCTCATTCAGTTGCTAGTATTTTTTTTATTATATATGTACACACACCCCTTTATACACAATAACAAATTATATAAAAAAAGACAGACCAAAACAGGTGTCTCCAGTTTAGCAGGAGACACATTTGGATGCAAACAAAAAAACTTTACATTTGAGTCCAGGGTGCAAATTTATCAATCCCCAGAGGAAAGGGGCTCATTCATCTGAATCCAGGTCACTGTCTCCTGCGATGGAATGGAAGTCTTCACTATCTTCCTCATCCTCTGACAGATGAACCTGACTTAACACACTAGGACCACGCCTCTGGTCCTCTTCTTCTTCCTCTTCCTCTTCCGAGACCTCATAACCCCCAATGCTGCTGAAGCTAGTATCTCGGGTGTTGGATTTGGGGTCTGGTTCCTCGTAGCTACCATAACTGGAGATAAAGAAAAACATGATGCGTTTGTTATTGATTGTGCATGCTGAGCGCTTTACAGAAGAGAAATGCGGTGAAGGGAAACACGAAAGTGTGGCAGATTAGCGTTTACTTGGTGCTTTTCTGCAGGTCAGGAGTGCCGCAGGATCAGGCCAAGGGTCTGTCTTGTGCAGCATCCCGTTTTCAGTGACCTATCAGATGCCCATGAGAAGCCCGCAAGTGGGGCTTGAGGACAATAGCACCCTCCCCACCTGTAATTCTGAACAGGTATCCAGAAACAAGACTGCCTCTGGCAGGAGAACATAGAGTTTTTCTGTTTTTTGTAAAGCATCTAAGTTGGTGGCCATCTCCTCTGGTGCAGGGTTTCCCGAACTTTGGTCTCCAGCTGCTGTTGGACTACAACTCCCATCATCCCTAGCTAGCAGGGATGATGGGAACTGTAGTCCAAAAACAGCTGGAGACCTGAGTTTGGGAAACCCTGCTCTGGTGCAAGCAATACCGCCATAACTCTAGCACTCGAGACTGCAACATTTGGGTTGCTGTGCTGGATGTGGTTATGTGTGTGTTCCAGGCAGAAGCCCAGAGACTGAACTCTGCTCAACTTTTAAAAAAAAGCCTTTTAGAGACAGAACAAACTTTTCAAAGGCAGCTGAAACAGCAATGCATAGGTTTACGCCTACATGGCAACAGCAATGCTCCACGCTTCGTAATTTTATGTACATTTAATAACTATTCCAAATACATTTTGAAAGGCAAGGCAAGGCTGCGATCCTGCCCATAACTACGCCTATGAATCACATCTACAAAAGAAGCCATGGAATGGTACCCCAGAGTTACTACTAAAGGATTGTTCCGATAGCATTTGGTGATGTTACTTATCTGCTTCCGGCATCACAGCAATTGAAAAAAGGAATTGCTCTCATTGTTTCAGCTGCTGTGTTTTCTGTTGATTTTGGTTGGGGTTTTTGCTGGGCTTTCTCCCGCTGCGGGATTTCCCTCCCCAACCCCTGCCTGGATTTTAGAGTTTTAACTGTGAATTGCGTTCAGCATTTTCTTGTTTGAGCAGCCGGCCCAGAGAGCTTGGTTGGATGGAGGGCACAGAAGTGCAATGAGTTAGTCAACAGAGGAGCAGTAAAGAGCAGAGAGACCCAGGCCTCGTAAGCATTTGCACGAGAATCGTTTGAAGCGGGCACTGCCACCCTGGCATCCGTGAGAGCCAAGCGCTTGCTTACTGCCTCCAACAGCATGCTTGTCTAAGGATACCTGGCATTGCTGTCTTCCAGGGCATGCGATGTCTCTCCTCCAGCTCCCTCGTAGGACATCATGCTCTCTTCGTTATCCATGCCCATCCGCGTGTTCTCCTGAAGAACGTGAGGCTGCTTGGGTCTCACGGCACTGGACTCCACGTCGGAATCGCTCCCGCTTTCACTGAGCTGAATAGCTGGGCAGAGAAAGGGTAGCCACATTGCAGTTACCCGAGCCTGATTTCCTGGTTTTCTCAGTAGTTTAGCATTCTGGCTAAGCCGCAGTTCAAAAACTCTCTGCAGCTCAACAAGGCAACTAGGGCTGGGCAATGAGGCATCAATATATCACCCCAAACTGGTTCAAAGTCCACATCGTACTGGTTTCCTAAGATTTGACATGGCAACGTATCGCAAATCACAGTGTCTTTGCGCTATGTAGAAGAATCACACTGTGGGGGAAACGGTGAAGTTTCTTTCCTCCCATCTCCCCTTCTGTGTGTGTGCATGCAAATGTCTGTGTCTTCTTCCTTTTTCTTCCCTGCCACCCAGCTCACTGGCAGAAGAAAATACAGTGGTGCCTTGGTTTAAGAAAAGCTTAGTGTATGAACAACTTGGATTAAGAACACTACAAACCTAGAAGTAGCTGTTTTGGTTTGTGAACTTTGCCTTGGAAGCAAAACGTGTTCTGCTTCCTGTTGAGTGTGTTCCATTTGTAAATTGAATCCCTCACTGCTATGGGAAAGCATGCCTTGGTTTAAGAACGGACTTCTGGAACGGGTTAAGTTTGTAAACCAAGGTACCACTGTCAGTGTTTCCATTTTTACTTTCCAGTGTTTACATTGTTGTCTTCCCCAAAACAGCTTCCCTCCATATTTCAGGGGAAATGTGCCAGTTAAAAAAAATATCTGTACTATAAAGTAACAGTTGTAACAATACGTTAAGTAGAAGCAGTTGCCTGGACACGACCCCGTCCGCCTCTACATAGTTCCATCCTTATTTCAGATATCATGATATATTGCGATGTTTAGCTGGTGATAAATCACGATGTAGAAAACCAGACATCGCCCAGCCCTAAAGTCGACCACTGGCAGAGTTAGTGTCATATGGTAAACCGGGAGTGGCGAAGTCCCCCCCCCTCCCCCCGGCCTGGAAGCCACACTAACTCGTAACCACTCTTCTGGGGTCCATGTGCCAGCATGAATCTTTGAGCTACTAACTTTTTGCCACGTTATGTCATTTGCAACCTAAGGCTTTCCCAAAATGCAGGCTCCTCGGCAGGGGAAGGAAACGGCTTTATTAAACACCTTTAGGCGCTTGGCAAAAACGTTCCTCTTTAGCCAGGCCTTTGGCAGATTGAAATCCAAAGCCCTTCTAAAATGTGTTGGGGAGGGGAGGGTTATTGGGGTGGGTTTTGTTTTTATTGTGTATTTTGCATTTTTATATTGTGAGTTGCCCCAAGACATGTGGGTATAGGGTGGTATACAAATTTAATAATAAGACAAAGGCTATATTCCCGTGAAGGAAAGTGGTGAGCTCCCGTTGCTCGGTCCCTGCTCCTGCCAACCTAGCAGTTCGAAAGCACAGTGGTGCCTCGCAAGACGAAATTAATCCGTTCCGCGAGTATCTTCGTCTAGCGGTTTTTTCGTCTTGCGAAGCAACCCTATTAGCGGCTTAGCGGATTAGCGCTATTAGCGGTTTAGCGGCTATTAAAGGCTTAGCGGCTTAGCTGCTAAAAGGCTATTAAAGGCTTAGCGGCTTAGAAAAAGGGGAGGAAAAGCGAAAAAAAAATCTCAAGACTCGCAAGACATTTTCGTCTTGCGAAGCAAGCCCATAGGGAAATTCGTCCTGCGAAGCGCACTGAAAAACGGAAAACCCTTTCGTCTAGCCGGTTTTCCGTCTTGCGAGGCTTTCGTCTTGCGGGGCACCACTGCACATCAAAGTGCAAGTAGATAAATAGGTACCGCTCCGTCGGGAAGGTAAACGGCATTTCCGTGCGCTGCTCTGGTTCGCCAGAAGCGGCTTAGTCATGCTGGCCACATGACCCGGAAGCTGTACGCCGGCTCCCTCGGCCAATAAAGTGAGATGAGCACTGCAACCCCAGAGTCGGCCACAACTGGACCTAATGGTCAGGGGTCCCTTTACCTTTATAGAGAGAGATGGACCCATCACCTGACTTGGCCCTGCTGTGTATAGAGGGACAACTTACACATGAAAGGGTTGTCGCCTTCCTCGTCGCTGCCATCGTCGTCCTCTCCGTCTGACATGAGCAAGTCCTCGTAAAGGACGCTGGCCTGAGGCTGCTGCGCCGAGCCTTCTTCCTCGTCGGCCAGGTCTCCATCGCCATCTTCTACTTCCTGTCAGGGCAGAACAGCCGGTGGTTAAAAAAGATATATAGAGAGAGAGACGGGAGGGCAGCTGCCGGTGCCTGCCGAGTGTGGCATCTCTCTACCCGCGGACATCCCTCACCGGCAAGGCCGTCTCTTTCTAAAGAACAACGATGGGCCCTGGCTTGCGTTTCCAGGCACTGCTACCGACATCCCTCAGAAGGGGCCCTGAGCTGCCGCAGCTTCTGCCGCGAGGGCAGAAGTTCAACCCACAAACTAGGGATGGGATCAAAGATACTCACTGGGGCTGGAGTCTTAGGTTTCCCATCCTCATCCTCATCAAACCCTTCAATATCTACGTCAGAGTCTTCCTCGCCCAGCCTACCTCGGCCCTGCCGCATCTGAGTGGGGAACAGAGACAACACGGTTGAGGAAGGGAACAGGCACTCGGAAGCAGGCCGCAGCGGAGGGGAAAGACCCGCCCGGGACTTGCGGCACTTTCCTAAGCTCTTGCTTCTGAAATGCCTTCCTACGCTTCCCCCACGGCTTCGCACCTCCAGGACTTGCTCAGGGTATCAAGCCAAGTCACAAAAGCCTACAAGCGCAAAGGGCCTCTTAAGATGCTGGCGGACAGCACTGCCTTTCCTCCACTGCCCTCTCTCTCCCCAAGAGCAGAGAGCCACCTTCCTGCAATGGCAGAAACCCATTTCGCAGGGCAACCTGGGTTCAAAACCCACAGCTGCAAACTTGATGCCCCGCTTCTGCCATACCGGCGCATCCTCTGGTAAACGGGTGAAGACAATTCTGTCACTGCACTTTTCTGCAACTTCGTGTTTACACAGCCCCTTGCCCTTTTCTTTCCCCTCCTGCTACAAATCACGCCACATTTAGGCCCATCACATAAAAAACCTGCACAAAACGTATTTATCCCCAGTTAAATGGCCCAGAGCACGCGTCCCACCCCTTATCTCCAATAAATGCCTCTTCCCCTATTTGCCTACAATACAGGCATTGTGCGATGAGAACCTCCACAATATAAATTCTCCTCCAGATTTGTGGCGTGCCAAGTTCTCATGCTCCACTAAAACCAGAGGAGGACTGTCTACCTGGTATTGCTGTAGCATATTAGTGCTCAGCCCAGAAGGGCTGTTGGCTTTATGAACTGCTTTGACACAGTTTCCGCTTGAAAAGGGTAAGGGCTAAACCGTGGCCCTTCTACGCCATGTGAACCATTGGCTTTTATTTTATCCACTCTCTATTCATAAAATAAGAAAGAACACCAAGCCCTTTCCCAAGGCATCTTGCAGCTAACGGGCTTCCTCCTCCACAAGTCCCAGCTATTTTGGTTTTATTGAAAATCTTTACAACAAAGCCTCCTTCCACATCTCTGTCCCCATTTCTTTGACCAGGAATTAACAATGATGCCAAATTATATCCATTTTGATACCGCATGCCCTGTTACATACTTTTTGTGCGGCTTTGGCCACAGGGAAAGCTATAACCCCTCTCTCCCCTGCCTTTCGCAACAGATATTTTTGCCCTTTTTGCTTCCAGACTTTTCTGACCTGTATTCCCTGCTTCTCAGGGGTGGTTGTGGGAATATCCAAAGCAGACAGAATGCTCTCATCTTGGTAGACCGAGGCATCGTGGGACATGCTGAGAGAAGTGTTGGTGTCATACAGATCTGGCGGCTGGAGTACGTTTGAAAAGAAGAAATCAGAATTTCTTAGCGGTTTGGTAATGGCTCCTGCCCTCCTTTACTGACTGTGGTTCTCTCTATAGTAAATGACTGGAGATTTCATCCCCTTTCTCACGGGAAAAACCCAGAAGCAATAGGGAAACGGGTAACAGATTCCAATATGCAACACACACACCAAAGGTCAGGCAGGGATGAAATAGGTGCCTACTGCTATGGAAGCAGGTATTGTGGGATTGTATGCTATCTGGTTTCAGATACAAAAAGCTTATATGGAGTTCAGTAGAAGGAAAGAGACAGCAACAACCCTTGTCAGGAGGAAAAGAGGGCAGAATAGAGAGGACAAAAGGAGGATGGGGAAATTGACTCAACCTGCAATGCACTGTCTGTTGGTCAACCCAACACCCAGTTTGGCCATGCTGCAAGGAAGCAGGAGGACTGCTAGGCCATTGCAAATTATAATAATATAATATATAATAATAATAATAATTTATTATTTATACCTCGCCCACTGAGTGGTTTCCCCAGCCACTCTGGGCGGCTTCCACAAAGACCAAAAATACACTAAGATGTCACACATTAAAAACTTCCCTGAACAGGGCTGCCTTAAGACGTCTTCTGAATGTCAGGTAGTTGTTTATCTCTTTGACATCTGATGGGAGGGCGTTCCACAGGGCGGGCGCCACTACCGAGAAGGCCCACTGCCTGGTTCCCTGTAGCTTGGCTTCTCTCAATGAGGGAACTGCCAGAAGGCCCTGGGCGCTGGACCTCAGCATCCGGGCAGAACGATGGGGGTGGAGACGCTCCTTCAGGTATACTGGGCTGAGGCCATTTAGGGCTTTAAAGGTCAACACCACCATGTGCTCGGAAATGTACTGGGAGCCAATGTAGGTCTTTCAGGACCGGTGTTGTATGGTCTCGGTGGCCGCCCCCAGTCACCAGTCTAGCTGCCGCATTCTGGATTAGTTGTAGTTTCCGGGTCACCTTCAAAGGTAGCCCCACATGGAGCACATTGCAGTAGTCCAAGCAAATAAGAGCAGGTGCCTCTATTGTGCTTGGCCAAGATACAGAAATGGACCTTGTACAAGGGTGCTTGGGAGTACTGTGGCAGCTCCTGCAAGCACGTTTAGTTGAATCAAGCCCATGAAATCCAGCCACTTTCAAAGTGCCATCGGGATAACACCAGTTGACTTACAATAATAGGTCAGAATATTTCTCCATCTAGACAAGCGTTTCCCAACCTTGGGTGTCCAGCTGTTTTCAGACTACAATTCCCATCATCCCTGACCACTGGTCTTGCTAGCAAGGGATGGAGGGAACTGTAGTCCAAAAACAACTGGAGACCTCTTTGGGAAACACTGTACAAGACCACTGTGTCCAGCTGGTCTTAGTTGCAGAGTAGGGCAGGGCGATAATAGGCTTTCAACACCGTGGTGTATCACCAACCAAACACTGGCGTTGAGAAAAGCTGTGTTGGCCCCAGTCCTTCAGGTGCTGAGTGAAACCGTTGCAGCTCTCACTGCAGGAGCTGAGGCTTTTTTACCCGACAGCTGAGCGAGCCAGACCACTCCCCAAGACGGAGGGAGCCCTGACAGGTTCGGTCGGCAGAGCTCTTTCACTGGCAAGAGGAAGGGGGCAAGCAAGCAACCTCCTTCTTCTTGAAGAAGCCGCTTGCTTGCTTGCTTGCTTGCCCCCCTCCCCAGCTGAGGGAGCCCAAGTCCTTCTCCTGCTTGCACAGCTGAGGGAGCGGGAGCAGTTTAATGGTGCCCGTCCCCGCCAGCCGATGGCTCGTGCGAACCGGTGGCGGCTCAGCTTGGCTGAGGCGAGGGCAGCTGCGCTCTCCTCAGCCAGTATAAAGACGCGGAGGGAGAAACAAGCTGTATTGGCGCCTTGTTTCTCCCCCTCCGCTGGCACGAGGGACCGACAGTGGCGGTTTCACTCAGTGGCATATCGCTGGTGAAACCACCGTGGCTCCCGAGTCCCTCTGCCTCCAGCGCCCGGCTGCAGTTTGTTTCTCCCTCGGCACGCTGAGCGCTGGAGGGACTCGGGAGCGGTGGCGGTTTCACTAGCGATATACCGCTGAGTGAAACCACCATTGCGGTTAGTCCCTCATTCCGGTGCTGGGAAATACAGTGGTACCTCAGTTTAAGAACAGTCCTGTTTAAGAACGATTCGGTTTACGAACTCCTCAAAACTGGAAATAGTGTCCCGGTTTGAGAACTTTACCTCAGTCTAAGAAAGGAATCTGAACGTTGGAAGGGCACTGGCGGCGGGAGGCCTCATTAGGAAAAGCGCACCTCAGTTTAAGAAAGGTTTCGGTTTAAGAACGGACTTCAGGAACGGATTAAGTTCGTAAACCGAGGTACCACTGTATATGTGATATATCAACATATCGCCCAGGCCTGCTGCCGATATATTTCCCATCAGCTGCTATCTGAGCCCCACCCCCACTTTTTTAAAAAATGGGGGTGCCAGGGATTGAACAATATGAAAGGGATTGAGCAATGTGAAAGGGATAGCGGTTCACTAGCATGCTTTGCGGGACGCGGGTGGCGCTGTGGGTCAAACCACAGAGCCTAGGACTTGCTGATCAGAAGGTCGACGGTTCGAATCCCCGCGACGGGGTGAGCTCCCGTTGCTTGGTCCCTGCTCCTGCCAACCTAGTAGTTTGAAAGCACGTCAAAGTGCAAGTAGATAAATAGGTACCACTCCGGCGGGAAAGTAAACAGGGTTTCCGTGTGCTGCTCTGGATCGCCAGAAGCGGCTTAGTCATGCTGGCCACATGACCCAGAAGCTGTACGCCGGCACCCTCGGCCAATAAAGCGAGATGAGTGCCGCAACCCCAGAGTCGGCCACGACTGGACCTAATGGTCAGGGGTCCCTTTACCTTTAGCATGCTTTGTATGCCACCAATTCCAGATTCAATCTCTGGCCTCTCCAGTTTAAAAAAGGAGCTGGTGATAGGAGAATCTCCTCCCTGTCTAAGCTGCTGGAGAGAACTGGTTTAGCAGAACAACAGTCTCTCCCAAAGGCTCCTTCCCAACCAGACGCCTCCCGGTGCTACTAGGCCAAGCCTGTGGCTCAGAAATCTAATAAAACAAACCCTTTCCACAAGCATGCACAATCTTCTGCTGCAGCCGCACCCCATGCTCGGGCCACAGCATTTGAGAGCAAAAGGGGGTCCTGGGAAAAAGCTTTGGTGGGGAGCCTCACCTGGGGAGTGTAGGGCCCAGGGGTCATCGGGTCAAGGCTTTCCAGATCTGCCTCCTCTAAGGCCGCTTCTTTGGCAGTGCAGATATCCCTCTCCAGCTGGGTCAGGTGCTCATCATACTGAAGGAGCGAACAGAGAGAGAGAAGCGTTTGCGGAGGCTGTCGAGAATTCAAAGCGGTCCTTGGCAGGCTCAGCTTGCTGGGCCACTTACCTCTGCCAGCGTCTGGTAGCAGATGTTCACAATCTCCTGAGCTGTTTTTGTGTATTGGCTGTCAGGCCCTGAAATGGGGAAAAACAAAGGAAAAAACCACATCTCCTTAGTGCTGGCCCGCTGATACCTGAGCCCAGGAGAAAGCCACTAGTTCCCATGGCCCTCTTCATTTCAAGGAAGCAGAGATACAGGTAAGTACTGCTTTTGCGATACAGTCATGCTTCGGATTGAGCGTTTTTGGGTTGCGCTCTGCGGCGACCCGGAAGTAACAGAACGCATTACTTCCAGGTTTCGCTGCTCGCGCAGAGGCTCAAAATGACGTCACGCGTATGCGCAGACGAGGTGAATCGTGACGTGCAGGTGCGGGTTGCGTTCGCTTCAGGATGTGAACAGGGCCGGATCCTGTTCACATCCAGAGGTACCACTCACTGTACACACCTAGAGCTTTCCAAAGCTTTGCCAGTGTGCAACTGTGGCAACTGAGAGTGATATCTTTCAAGGACTCTTTTCCTGGGAAGCTGCTTGTCTCAGCCAGCCAAAATTTACAAGATCTCCTTGAGCTCTGGCCCTGTAGGACTCCTGAATCTGCCCTGCCCCACAGCACACTTAAATAATAATAATAATAATAATAATAATAATAATAATAATAATAATTTTTATTTATACCCCGCCCTCCCCAGCCAAGGCCGGGCTCAGAGCGGCTTACAAGCAATAATAAAAACAAGTTGAATCATTACAACTTAAAAACAAAATTAAAATACAACATTAAAATATTGAAACATTAAAATATTAAAATGTAGCCTCATCGCAGGAGGAGAAGGAAAGGAAAAAAGAGAGGGAGGGAATCAAACTGGCTCCAAGCCAAAGGCTAGGCGGAACAACTCTGTCTTACAAGCCCTGCGGAAAGAAATCAGATCCTGCAGGGCCCTGGTCTCATGAGGCAGAGCGTTTCACCAGGCCGGAGCCAGTGTTGAAAAGGCCCTGGCTCTGGTTGAAGCCAATCTAACTTCCTTAGGGCCCGGGACCTCTAGGGTGTTGCTATTTATGGACCTTGAGGCTCTCCGTGGGGCATACCGGGAGAGGCGGTCCCGTAGGTACGAGGGTCCTAATAGCCCTTGAGATTTAAGTAAAACCCGTCCCCTCTTCCAGGGGCAGCTCATGTTTCTTGGTTTTCTTGCTAATCCTCCAGGGATGGTTTGCCTGTAGTGGATGTGGTCTTTTGCACATTCTTGCACACACACCAGACATGCAGCTCCTCCCAACAGCTGGCTGAAAGGGGTCCCCCCCCCTTTCACATGCATCAAATTATCAATCTGATGATGGGGGGTGGGGAGAGTAAGCTACATCCCCGCCAGGGCACTGGGTTGAGTGGAGGGAGTTAAAGCTTTCCACCTCCCCAGCTTTTGCTACTGTCACCAAAATTGATCTCGGAGGACCGATAAATACATTGCTTTGGGGGAAGACAGATTAGAGCCCCGAGGCTTTGGAATAAGTTATCCCTCTGTCCTGTTTGTGCCTACTCACAGAGTACGAATGGGCCCCAGGAGCTAAAGAAGCGTAACAGGAGAGCGGCCAGAAGGAAGAAGCAACTTTCATCAAGGGACCCAGCCACGTTTTAGGAAAAGAGACTTATTGATGTCTTCATGAGATGTGGAGTCAGGCTCAGCTCTCGCCCTGAAAACTCTCCACAAACATGCGTCAACGGGCTACAGATGTGGCACAGAGCCCAAGGGGTTGCTCACCGTTGTATCTGATGCTGTTGGCAAGGATCAGGTTCACGTCATCCAGAAAGACTTCTCGGTTCTGGTATTTGTGTTTGGAAATGTTCTAGAATGAACAGAAAGGAGGCAAGGCGGGAGTGTAGAACTTTAAGGAGTCGGTGTGAAGTCTTTTGATTCTGGCCTGCAAAATGTCCTTTACCCCTCCGGGCCAACTAGGGGCCACTTCTTTCCTCACGCCCCGTTGTAGGATCTCAGCATTCTGGGGATCCTTTCAAATGTGAAGCTGCTGCTCCCCATCTCTCTCTCTCTCACACACACACACACACACTCAACAGGACCCAAGCCAGAGTTATCCAAAGGCAGGACATGTCTCTGGGTTTTTTATTTCTCCTCATGACTTTTTGGCCCCCAAATCAGCAGCTGGTGGCTGAGGCTAAGGAAACAGAATGACAGTGGTACCTTGGTTCTCAAACGCCTTGGTACTCAAACAACCTGGAACCCAAACACTGCAAACCCGGAAGTAAGTGTTCCAGTTTGCAAAGTTTTTTCGGAAGCAGAATGTGCTCCGTTTTGAGTGTTATGCTTCCAATTTGAGCACCGCACTTCCATTTTGAGTGTTACACTGGGGTCTGGCTGTTTTTGCTACAGTGGTGCCCCGCAAGACGAATGCCTCGCAAGACGGAAAACCCGCTAGACGAAAGGGTTTTCCGTTTTTCGATGCGCTTCGCAGGAAGAATTTCCCTATGGGCTTGCTTAGCGCCTTTTAGCCGCTAAGCCGCTAAGCCTTTAATAGCCGCTAAACCGCTAATAGCGCTAATCCGGTAAGCCGCTAATAGGGTTGCTTCGCAAGACGAAAAAACCGCTAGACGAAGAGACTCGCGGAACGGATTAATTTCGTCTTGCGAGGCACCACTGTATTTATTTTGCGTTTTTGTTTTTGTGGCTGTGTGGAACCCGGTTCCGCTACTGATTGTGTGACTGCAGTACATTGTTTATTGCTTTCATTTTATGGATCAATGGTCCCATTAAATAGTAAAATTCATGTTAAATTGCTGTTTTACGGGTTGTTTTTAAAAGTCTGGAACAGATTAATCAATTTTGCATTACTTTCTATGGGAAAGCGCGCCTTAGTTTTGGAACGCTTTGGTTTTGGAACGGACTTCCAGAATGGATTAAGTTGGAGAACCAAGGTACCACTGTACTTCGCCCTCAGCCCATATATTTCCATACTGAGTTTCTATTCTCGGTACTTTAAGATTTAAAATACAGCCAGCCAGCCAGCCAGCCGGGGCCTTTGCTTCGCTGCTAAGGGTTTGTTTATCTTATTCGACAAAACCTATCTGATGCTCAGTCATAAAAGAACCTCTTAAGTGGTTTACAAAAGGCAGTAAAACGTAAAAGCACAGTACGCACCTTCCGGATTGTCTCTAGGTCCATCGGGCTGACAATGACTTTGTAATAATCTGGCACGAATTTCTTGTTTACAGGATGGTGGAAGGGCCAAGACTGCAAGCGACAAGAGGGCAAGAGAGATGATGAGCAAGCCGCTCTTGCAGAGTGAACTGCATCCGGTTCAGGAAACCCGCAATTTACGAGGGATCTGTGTTACAGGAACCACGCCCAAAGCCAAAATCACATACAGTCAGAACACATTGGATGCAATGGTGGGTAGGACTACCCAAGCCTTTTCCCCTGCATGCCCACCCCCTTTTATTTTATGGGTGCTTTTTTTAATTGCCAAGCGCATACAGCCGAATGCACAGAAGTTAAATGGGCACAAGCTGTGGGCTTCATGCATCTTCAAGAGACACTGGAAGGCTTTTGCAGAACACCTAGCTGAACCTAAAGGAAACAACCCATTTCCTGCAGCTGCCAGCAAATCCCAAATCCTCTGGTGGTTTGCTTGCGGTCTGCTACACCATTTTAGCCAAACCCAAATAAATACAGGGATAAGAATACTCCAGACTTTTTGGCCTAGAGAAAAGGCAAGTAAGAGATAGCATGATAGAAATTTTTATATATATAAAAGGAAATAAAACAGGCTTCCTCAACCTCAGCCTTCCAGCTGTTTTTGGCCTACAACACCCATGGTCCCTAGCTAGCAGGACCAGTGGTCAGGGATGATGGGAACTGTAGTCTCAAAACATCTGGAGGGCTGAGGTTGAGGAAGCCTGAAATAAAATTTTACACAGCGTGTAGAAATGTGGATAGAAAAAGGGCTTCCTCCCTCTCTCATAGCTCTAGGGCATTCAGTGAAGCTGAATGTTAGAAGAAAAAGCAAAGGGTAAAGGACCCATTAATGGTTAAATCCAGTCAAAGGCAACTATGGGGTGTGGAGCTCGTCTCGCTTTCAGGCCAAGGGAGCCGGAGTTTGACAGCTTTCCGGGTCAAGTGGCCAGCAGGACTAAGCCGCTTCTGGCACAATGGAACACTGTGACGGAAACCAGAGCGCATGGAAATGCCGTTGGATGAAAGTACCGTATTTTTCGCCCTATAGGACGCACCGTCCCATAAGGCGCACCTAGTTTTTTTGGCGGGGGGAATAAAGGGGGGGGATTATTTCCCCCCCAGGCGTGGGGCTGGGGCGGGGGAAGCCCAAGCTTCCCCCGACCCCAGCCCCCAAACAGGCAACTCTCTGCAAGCCGTGGGAGCCCAGCTTGCTGAGAGATGCACGAAGCCTGGACGCGCTGAGCTCAGCGCGCGCAGGCTTCAGCATGCAGGCAACTCTCCGCAAGCGGTGGGAGCTGGGCGCTGGGCTCCCGTGGCTTGCGGAGAGCTGTGCAAAGCCTGGAGAGCGAGGGGGGTCGGTGCGCACCGACCCCTCTCGCTCTCCAGGCTTCAGCGAAAGCCTGCATTCGCCCCACAGGACGCACACACATTTCCCCTTCATTTTTGGAGGGGAAAAAGTACGTCCTATAGGGCAAAAAATACGGTACTTCTATGGGAAGCATGTAGTTAAACTGGAACTTGCTCCCACAGGAGGCAGAGATGGCCACCAGGCCTTTAAAAAGAATTAGACAAATTCATAGGGGAGAGGGCTATTGATGGCCGCTAGCCAGAATGGCTATGCTCTGCCTTCCAGAGATGGAGGCACCAATGTTTCCGAATGCCAGCTGCTGGAAACCACAGAAGGGGACCACCACAATATGCCGGGGCAGACCTACATCAGGAACAGCCATCATCTTCTGGGTGACAATGTTGTCCAGAATGAAGGAGAAGGCCACTTGGTCGTCATCATCCAGTAGGGGGTTAATTGCCTTTTCTAAGCGAGCCAGTTTATCTTCCTTCTGAAAGGGACACAAAAGTACAGAAATGCGCACAGATTCACAGCATACTCCTTTATAACACGCACACCCAAAAATTGGCTGCACACTAGAAAGGACCACAGCTCACTGGCAGAGTTCAATCCTTGGCATTTCCAGGAAGAATTAGGAATGTCTCCCCCTGGAGAGTGGCTTTCACTGTGAGCAGTCCTGCGTTGGTCGCAAAACCACAAGCAATCTCTCCCTCCCTCCACACCCTGACTTGCCTCTTTTAATTTTTGGTCACAGAGGTCCAGCATTGCTTGAGAGATCTGTGTCAAAGAGTGCTTTGGGCCTGCAAACACATGAAATAAAAAAGTTAAGGTCTTGTGTGTATATATATAATGTTCATAAATGTACCAACCAAGCGCATACATAGATATGTGGACCACATGTCTGGAGCAGCACAGGAAGACCGCCCTGAAACCATTTTGACTCCTCAACTGACCAAATGTTTTCTCTGCAAGGAGGGAGGGAGTGGAGGAGCCTTCCCATTGTTTCAGGAATTGGGTAATCACCATCTAAAAGGAATGGGCAGACTACCACGAAAGGCAATCAGATAAGGCATTATCAGATAACCTGGCAGGAAAAAACAATAACATTCAAATTTCTGTTGTAGACCACCTTTTCTGTGATGTAGGTATGATGTTTGTGGGGGGTGGTCTTGGGTTACCCCCCTTCTGTGATGTATGTATGTTGTATAGAGGGGTGGTCTTGAGCTCCAGGGCAGGGAAATTAAAATGTCTATATAAGGGCAGGCACACCTTGGTTGTGGGTCCTCCTCCTCTCCTTTGCGGGTGAGGGGAGCACCCTGTTGCAACAGCTCAATAAAGATCAGGCTTACAAGCTGCTTTGCTTCTCAATATTCTCTGGTTGTCCTCTTATTTTCTCTGACCGATGGAGAACCTGCAAAGGACTCTAATAGGGCTCTGGTGTCCCCCATAAGGGAATAAGGGCAGATTTTTGTTTATTACACACACAACAGAAACATTTATTGTGGGGTGCCGCTGTTGCGAGCTGCCTTGAGAGCCTTGCTAGGTTGAAAGGAGAATCAGAAGTTTAAGATTCCATATGGCTAGGTTAGTCGCATCTCCCAGTGGCATGGAGAGCTAACTCAGACTCATCAAGAGTCTCAGGGAGCAGACTCTCCCCTTTTGCAACCAGCTGGTGTCCCCCCAGGTGTTTTGGAACTGCAACTCCCATCAGCCCAAGCCAGTAAGGTCTGGGACTGATGGGAGTTGTAGTCCAAAAGATCTGGGAAGGCATCAGATTGGCAAAGGCTGCCCTTTGGTGGGAGGGAGACTGAGAAGCGACAGGCAAAGCAAGCTGCAGGGAGATCACAGAACCAAAGAAAAGGAGGAGGTATCACAGCTCTTCCTAAGTAGTCCAGAAGGACTAGTTCAGTTCTAACTGAAAATCACCCGAGGCAACGTAGGTGCCGATCCTGCTGATAAATCGGACAAGGAGAGGAAAGGAAATCAGCCACACCGAGAGAAGAGGAAAACCAGGAAACTGCAGGAAGGAAATATGCTGGCAAGCTACAAATATGTAAGGCTGTCAGTCAAGGAAAGAGCTGGACACCTAATGAAGATAGGACAAATACCATATTTTTCACTCTGTAGGACGCACCGGACCATAGGAGGGGGAGAACAGGGGGAAAAAAATTCTCGTTCTCCCCCTCTAAAACAAGGTGCATTCAAGGTGCATTCACCCAAAGCCTCCTGAGCGCAGCGGGAGTTACCACTGCGCTCTGGAGGCTTCAGGTTCCTTTCAACCTGCTCTTTGGGGCTGGCAGCGCTTCCCCCACCGCCAGCCCCAAAGAGCAGGTCGGGGAACAGCGCAAAGGCTGCGCACAGCCATTGCGCTGCTTTCCCCCACCGCCAGCCTCAAAGATCCCTGAAGCCTTTGGAGCGCAGCGCGAGGACCTGCTGCACTCCAAAGGCTTGAGGCTTCGGGGACAGCGTTTGTAGCCTCCGCAGGGTAGCGGGGTGAAGGCACCCCGCTGCCCTGTGGAGGCTTTGCGCAGCTAACCCCAAGCTAGAACAGTGAGACGGAGCGCTGCGCAGCACTCCGTCTCCCTGTTCTGGCTTTGGGCTTAGCTGCGCAGCCTGCATTCGCTCTGTAAGACGCACACACATTTCCCCTTAATTTTTGGAGGGGAAAAGTGTGTCTTATAGAGAGAAAAATATGGCACTTTAAAGCATAAAATGGGTTGCAACGTAAAGCAGGTGAACATCAGAAGGAATTTCCTTGGTCCCAGGCAGCCTTACAAATGAATAGTTAAAAGCCACCCTTTGCCTCCTCAGGAAGAGCATCAGGTCACTGCCCCAGTTGCCACGACTAGTGTTTTAAGGCTGGGACACTTCATGCAAGGAGCTCAGGAGAAGAGAAGTGTTTATTTCATTTTTTAAAAAAAGAAAACTAATTAACCATCACCATTGTATGTGGCACTGTTCTTCACGATCAGCTCCACCTGCTCCCGGAATTCTTCGCGGGATGGGTAAAGGCGTTTGCGGACGTTTTCTCGCAAGGTCTGCAGGTCCATTGGCTTCGTGATGATCTTGTAATAATCTTTGACGACCTTCCCGTTAACAGGCTGGTGGAAGGGATATGTCTGAGAGAAGCAGAGGAAAACCCGAAAGGAAGGTGAGCTTCCCTTTTGCATCTTTGCACACCACTTTCCCTTAAGGTATCAGGGCTGCGTACAGCAACATAAAAGCATTGCTTGCCAGGCAGAGGGCAGAAAACAGCCCGCCTGCCCCAAAAGGCTACCAGAGCCATTCCAAGCAGGCATCCTCCCTATGAGAAACGTTTTACACCATAGCTGTCAACTTTTCCCTTTTCTTGTGAGGAATCCTATTTGGAATAAGGGAATTTCCCTTAAAAAAAGGGAAACGTTGACAGCTTTGTTTTACACATTTCACCTTCGAGGTGAAAATCACCTTGTTTCACCTTGTTTTTCTTCACCTTGTTTTTCTTACGTATTTTGTGTTCTCATTTTCTACTTTTACATTGTGAACCACCCTGCATTCTTTGGACAAAGGGCAGTTTGGACACCCTGTAGAAAATCTCCTACAAAACCCTGTACAAAAAATCTCATAAATCAGGTTTTCTGTTGTTCCCATCCAACCAAGGAGCTGGTCCTCCCGATACCTGGGAAGCAAAGAGCCGCCTTGCCTCTGCACGCAACATTCAACGAGAAGAGGCCAAAATCAAACCCCGCAGGGAAAGAGGTCTTACATTGGGAAGATCTCGCATCTCATTGATAATGCTTTCCAGGATAGAGGACAGAGTCACCATGGGGTCGGTGCGACGCCGGTGGATGGATTTGTGAGGCCGCTGAAAGAGACAGAAGCGACGCGCTAAAGACCCTTCCAAGGTTTGCACAAAGATCTTGACAAAGAGCATCGCCAAGCATTCAGCTGGTCTCTGCTCTTTAGGGGAGGGATTGCCCCCTAGCTGTGGCCAGCTTGCAGCCTACTGGCCCTCTGACCGAGGCTTGAAGTATGTCCTTGTGTCCCTGCAACCGTCTCCCAGACTGACCGTGGGCAGGGGGAAGGAGCACAAGAGTCAGGGAAGGGCTCACGTTCAAGTAGTCGCAATGAACTGTGGTCCCGACGCGCCGTTTCTTCTTCGGTGGGAGCTGCTGTTTTGGGAACTTCAGCACTAAAGACTTCCTGCGAACTTCATCCGCGCTGCAAGGAGAGAGGGGAGAGACGTGAGCTGTAAGCTTGCACCCCCCTCTTCCTTTGGTGCGTCTAGCCGCCACTCTGGGAGGGACTGAGTCAACCACAAAGCACAGCAAGAAGCCCGTTTACTCTTTCAGTGGGTCTAGTCTGGGGTCAAAGGAGCTGTAAGTTGAAGACCTGTAACCCCACCACAGGTCAGCTCACAAAGGTGCTACCAATTCTACCTTGTGCGTCAGCCAGTTGCTGCTCCTGCTATTAGTAATTGACGTTTAGTGACTTGTTATGAGCTGTGGGTTAAACCACAGAGTCTAGGACTTGCCGATCAGAAGGTTGGCGGTTCGAATCCCTGCGATGGGGTGAGCTCCCGTTGCTCCGTCCCAGCTCCTGCCCACCTAGCAGTTCAAAAGCACGTCAAAAGTGCAAGTAGATAAATAGGTACTGCTCCGGCGGGAAGGTAAACGGTGTTTCCGTGCGCTGCTCTGGTTTGCCAGAAGTGGCTTAGTCATGCTGGCCACATGACCCGGAAGCTGTATGCCGGCTTCCTCAGCCAATAAAGCGAGATGAGCACCACAACCCCAGAGTCGGTCACGACTAGACCTAATGGTCAGGGGTCCCTTTACCTTTACTATGAGCTGTTGCATGGCTATTTTTAAAGGATTATGTTATTTTATGGGTGTTTTGGACTCTTTTTACTTTACCTTGCTGGTTAACTGCCTTGCACCCTGTGCAATGGGTGGTATGTGAGCCATCTCTTCAATTATCCAATGGCCTTCTCTTTTTGGGAACAGCCTTGCCAAACAGACCCATGAGGCATCTTCGCTGATGATCTTTGGGCAACGGCATTTCTTCTCTGCAACGCTCCCGACTGACGGGTCACACCATTTCATGGTTTTACCATTTACGGATTCATTGCTGAGCAAAACGTTTGAGCTCGATCAGGCATAGGCCAACTCGGCCCTCCAGGTGTTTTTGGCCTACAACTCCCATGATCCCTAGCTAACAGGACCCGTGGTCAGGAATGATGGGAATTGTAGTCCCAAAACATCTGGAGGGCTGAGTTTGCCTATGCCTGAGCTGGATGATCTAAAAGACCTCTTCCGACTAAGTACTACTTGGAGCAGATCCACTAAAATTAACAAGCCTAAATGAGGCATATTCATTCTTTGGGTCCGCTCTGGATTATGATGAACACAGGACACAACCCTGTTATTCTACTTAGGGCAGTTACCTGCGTGCCCAGAAGGGTGCCAGAAAGGAGCAGGGCAGAAGCAGAACGAGAAATCCCCACTTACTGCAAAGGAACCCCAGGGTAAGTGGCTTCCGGAGGGGAGCCGCAGAAAGAATGATTGGTCAAGGGAGATGTGGACTCAAAAAGGTTAAAAACCACTGGCATAGGAGAAAGTTTTTGCTCCTCTCTGGTAACAGTAGAAATTGTGGCCATTCAATGAAGCTGAATGGTGGAAGATTTGGCATTTATTCCTGCAACGCATAGTTAAAGTATGGAACTTGCTCCCACAGGAGACCGCATGACGGTGGTGCTCTGTCAATGGCTACAAACCACAATGGATATGACCAGTAATGCTTCTGAATAAAAGGTAAGGTAAAGGGATCCCTGACCATTAGGTCCAGTCGTGGCCGACTCTGGGGCTCATCTCGCTTTATTGGCCGAGGGAGCCGGCGTACAGCTTCCGAGTCATGTGGCCAGCATGACTAAGCCGCTTCTGGCGAACCAGAGCGGCACACGGAAACGCCATTTACCTTTCCACCAGAGCAGTACCTATTTATCTACTTGTACTCTGATGTGCTTTCGAACTGCTAGGTTGGCAGGAGCAGGGACCGAGCAACGGGAGCTCACCCCGTCGCAGGGATTCGAACCGCCGACCTTCTGATCGGCAAGTCCTAGGCTCTGTGGTTTAACCCACAGCGCCACCCGCTTCCCACAGACTTTTGGGTCCCCACTGTGAGATTAGGATGCTTGGACTAGATGGGCTATGGCCCTGATCCAGAAGACTCCCCTATCTGTGAGATGATGTCAAACGCCTCTCACCTCTCGATGAGCTGCTTCCCCAAGACGATCTTGGTCCCCTCCACTTTGATCAGCTCCTCGTTATCGTTGGGGATGACGGTCTTCTCCAGCTCCTCCTCCTGCTCCTCCGTCATGGCAACGGGGTTGGAGGGCGGAGCGTTGGTTTGGTAGTAGAGGGGGCAGAATTTGTTGGTCCGCATGTGGCCAATGGCACCGCAAGCGCCACACTTTAACTGCAAGCAAAAGCAATGGGGTGACGGCTTGACTCCAGAAGCAAAAAAAAAGGGGGGAGATTTCTCAAGGGACACAGGCAGGGCTTTCATCAACTGCACCACCAGCAACACAGAAGCAGCTTAAAGCTAAATTGTGTACATACTAAGTTGCATAGCTGCAGAATCCAGATTTAGGGGAAGGAAATCCCAGATAGGTAGCCGTGTAGCTAAAAAAATTAAAGAGTCCTGCGGCACACTTAAAGACTAACAAATTTATTATGCTGTCATCTTTTGTGGATTCAAGATCACCCTGTCAGTGGCATGGAGTTCTTAGCTGGGAGGTAGATAAAGGAGAGACTTTTAAGGTGGGAGCCGAATGGCAAGGAGATGCAAAAAAAACTAGTCTGTGATAAACTAGAGTTGAAACTTATTACAATTTTTGCTTTCTTACTGCCAACTTTCACCTAATGCTTTTGACAAAGGGGGTTTGTGCCCACAATATTTTATGCCTTAATAAAATGTGTTAGTCTTAAGGTGCCACAGTAAAAAAAAATTTAGCTGCATGGCTACCATTCTGGGATTTTTTAAAAAAAATATATGAATTCTGCAGCTATGCAATCTAAATTCAACAAAGTCTCTCAACTAAGCTGGGCTACACATTTCCTTCCTTGCAGAATTTATGCTGCTCCTGCAAGACTTTGAGGAGGGGGCAAGAACAGGATAACACCACCAAGCACCACCTGTTAAGGCCCACACTCTGGTTTCTGAGATGCTGCCATGCATGCTTACTTTTCTTCCACAAACACAACAGCTGGTTAAGGTAAAGGGACCCCTGACCATTAGGTCCAGTCGCGGACGACTCTGGGGTTGCGGCGCTGATCTCGCTTTATTGGCCGAGGGAGCTGGCGTACAGCTTCCAGATCATGTGGCCAGCATGACTAAACCGCTTCTGGTGAACCAGAGCGGCACATGGAAACGCTGTTTACCTTCCCGCCGGAGCAGTACCTATTTATCTACTTGCCCTTTGACGTGCTTTCAAACTGCTAGGTTGGCAGGAGCAGGGACCGAGCAACGGGAGCTCACCCCGTCGCGGGGATTCGAACAGCCAACCTTCTGATTGGCAAGCCCTAGGCTCTGTGGTTTAACCCATAGCACCACCTGCGTCCCTATTTTAAAATTTAAAGACCACAAGAGAAGGACCCAGAGGCAGCCAAAGTTTTCAAGAGAGACAGCTTACCTTAAGGTCTGTCCGCTCCTTCATCTTCTTGGGCTTCTTCTCAGGAGGACCCTTCAGCTTCTCCTTCTCTTGGTTTCGTTTGAGCCGCCGCAGCTGCTCCTGGATCCGGCGCCTCTCTTTCCGCATCTCCTCCCGGTGCTGCTCGTCAAAGAGGGCAAACTTCCGGCTGGAAACACAAAGGCGAGGGAATTTGATGTTGTGGGACTCAACCTCCCATCATCCCAGACAATTGGCTCTGCTGGCAAGCCCTGATGGGAGCTGTGTATAGCCAGCAGCTTCCAGATGACCACAGGCTTCCCTGGCCTAACGGTAGGGCCGGCCACTAAGCATTAAGGCACACAGATAAACAAAAACTAGGCATATGGGCTTTTCAGATGTTGCTGGACTACAGCTCCCATCATCCTTGACCACTGGCTATGCCCGCTAGGGCTGATGGGATTTGGAGTCCAACAACATCTGATGGGGCCACAGATTCCTCACCTCTGGACTACAATGTTGGCTGCTGCCCAATTTGATTCACTCTGCCTGACTCCTTGTGCTGGTTCCATATTTTCTTATTTGCTGTATCCTGCCCGTGTGTATTTTTTTCCAAGTAGAAAAAGACACGAAGGCAGGATGCAACTTTTTTTTTTAAGGAACAAATATAAACAAACTGCACGTTTTCTGGCCTCTCGCCACTCTCCTTTGGCAAGGAGATTCCCACCCTATCGACATGTCACTCCCAAGAGGAAAGCAGCGTCTCTGGAATGCCCTTACATGAACTCATCATCCTTGGTTGTCCGTATCCTGCTGTAGGCATCGATGACTGCGGGCTTGCGGACCGTCTCGCACCTCACGTACTCCTTCCCGTCCTCGTCGCGGAAAGTGCGGTAGATTTTCAAGCGGCGGCCCGTGGCGGAGGAGTTCAGGCTGGTCACAGAAGCTGTGTCGTCATCTTTGTGAGACCCTCCCAGGCTGCCAGGGGTGGAGGCTGCAAGGAAAAACACGGGCTGCGTTGCCGAGGGGACAAGCCAAGGCGGTGAGTTCTCCATGCGGAAACCGAAATGCCTAGTGTCTCCAGTATCCAATGGGAAGGGGCAAAGGCAGACCTCGGGACTGGACGTCCAGCAGAGAGCACACAGGAACCGCCACCACCCCCCCATTAAACCATGCACCTTTTAAGCAATGTGCACCCCAGGAGAGCACCTTCAGCAAGCTCTCGTTCCCACTGTCCAAGTTCCCTTTCTCTATAAGCCTTAAATGCCCAAAGACCTAAATACTATGTCCCTTATACACTGCCCACCATCTGAAGAAGCCCTCTGGACTATCCCAGTGTTATGTGGCATTTGTTTAGTTTCTCTGTGTACACACACATGCACAAAAGAGAAAGAGAGAGAGAGAGCTATACAGTGGTATCTCGGGTTACATACGCTTCAGGTTACAGACTCCGCTAACCCAGAAATAGTACCTCGGGTTAAGAACTTTGCTTCAGGATGAGAACAGAAATCGTGCTCCGGCAGCGCCGCGGCAGCAGGAGGCCCCATTAGCTAAAGTGGTGCTTCAGGTTAAGAACAGTTTCAGGTTAAGAACGGACCTCCGGAACAAATTAAGTACTTAACCCGAGGTACCGCTATATATAGCTATAGCTATATCTGGACGTTGGTGGCCCTGTGGTCTAAACCACTGAACCTAGGGGTTGCCGATCAGAAGGTTGGTGGTTCGAATCCCCGCAACGGGGTGGGCTCCTGTTGCTCGGTCCCAGCTCCTGCCAACCCAGCAGTTCAAAAGCACACTAGTGGAAGTAGATAAATAGGTGCCACTGCGACGGGAAGGTAAACGGCATCTCCGTTTCGGCAGCAGCAGCTTAGTCATGCTGGCCACATGACCTGGAAAAACTGTCTGCGGACAAACGTCGGCTTCCTCAGCCAGTAAAGCGAGATGAGCACCGCAACCCCAGAGTCGTCCGCGACTGGACTTAACTGTCAGGGGTCCTTTACCTTTACTTTATATCTGGACCACAACTCCCATCATCCCTGAGGATTGGGCCATACTGGCAAAGGATGCTGGGAGTTGGAGTCCAAGAACACCAGGAATGCCACAGCTGCTGCTGCATTAAGACTATAGCTGGATCCCAGAGCTGCCCCCTATCTGGGGACCTTCCTGCCCCTGCCAGGCACTCACAGAGCCCTTTCTTGTCCTTCCTGTCTTTCTTGCCCCTCTCCTTCTCGTTGATGCTGTCCTCTCCCATCAGCATCCTCTGCAGTTCCTTCCGCTCCTGCTCCTCCCTCTCCCGCGACAGCTGGGAGCTGGTCTTCTTGTTCTGGAGCATGTTCTCAATGTTCTTCCCCATCTCCTCAAAGTCGCTGTCCTCCGCAGAGCTGCTGTCGGTGTCCGTGGATAAGATCTCCGTAGACTCTAGGACCCTGAAGAAGAAAACCACCACCGGGGTCAACCTCTTTGGGTTTGTAGCATGTAAGGCACTGGGCCGCAAACAGGAGGGCGGAAACACAAGCATCGCAGCGGCTTTCAAGGAGTCACAACCACAGAGCCCTGGTGACTCTCCTATACACACTAGGACACCGAAAGCGGCCTAAAGCATAGCCAGAACAGACACTTTGGCACCCTATTTGCAAAATTTAACAATTCCAAAATACAGTGGTGCCTCGCAAGACGAAATTAATCCGTTCCGCGAGTCTCTTCGTCTTGCGGTTTTTTCGTCTTGCGAAGCACAGCTATTAGTGGCTTAGCGGCTTTTAACGGCTTAGCGGCTTTAAGAAAAAGGAAACAAACTCGCAAGAACTCGCAAGACGTTTCGTCTTGCGAAGCAAGCCCATAGGGAAATTCGTCTTGCGGAACGACTCAAAAAACGGAAAACCCTTTCGTCTAGCGAGTTTTTCGTCTTGCGAGGCATTCGTCTTGCGGGGCACCACTGTACAGACGCGCCTTCACTTTTGCAAGAATGAATATACTGCCTTCGGCTGTACTTGAGGGTTGATTTCAAAAACTTCCACTGGAGAAACAGTTATGTCCATGTGGACACTGATTGAGTCAGTGGCTCACCTGCTTCTGGTCGGCACTCTTCGTAAAGATTTGAGGAGTGAGGTTATCACCCCTCTATTATTGTCCATGCCGGGTCATTCAACCATTGCTACTGCATCCTTTCTTTTAAAAGACCAAGACCCTGCTCAGCGGGGCCCCCGCCCTGCCACTCACCACCTGGCCTAGGGCGGGGCCTGACGGGCTCCATAAAGGACTGCTGCCGCTGCTGCTGGACAGGGAGGGCTCCGTTTTTGGTTTTTTGGTTTTAAATTGCTGTTATTTTTTACCTATGTCATTATTAATGCTGTATTCTTAGTTTTAGATTTTTATTTATGTGGAAATTGTTTTCCATTTGGTTGTGTATTTTTTTTTTATGTGGTTTATTTATTATGACTTTTGTAATTAAGTAAATCTTGTCATGTTGTAAGCCGCCTTGAGCACTGTTTTTAACTGTGGAGAGGCGGCATACAAATAAAATAATGATGATGATGATCAGGCGTCAGCAAAAACTGCAAGGTTTTTAGTGGCAGCAATTAGAATAAGATCTATTATTGGATTATTGATGTAAACCTCCAATATGTATTTTGCATGGTTAAATTTTTACCTCTGTCTTTAGCACATTTTGTTTTATTGCCGTGGCTAGTGGCTGGTGCAAATAAAGGTTTTTCTGGTTCATAGTCAAGACACTGGTCCATCTATCTCAGGACTGACAACACTGACTGGTAGAAGGATGGGTAGGGGAAGCATGGCAGAAAAGGTCACATGCCCGTGGTACAGGCCAAAGAAACTCACTTGTTCTGCAGGTCAAAGATGCGCTGGCACTCCTCCTTGTACCTCTCCTGGTGCTCCGCCACGGAGAAGCGAGACCCGCGGGCAAATTTGCTCATCGGAGTTTCACCCGAGCGAGCCTGCTCCGTGGACATGGTGCGCACGACGTCGATCACCTCCCAGCGGGAGAGCTTCTTGATCTGCAGAGAGAGATTGGCTGAGTGAAAAAGACCGCTGAGGGGAGGGTCCGGGCACAAGCCTGAGATAGCGCCTACTCACCTCCTCCTCGGGAACGCCAAACTTGCGCAGAAGCTGCTTGGCGTTTTTGAGCGACAGGCGCCGCAGGTCCGCGTCCGTCCCAGTCACCGTCTTCTTCACCGGCTGAGGCTCCTTGTCGTCCTGCTTGAAGGAGAAGGAGAGCAGGACTCTTCCTGTCAGAGTCCCATCCAGTTACCCTCCCACTTCCCAGGCCTGGGCAAAGAGCTTGGGGAAGGAAACGTGCTTCAGGACTAATAATAGTAATAATAATAATAATAATGATAATAATTTTTATTTATACCCCGCCCTCCCCAGCCAAGACCAGGCTCAGGGCGACTAACAACCGATATAAAAACGAATTGATTGAAATAGAACTTAAAAACAAGATTAAAATACAACATTAAAACATTAAAATTAAAATGCAGCCTCATTTCAATGGAAACTCAGCCACCTTCAAAGGAAACTAGCCACCTCCTTAACCTTAAAGGTAAAGGGACCCCTGACCATTAGGTCCAGTCGTGGCCGACTCTGGGGTTGCGGCGCTCATCTCGCTTTATTGGCCGAGGGAGCCAGCACACAGCTTCCGGGTCATGTGGCCAGCATGACTAAGCCGCTTCTGGAGAACCAGAGCAGCGCATGGAAACGCCGTTTACCTTCCCGCTGGAGTGGTACCTATTTATCTACTTGCACTTTGACGTGCTTTCAAACTGCTAGGTTGGCAGGAGCTGGGACTGAGCAACAGGAGCTCACCCCGTCACAGGGATTCGAACCGCCGACCTTCTGATCAGCAAGCCCTAGGCTCTGTGGTTTAACCCACAGCACCACCCGCGCCCCTCATAACATTATCTAACCCCTAACTACCTCAGGGGGCAGAATAGGAAAGCTCATCTTCTTCTCCCTTCCTCACCGGCAAATCAGAGGAGGAAGCAACAGAAAGAGGCGGCTCCTAAGCACCTGCCGCACAACCATGGGCCCTTGCTCCACACTTTTCTAACCTGGCCCTTCCACTTACTTTCTGCTGCGTTGGCTTGTTTGGGATCTTCACGTAGGAGAAGCCTTCTCCGCATCCCGTAGGGTCTGCCACTCCCGTCACTTCCAAGAGACATTTCCCCTTCATGGCTGCAATGAAGGCCCGTGTGGTGTTCCAGGGAGCTGTGCGGACCTGAGAGGAAGGGGAGGGGGAGCCATGTCACTCCAGGCTTGCGCAACCGAGGCCGTGAGAAGAGATTATCTCCACCTGAGAACATTTACCACTTCCCCAGTGGCCTAGCACCCACGGGCCCCTATTGCACCCTGGATACCACCAGTTGTACCTCATCATCTATCTTCATCTGGAAGTCCTCCTCGTTTTCTTCTTCTGGGGCAAAGAAGGATTTCTCTCCATAACCTGCGTCCTGAGGAAAGAGAGGGTTAGGAAGCAATTTTCTGAGTCATGTGGGACACCCCCATATGCCAGGTGAATGTCAGGAGCTGGAGTCAAGCGTAGGTCAGCAATGAAAAACAACAACAACCACGCTGTCTGTGCAGTTAACTCTTCATTCAAAGAAACCAAAACAGTGCAGGCCTAGTGGTCCCAGTAAGACTAGATCTAGGCACATCAAAGAAGCGATTCAGTTAAATGCATTGTAGATTCATACAGGGAAATCCGGGGAGGAAAGACGGGACTCCACAACACCATCTGGTGTCAGTGTTATATCGCTTATACAATGCATATAGAACGCTTTTTCTTTGCCAATCTAGCTGAGTCCCAGGTCTTAATACAATGAGGCAGTCGCAAGAACTTCAAAGTCCCTGCCTTCCCACCACACTCTTAGGCTCCTCCTCTCCAGCGTCTTTCCCAAAGTGCCTCTGCATACAACCAATTTCTACTCTGTTCTTTTCATTTATCTGCATGTTTTGGAAACCTGGGGGAATAGGAGCTGGTTGCAACAGGAGGGGGAGACTCCCTGGCTTCTTCAGCAGCTTGCCTCTACTTTGCTTTCCGCTCCTCAACAAACTGTCTCTGACCTGCTCTCTGTCCCACCTTCCTTCTCACTAAACTCGCTTGCCTCTTCAAGTTTCCAACACCACCTCCTCCCTGACCACTCATTGTCGCCCCACCACCATTCCCCTGGTTCTGAGCCTTCTTTCCCTTGGGGGCTCACAAACTAGTGCCACCCCCCCCCTTGCATCTAGTCAGTCCACAACACTCCAGGGTGGACAGTTGAGGACACAGGATCATCTACTCCCTTGGGCTAGTCTACTTAACAAGAAATTTATTTACCGTATTGGCCTGAATATAAGCCACACTTTTTTTCCAAACTCCGATCATGAAACATTCAAGTGCGGCTTATATTCGCGACTCCCACCCCCCAGGAAGCAGTCCAGGAGCATAAGGCAACAGCGCCCAGCCCACCCACCCGCAGCTCCCAAGCCTCCAAATTTTAAAGGTGTGGCTTACTTACGGGTGCAGCTTATATTCAGGCCAATACGGTATTGTTTATTTAGGATGCGTTTAAGGTTTATTTGTTTACTGCATTTATATCCCATTTTTTTTCTCCAAGGAGCTCACAACAGCCCTGTGAGGTAGATTAGGTTGAGAGGCAGTGACCGGCCCAAAGTCACCTAATGAGCTGCATGGCTGAGAAGGGGATTTGAACCCCTGTTTCCCAGGTCCTAGTCTGACATTCTGACCACTGCACCACCGCTGACCAGGTTCTGCAACATGTACTGTACTTTTCTGTGTATAAGACACCCCCATGAATAAGACGGTCCTATTTTGAGGGACTCAAATTTAAGAAAATGGGGGGAGATGGCTCTGAGTTGTTGAGCTTTTTTTAGGGGGGATTGCCAAAAATCACTCAACCGCATGCGGCGCAAAATCCAGCTCTCATCTGTCCCCTTGCCAACAGAACCTGCCAATCGCCTGCCCAACTGCCACAGCGTCACCCAATCAACACCAGCCCTTGAATAAATTTACAGAGTATATCAAAAATGTATGTGAGGACCAATTAACGCTTGTTGGCTTTCAAGAAGCTCTGTGAAAATGATTGATAGAAATGTTGCTTAAAAGAGATGATAAGACTAAGATTGTTAAAGCGCAATATAAATTTAAGAAATGCGAGTAATTGTGATAATATGGAAATTGTCAGATAGGCTGGGGGAAGTCTAAAAGAGGTAGATGTTAGAAATGGACGTAAAAAACGGATGGAATGTATATTGGAAACTGAATAAAAATTAATTATAGGGGGGGGAAAACCAGCCCTTGACGCAGCAACCAATCAAACGTCAACCCTATGCGCTATCCATGTATAAGACGACTCCCACTTTTTAGCATAATTTTTAAAAGAAAAAAAACCTAGTCTCATACACAGAAAAGTACGGTACTTTGCCTTTATGATTCTCCCACTGGTGGAGATTGGCAGGAGGAAGATGGCCTTGCAGCTCTCAAAATACCTTGCAAAGCGCAAAAGCAAGCAACCAAGAAGGACTGGGGAAATTCACAAAAGGCATAGGCTCACCTTCAAGCGCTGCTCAGCAGAGATCATGCTGTAATAGGCACAGCACTGCTCTGGAGACACCATCGCTCTAATCTCCTCTTCGGTGGGGAGTCGGAAATCTGGCTTTAGAACCCACCAGTTCGAGTCCATCCCTGAAAAAGGCAGGGGTCCCCAATAAGACAGGCTAGGAAATATTCCCTCCCTCCTCTCATAGTCCCAAGAGCAGGACCAGCAAGCAGACGAAATTTCAGATGTGGGAAGTGTCGGAAGGCATTGCAGTTACAGCACTCGTGGCAGAGACAAAACACAGGACCTTCTGCTGGCAATGAAGGCGCTTGAATGCCGAGATGTGGCCCCTTCTCAGAAAAACGATGCTACGCTCAGCGACTGGCCACCTCGGCGGAACGGGGCACTTGCATGACACCGCAAAGTTAGCAAAGCCTACCTGTGCGCTTGAAGTCTGCGCAGAGCTTCAGCCGCTTGCGGATGCTGCTCTCTGAGTGGGAAGGAAAGGCCTTCTTAATATCCTCCATGCGGATCCTTCGGGGCCGGTCTCTGCTCTTCCAGAACAGGCGATATATGAAGACCTGGCAAGGAATCCCAAGGAACAGTATGAGTTACAAGCAGGGGCGTAGTGTGAGGCGGTGCCAGTAGGGGGTGTGAACCAGGCGATCCCCCAGTGAGGCCCAGCCCGGTGCTCCTCTCTGCCCACTAAGGGCCAAACTGGCCAGCTGGGGTTTCTCTATGTTGTGCATGACCTTTTGATTTGATTTGCTCAATTTTATTGTTTTCCTTTTTTTGGAAAGTACTAAGAACTTTTTCCCCCTCTTCTTTTTTAGAGACCCGGGTGGCGCTGTGGGTTAAACCACAGAGCCTAGGACTTGCCGATCAGAAGGTCGGTGGTTCAAATCCCCGCGACGGGGTGAGCTCCCGTTGCTCGGTCCCTGCTCCTGCCAACCTAGCAGTTCGAAAGCACGTCAAAGTGCAAGTAGATAAATAGGTACCACTCCAGCAGGAAGGTAAACGGCGTTTCCGTGCGCTGTTCTGGTTCGCCAGAAGCGGCTTAGTCATGCTGGCCACATGACCCGGAAGCCAATAAAGCGAGATGAGCGCCGCAACCCTAGAGTCGGTCACGACTGGACCTAATGGTCAGGGGTCCCTTTACCTTTACCTAATGACTTTTTTAAGACAACAACAACAACAGTAGTCTCTAGCAAGTGAGCCAAACTGCAAGAGAGGACAAGTACTCTGAGGTTACTAGCCAATCTGATCTCAAGTATAAAGACCTTTTTTAAACTGTCTGCCCTCTTCCACAGGCCCGTGTGTCACAGCTGAGACAACACCAGTTGTATGCGCTAAACAACTTGCTTAAAAAAAAAATTCTTCTCTTCCCTGAGCTTGCCGCAGAGATAATTTGCACAAACCTGTAGAAAGTCTCGGATGTGAGTATTGGCCCGTTTAGAGTTGGGTCCAGGAACTTCAAAGAGAGGACATTCTTGTCCAACCACAAATATATCCACCAGCTCCCGGATGTAATAAGCTTGTCGCGTCCGGATAACTAAGAAGTCTGTTTCAGGCATCTTGTGAAGGTAGATCGGAGCCCGGAAGAGATTGTTTTCAAATGCCTGGTGAAAAGAAAAAGGGGCCACCATTTGGTCAACTGCAAAAGCAGTCAGAGGAAGAAAAGGAATCTGCCATAACCTTACAGGCCAGTTTTAGTCCTGGAGATGCACTGGGATTATCCACCAAACCCAAGAGACAGTCGAGATAACACAACAGGCTCCAAGATGGGCAAGCACCACAAAAATATTTATATTCTGAATATAAGAGTCTGAAGTTCGCTACACAGCAAGTCATTTTCCATTCCCCAAAGGTGACTGGTGTGCAAAAAAAATAGAAAGCGGAAGAACTGGTTGCTTGCCTGCATATGTTTTAAGTATACTCTCTGAAGCCACGGAACAGGTGGGGTACTGGATGCAGCCCATGGACGAGTCTGCCATGAACTGGGATGCCTTAATCAAATTGTTTTCCCACCCCCAGCCTCCAGCCTCTGCTGGTAGCTTGGGTAAGAAGCACCCATGCTCAAGAGACAAACTCCCTAGCCATGACTGAGTTCTGCATCACAACTTTACTTGTGTAAATCTGAGCGATTTAGCAGTAAACACTCCTGCCTCCCTAAGGGGTCTTCCAAAAGCTGCATTGTTTAGACAGGACTTTACATTTATTTATTTTTAACCTATCAGTACTTGCTATTTTAAAAAAAAATAATGAAGTTTTTGCCTGACACTTTCCCTGATTTTATTGTAATCTTGTATTTTGCATACTGCTCTCGTTATACTTTCAGGAAATGTGGATTATTAATACTGCAATAAATAATAAGCAAATGAATTCTGGATTGCTTCATTGGTACCGCATGAGGCTCTTAAATCGCAGGGTTGTGGGTTCAAGCCCCACACTGGGCAGAATGGTCTCAGCCCAGTATAAAGGAGCGTCTCCACCCCCATCGTTCACCAAGGTCCAGCTCCGAGGGCCCTCTGGCGGTTCCCTCACTGCGAGAAGTGAGGTTACAGGGAACCAGGCAGAGGGCCTTCTCAGTGGTGGCACCCGCCCTGTGGAATGCCCTCCCATCAGATGTCAAGGAAATAAACAACTATCTGACTTTTAGAAGACATCTGAAGGCAGCCCTGTTTAGGGAAGTTTTCTATGTTTGATGTTTTATCGGGTTTTTAATATTCTGTTGGGAGCTGCCCCAAATGGCAGCTTATACCCAGTGGGGTATAAATTTATGATGATGATGATGATGATGATGATGAGATTCCTGCATTGTAGGAGTTTGGACTAGAAAACCCTCGTGGTCCCTTCCAACTCTACAGTCCTATGATTCTATGAATTAATACTGCTGCTGCACACGAAATACCTGCATTGAGAAAGAGATGGGCAGACCTTAGAAAGGCCACCTGCTCAAGCAATTGCAGCTGGTGGTAATTCAAAGCACACACCAACTCCATCCTGATCCCCGTGCCCCCTGTAAAAGTCAAATCTCTCACCTGGAGCAGCTGGCCCGGATGAAGAGAGCCCAAGAACGGGGAGGTGTGGCAGTACACCGTCTCTCCGTATTTACAGTCTGGGGCACCAGGATCCTTGCCCGGTTTCTGCCAGGAAGGAAGGAAGACAGGATTAAGTCAGAAGGGCAGGTTCAAATTGCAGAAGCTGAAAACCCCGGCAGCCAAACCCCAGCGCACTCACCCGCTTGTAGTAGTTCTTGATCTTGGTTGCCATGCCGACCTGCATCATCAAGGGGGCGTTCTCCTCACTGTACTCGGCCAGGATGAGGTCGCCGTCCTTGCCAGTGAGGTCAGCAGGGGTGCGCATGAAGAACATCTCCCCGCCGCCAGAGGCTTGCCGCTCCTGTTCTCTCATCTGGGCGTGGAGCAAGGAGGAGGTTATCAAGGGACCAAAAGACAACGGAAACCCAAGCGGGGGATCCCAGGAAGAGCAGGGAAGCCCCTCAAAGTGAAGAGCAGCCAAGGTGGCAGCTGTCAAAGCAGAACCAGGAAGTGGGAGGGCCTCACCTTGGCTTTCTTCTTTATGTGCTTCAGCAGCGGCTGCACCGGATGAGGGCCGGGCTGGGAAAGGGTCCCAAAGGAGTATTTCTTCAGGGGAGGCCGGTGAGCCTGGCGCAACTTCATGGGGCCCATGTGGGTGGGGAAGAAGGGCTGCCGGAGCTCCACCGCAGGGATTGAGTGCTGCACCAAAAAAAAGCACATGTGCGCGGTCACTCGGGGGCACAAAAATCAGGACGCACATTACCGCCAGCCACAGGGACACCTCCCCATCCCAGAACAGGGAAATCCTGAGTCACAGGAAGAGAAGGGGCTGAGGGATGTGTCCGCCCAAAGGACCTGCTGCTATCTTTTTATATTATTCTTAAAGATTTTCTTGATTTACAAAAGTGTTTGCAATGTCTGTCTCTCGTATTTTTTCCCCATGTAACATTTTTACAAATCAGTTTCATTTGTTGAGACATTAGGAAGAAAAGGGGGAAGAGGTTGGGGGGGGGAGATGGGTAGGGGTGGGGTCGGGTGGCGATGTTTCTACTTTACTTACTATATGTAGGGTTTGGTGTCAGTGTTGATTGTGCAGGTTCTCTGCTGTTCGCTTGTGTTCCTTTGGTGGTGAGAGAGGTTGGGGTTGGCCTAGGGTGTGGCTGTTCATTTGTGGTTGGCTGTGGTGGTCTTTGTTTTCATGTGTGAGTGGGGTGGGTAGGTGTTTTGGATCAGGTTAGCCATATTGATCTGTATGCTGTTGGTGGATTTTTGTCGTTGTTCTGTTGGGCTGTGTATGTGATAAAAGTGAGCCATACCGGGGTGAAGGCGTCTTCTTCTATTTGTCCCCGTGTCAGTTTCAGTTTATTGGTTAATTTTTCTAGTAAGGCTGTTTCCCATACTATTTGGTACCATTGGTCCATGCTTACTCCTGACAGGTCTCACCAGTGTCTGGCTATGATGCTTATGGCTGCTGAAAGTAGGTGGGTTATGAGTTCTTTGTGGTGTAAGTGGGCATTATTGTCTTGGAAGATGTTTAGTAAGGTCAATTCTGGGGTGATTTCTAATACTTGCTTGGTTATTTTACTTATTTCTTGTATGGCTGTTGTCCAGATCGTTGGATTTGGGGCACTCCCACCACATGTGGAGGTATGTGCCTGTGGAGGTGCACCCTCTCCAGAATTTTGGTGAGGTTCCTGGGCATATTTGCGCTAGTTTTCTTGGTGTTAGGTACCACGGACCTGCTGCTTTCTATAGCATGCAGAGCTTTGGGAAGAGGCCCTGCAAACTTCCAACCGAAAGCTGGGTCACCAGTTATACCTGCACAGGGCACCTTGTCCTACGACGAAGGCAGGGAACACCATTCGATGGCACATGGTTCTCAGAATGATGGAATTCTGAGATATTGCATTTTGCATACTTAAATGCACACATGGAAATGGAGAGAGTTGCCCATACTGGTTCTAACCTGGATGATGTTGCCTCCAAAGGTTCCACGAAGCCCCTGCTGCTTTGGATAGTAAAATTCATCATTTGAGAGGTTCCAGGGATCCTTCACCTCCGGCTGAGACATATTCTAGAGTTGCAACACAGGGAAGCAAGAGTCAGAATTCGTCTTCTGTTCATCATTCTTATGTGGGGGGGGGGGGGCGGACGGGACCTGAGCCATTCCCACAAACCTGCTGAGTCTCTTCCTTAATGACTCCCGTCTTGCCCAGGAGAATCCGGCTCTTCTTTAGAGAAGACTCTTTCTTGCTCTCTTTGGAAGGAGAGTTCAACGTCATCTCTTCCTTCTCATCAGGAATTTCTAGGAAGCAACATACAAGAGATTGGATTCTGAATGCTTGCCTGCAGATATCCGCAGCGCCACTTCAAATACAAAAAGGGACTCCAGTGGTGGTCAGGTGTCTTTGTCATCTCGATGTCTGTGACAGTGTTACACTGCTGGAAGATAAAAGTACTGTCCATTTTAGCTGTCTGTCCTCTGTTCTGCAGGCAGCTGATACCAGTGGGGGACAGTATTGTGCTTCTTTGAGAGTGTGCTAAGCAGTCAATATCCTGCTCAGTGCTAGAGTAGAAGCTTACACAAATGGTCAACATGCAATGGCTTGAATTTCTGTGGTAGATTTATTTACCATGTATTATTCTCTTATGGACCTTCTTATCTAACCTTTCATTTGAGCACCTGATTAGCTCAGAGATAGCAAGGCTCCTTATTTTTCTCTTAAGTAACACTTTGACATAAATGTCAACACAGTCAAAGGAATGTATTGCACCTGTTTTTACAAAGCAAATGAGTTTTTAGCCACAAATGTAATTTAAAAGGATATTTCCATTTCAGGGGAAAAAATACATAAAAGAAGCCCATTTGAATGCAGGGCTTATAATCATCAATCTCGTTTAGGTACCTATTTGGACATGAAACTATTTATAGTAACCTATGATGTTAAGCCGGGATTGATGGAATATTCTTTCTTTTAATACCATTTAACAGTATTTTTATTCTGTTACATTTGCAAAATTATTATTTTTTAAATGGCCTGATTTTTTAAAAATAGCCATTAAACTTAAAACTATCAGAGATTATGGGGATTTTTAAGCCTGAGGCAACGGTTCCTCCCTATGGGATCTTTTATATAACAGGTTACCTCACTCCCTACTTCTGCAATTTAAGCCCCACTGCTCATTACAGTATAGAAATAGCTACAGTGCAAATTTAAATAAGGGGGGGGAGGCAGTTAACTGTCATGGTTGCTGCAAAAGAACCTTGGCAATTACAGTTTACTGAAAGTTCTGTAAGAGATCCTCAGGCTCCTCATATTAACTACAATTGCCAGAATTCATTAGGAGAGGCAGTTTCCTGGGAGATAGAAAAGGCACGAGCTTCACCGCCCTTGGACAGGTGGTTGCTGAGGAAAAAATTTCCCTCAGCCCGCCTAAATTTTTCACCTTGAAGCCCAGTTACAAAATCACCATGCTTCAGAAAGCCAGAGATCTTTTCTCTCCAACCACTAGTAGGCCCAAAGGGAAAGCACAATGGTTCTGTGGACATACCCAGAATTATATTTTCATCATTTGGGTCAAGGGTCAGAACGGGTGGGGTCAAGACTTTCTCCATTGCCTCGTCATCCCAGATGATGTTGTCCTCCCAGCGGCCATAAACCAGCTCTTCGTTGTCAATGGGGAAAATAGAATACCACGGCTTGTCTTCATCCAGAGATGCTGCAGCAACACAACATACGACACATCTCTCTATTTCTGGAATACTAGGATACCGTCAAGTTCCACTTCCCCCAAACGAGGCCAGCCACCCTCTCCAAAAGGCAGACCCCACCCCACAGAGTACCACCAGAAGAGACCAACTCCAGACTCTGCCATTACGAGACAAGGAGGAAGAGCACATTGTCAATGGAGAATGGCTCCAGGTGGAGATCTTGTGTGGAATCAATGCTGCTCATTTAACACAAGGTTTTTGCACTGTCCGCAAGACATAGGTAAAGGTAAAGGGACCCCTGACCGGTAGGTCCAGTCGCGGACGACTCTGGGGTTGCGGCGCTCATCTTGCTTTACTGGCCGAGGGAGCCGGCGTACAGCTTCTGGGTCATGTGGCCAGCATGACTAAGCCCCTTCTGGCGAACCAGAGCAGCGCACGGAAACGCCGTTTACCTTCCCACTGGAGCGGTACCTATTTATCTACTTGCACTTTGACGTGCTTTCGAACTGCTAGGTTGGCAGGAGCAGGGACCAAGCAACAGGAGCTCACCCCATTGCAGGGATTCAAACCGCCAACCTTCTGATCGGCAAGTCCTAGGCTCTGTGGTTTAACCCACAGCGCCACCCGCGTCCCTCCTTAACCCTTGTATACCCCTCCCCATTCAGTAGCAGTAAAGCTCTGCTGGATGAAATACAATTGCCTCTGGTCTATTTTGTGGGGATCCTGCAACGTGTTAAAGTTTTTACTCTGTTAACTATACATTGGGATTCAACTCTGGATCAATATATGAATAGAATTCCATATATGAGTAGAATTCCCTACTTCTGCTTGTTCCTCACCAGAGCACACCCTTGCCATCTTTTTCCTGGAAACCCATAGGGCTCAAGTGCTCCCATTTGCACCGACTGTGCCACCTGCTGACTTAAGGCACGCTGGACTTTAAGCCACTCAATGCCAAGGCACTGCTCTCTCAAGGCCTCCTATGAAAAGCCCTTGTAGACCAGGCCAACGGCTCATCTAGTCCCATATTGTATTCTCACAGTGGCCAACCAGAAGTCCACAAGCAGGACATGAGCACAGCAGCAAGCCCCTCTGCTGCTGTTTCCAGCAACGGATATTCAGAAGAATACTGCCTCCAATGGTGAACATAGCCATCCAGATTGGGAGCCTTTGACAATCTAACCCTCCATAGATTTGTCGAATCCTGTGCACATTTCCCTTAATGGTCAATAAAATTATTATACTTAACCAACTAATTGATTAAAGTAGGTCATGCAGCCACTAGTGGGTGAACACAGTAACTAGAGAGATTGAGGTTATGATTCTATACATTCTCTGTTGTTGTTTAGTCATTTAGTCGTGTCCGACTCTTCGTGACCCCATGGACCACAGCACGCCAGGCACTCCTGTCTTCCTTTTATATGCCTTTTGTCTTTGTCCATGGAGTTTTCTTGGCAGGGATACTGGAGTGGCTTGCCGGTTCCTGCTCCAGGGGGATCACGTTTGGTCAAAACTCTCCACTATGACCTGTCCATCTTGGATGGCCCTGCACAGCATAGCTCATAGCTTCTCTGAGTTATTCAAGCCCCTTCACCCCGGCAAGACATTCTTACCTTGGAGTTAAGTCCCACAGAATTTAACAGAACATGCTGCTAATTAGACATACATAGGATTATGTTGCTGCAAAGCATGCTCCTCGGCTGCCAGTATTATTTGGGATTTCATTGATCTCTGTTAAGAATTGGGGTCGTCACATCCCCACCTTCTCTGGGCCTACTTAACAAAAGACTTGCATGTTCTGAGCGAAAGCAGAAGCAAGTTCCTGAATTTGGCTGGAGAATGTTTCGCACTGTTTGTGTTTATGTTTTAAATTGTGAACCGCCCTGAGACATATGAAGGGCAGTATACAAAATTCATCATCATCATCATCATCATCCCTTTTTAAAGCCATCTGAGTAGTCTTGTGTGCTCTGAAGCTCCTGCCTGGCTCACTACTCTCCCGTGCTGCTGGGAGAGATGGCCGAGGGTGGAATCAGAAAGCCAGCTAGGAACCCAGGTGTGGGGATCTCTGGTCCTGGGGCAGGGATGCCAGGATTCAACAACTCTTCAGGGTCACTGGTGGTGGAGAGATCTGTTGTGGGGTGCTGCTTCTCCTCTGAAGAAACCTTAAGTTTAATGTTTGGGCAGGGCTGAAGACCCAGAGCCTGCCAGGTAATTATCACCAGTTCCCTTTTTGCTGACCAACACATACCATCTCCTCACTGTGAGCCACAAGCCTCCGCTCCTCCTTACCTTGCTGCTCAGGGAGCTGCTTCTCTTTGCACTTGGCAAGGCCCATGACTCCTGACATGCTGGGCTTCTGCATCATAGGGACAGGCAAATTGAGCAGGGACCCACTGCGGTTCAGCCCTGGAAACAGAAGCAAGAGGGCATTGAAAATGTCAGGGAGCCTCTAAAAATCATATTGTCAGGAAAGCACTGTTTAATGTTTGGATAAGATACAAGGATTTATTGGAAAATAAAACCCCAAGGTGGTTGTCACCGATGGAAGCGAAAGCTCTGAAAAGGCTCAATATGGAGGCCAAATGGCTGAAATATTGGGAAATTTTGGAACAAGAAGGAGACAAATTGAAATTGCAGAGTTTCGAGAAACTAAAAAATAAAGTGAGAGATTGGCTTCATTATTATCAGATAATGGAGGCATTTAAATTGGACAAGAAAATTGGCTTCCAGGTGGAAAAATCAAAACTAGAAATAGAACTGTTAGAACCCAAAACTAAGAATTTGTCAAGAATGTATAACTTGCTGTTGAAATGGAATACTCAGGATGAAACGGTGAAATCTGCTATGATTAAATGGGCACAAGATGTTGGACATAATATTATGTTTGCTGACTGGGAACAGTTATGGACCACAGGTATGAAATTTACGGCATGCAATGCCTTAAGAGAGAATATTATGAAAATGATATACAGGTGGTACATGACCCCAGTCAAGCTTGCAAAAATCTATCATTTGCCCGATAATAAATGCTGGAAATGTAAAGAAACTGAAGGTACATTCTTTCACCTTTGGTGGATGTGCCCAAGGATTAAGGCTTTCTAGGAAATGATATATAATGAACTGAAAAAGGTATTTAAATATACCTTCTTGAAGAAACCAGAGGCCTTTCTTCTGGGCATTGTCGGCCAATTGGTGCCAAAGAAGGACAGAACTTTTTTATGTATGCTACAACAGCAGCAAGAATACTCATTGCAAAGTATTGGAAGACACAAGATCTACCCACTTTGGAAGAATGGCAGATGAAGGTGATCGACTATATGGAATTGGCAAAAATGACTGGCAGAATCCGAGACCAGGGAGAAGAGTCGGTGGAAGAAGATTGGAAGAAATTTAAAGACTATTTACAGAAATATTGTAAAATTAATGAATGATAGAATGATGTTGGATAGTAATTAAGCGGTTTCCAGCTGTAATGTTCTAAGAGAATATGAAAAAGGGTTATAAATGGGTTAAAATCTAATGGTAAGGATTTGCTGAACCAATAAATTGAAGTGGAATACAAAAAAGGGAGGTACAAGGAGGTCCGGGAAACAAGCTAAAGGAAAATAAGTAATAGAAAATATGTGTGTTGTTTAACTGTTTTTATTTTGTATTTTTCTTTTTTCTTTTTCATTTTCACTGTAATATTTTTAAAAAATCTTAATAAATATCTTATTTTAAAAAAAAGAAAATGTCAGGGAGCCTCTGCTGAAACCAGGCAGCAGCTGGCTAAGAAAGGTTCCAGGGCGATATACCAATAAAATCAGGCATTAAAAACAAACTGTTGACATTTTTGTTTCAATAAACTTTTGCAGCAAGAAGAAGAGTTTGGATTTGATATCCCGCTTTATCACTACCCGAAGGAGTCTCAAAGCGGCTAACATTCTCCTTTCCCTTCCCCCCCCTCAACAAACACTCTGTGAGGTGAGTGGGGCTGAGAGACTTCAGAGAAGTGTGACTGGCCCAAAGTCACCCAGCAGCTGCATGTGGAGGAGCGGAGACGCGAACCCGGTTCACCAGATTACGAGTCTACCGCTCTTAACCACTACACCACACTGAGATGAAGGGTCTCTGCTGTATTCATTTGGCATTGGTTTTAAAGCTGTAGAATTTTTAAAACCATTTTTAGCCATTCTTATTGTATGCCTGCACATCACCTTGAGGCGTATGTAGAAGGAGTAACAGTAATAATAAAAATTCCATTATCAAGAGGGTAACAAAGAAAGTCAGCAGCTTTGAAAAGACATAATTATCTGGAAGCTGCCATATCTTGAGTCTGACCATTGGTCCATCAAGCTCAGTATTGAGTACACTGACTGGAAGCAGCTTCTGGACTTTCCAGCAGCATTTCCTGACCATACCTGGAGATGCCAGGGATAATAAAAAATATTTATACCCCACCCATCTGGTAGGTTTCCCCAGCCACTCTGGGCGGCTCGCAACATAATATTAAAAACACTTTCCTAAACAGTGTTGCCTTCAGATGTCTTTAAAAATCAGATAGCTGCTTATTTCTGATGGGAGGGCGTTCCAAAGGGAGGGTGCCACTACCGAGAAGGCCCTCTGCCTGGTTCCCTGTAACTTCACCTTGCAGTGAGGGAACTGCCAGAAGGTCCTCAAACCTGGACCTCAGTGTCCGGGCTGAACGATGGGGATGGAGTACTGGGAGCCAATGGTAGGTCTTTCAGGACCAGTGTTATATGGTCTTGGCAGCCATTCCCAGTCACCAGTCGAGCTGCCACATTCTGGATTAGCTGTAGTTTCTGGGTCACCTGCAAAGGTAGCCTCACGTAGAGGGCATTGCAGTAGTCCAAGCGGGAGATAACAAGAGCATGCACCACTCTGACGAGACAGTCTCCGGGCAGGTAGGGTCTCAGCCTGTATACCAGATGGAGCTGGTAGAGAGCCGCCCTGGACACAGAATTGACCTGCATTTCCATGGACAGCTGTGAGTCCAAAATGACCCAGGCTGCACACCTGGTCCTTCAGGGGCACAGTTGTCCCATTCAGGACCAGGGAGTGCTTCACACCTGCCCAGGAACAGAACCTGGGACCTTTTGCATGCAAGGGAAGTACTCTGACACTGAACTATGGCCCTCGGCCCAGCTGCCTGCTGAGCTCACCTTGCTGGGCGTTGTAAGCAGTAGCATTCCTGGTCATGCTGGAGGGCAGCCAGCCAGCCAGACTAGCCCGCTGCGTCTTGGTCCCCTTGTGCTTGATGTCCTCCCCGTTCCAGATCACGTCGTCCTCCCACTGCAGCTGGGTCACCATGAGGAAGTGCTCATCTGCCAGCAGCGCATCCTTCTCCACCACAGCGCTCTGCAAGGGCAGAACAGAAAAGCATCAAGAGTTTTGACAGAAATAATGATTACTACTATGGAAACTACCGTCTGCTGTCCAGAATGAATGTCGCTGAATATTTGAGACAATGCCAATGCAGATATATGGCCAAAAGAATTGGTCTTATATATGATCCTGGCAGCACAAATTGCAACTCAATGGGAAACAGCCCCAAACCTTGCACTGGACACCTGGTACCACTCACTCTGGAATACAGCTGTAATGGAGAAAACTGCACATAATTTGAGATTCTGACAACGCCTAGAACCTCCAGGCACTTTTAATATATTTGGCGTTCTTTTATGACATATAGAGCAGAACCAGACCTTTTTTTCAACTCAATTCCAGCACCTCTCTGGGTGCCATTGCCATTCTAAAGAGAATGAGGGAGGTATAAATGATGAGTTCCAGCTCCTCTTTTTACAGAAAAATAGCACTGAGCGGAACTGTCATCTTCAAGCTGACCCTTGTCATAAGCCTGACAAAACTTCATTATCTGAGAACGTTGATAAGTCTTTACTTGAACTTAGTTGTTTTAACTCATGTGGTCATTGTAAGTTTGTTTTGTAGTTCTGTTTTTCCATCTTTTAATTTCTTTTCATGGTTATAACTGTTCTCTGTTTTATATGCATTATAACATGAAATAATAATAAAACTTTACAGAAAGAAATTTAAAAACTGCCAAGGCACTGGCAGGAAGGCCCCGTCCTCCTGCCTCAGGAGAGACAAATTCAAGCCTTTCCCCCAACTCACTACCTCCTCCTTCTCCTCCTCCTCTTTGCGCTCTTTCATCTTGAAGCCATAGTCGAAGCCGCTGCCATCCTCAGGAACGCCCAACATGTCATACCAGAGCTGGGCAGGCCCGTAGCGCCATTCGGCCACCTTGGGCCTGGTGTCAGCCACCTTGTCCGCATCTCCTGTAGACTGGGAGAACTTGGACTCCACCGGTGCCATCATGGTGATCTGGAGGACAAGAGGGTGTTGGAGGGTCAAGGGAGACGGAACTGGGATCATCCTGAGATGATGTCAAGGCAGGCGTCAGGGGCAAGTCAGAAATAACTAACAAGGTGCCAGTGAAGTTAGCTCTTTATTCAAAGAAACTAAGCAGCTCAGACCCAGTGAGCACAGCAACTCTTCCCAGTAGGTCTTGCCCCCATGAGGCAGTTGTGAAGACTGAAGGTCCCAGCCTTCCCACTGCTCTCTAAGGCCCCTCCTACCCCGGGTCCTTTCCAAGCAACCAGATACTTATCCAACTTATCTCTGCTTCGCCCTATTCATAGTTCTCTGGGTTCTGGGAGACCAGAGGTGCTGGTCACAGCAGGAGGGGGAGACCCCCCTGGCTTCTTCGGCAGCCTGCCTCATCTCTGCCTCTTAGCCCTCTCCTTTCCAGCCTCCACCTCTGCCTCCGATTCTGGGCTGCTCTCTGCCACAGGCTCTTCCTGCTCACTAAACCCTGTTGCCTCTTCAGCTTCCAACATCTCCTCCTACCAATCTGCTCCCTCTGACCACTCACTGTATTCCCAACACCACTACCCTGGCTCTGAGCCTTCTTCCCTTGGGGGTCCCCCAGCTGTTGCCTCTCACCGCTCCTCTGTCTCCAGCCAATCCATGACCAAAGACTCCAGCCACGCAGATTCATGCTTGGCATCTGCCTTACGGAGGCTGCCATTGCCCAGCCTGCCTTGTTACTATATCCAGCTGTTGTCGGCAGGGGGACAGTCCTACCGCAAGGCAGAGAGGAAGCCCCGCCCTCTCTCTTGGAGTAGGAACAAAGCCATGTGATGTGACACCCCACCCCACTTCTATCATCCTCTCTGCTCCTGAAGACTCACCTCGTCGTCTGAAAGGCACTGCTCCGGAGGAGGAGGCGGGGCATATTCGTACTCCCAGGGAGATTTCTCTTCCACAATTGTCTCGACCTCAGCTTCTCCATCCAGGATCTGCACTTCCGGAGTGACTTCCCGGTGCTTCTTCTTGCGCTTCCTGCGGGCGCTGCGCCAGACCGATGGGATGTTTTTCCCAGGGCCAAAGAGGCGCAGGAAGCGCAGCACCTAAGGGGAGAGGCAGAAGAAGAAGAAGAAGAGGAGGAGGAGGAGTTTGGATTTGATATCCTGCTTTATCACTACCCAAAGGAGTCTCAAAGCGGCTAACATTCTCCTTTCCCTCCCTCCCCCACAACAAACACTCTGTGAGGTGAATGAGGCTGAGAGACTTCAAAGAAGTGTGACTGGCCCAAGGTCACCCAGCAGCTGCATGTGGAGGAGCGGAGACGCGAACCCGGTTCACCAGATTACGAGTCTACCGCTCTTAACCACTACACCACACTGGCAGAGAGTGGAGGAAAGGTTGGGAGGCGCAAGCGACTGGCCTCTGGTCACTCAGCTGTGTCAAAGGCAAGTTCACATCTCTGGCTCACTGGAGAGGCAGCCCTCTGCAGATGGGGGTGCTAGACCAGGAGGAGGAGTGGGGGAGCCTCCTCAGCTTGGGGGACACACGCAGAGTTATTTATTCAGATAACTCCTCTACACTCACAGACACAAACATCCATTCTGTCAATGTAACAACCAGGCATGAAAAACCGCTATATAATAGGAGGCTTTTTCCAAGCCTAACTGCAGTGGGGCAGCATTTTCAGTAGCAGGGAAGGGCAGTTTTTTGGTGGGGTGGGAAGAGCTGCAATCCCCTCAACAAAAAAGTGCCCCTGTGGTGGATAAATACATTGATGCACCTTCTGAAAGATAGCTTACTGGCAGTAAAAGCAAGTGTGAAGAAAATATTGAGTGAAAGGGTGTTGTAAAAGAGCAGAAATGTCTGTAATGAGGTATGAAGGAATCTGCTGAAACTGACAGATAAATATTTGAATTTGCTATTCAAGCCTGTTCCTATGATGTTACGTTTGCTCTTCTGATAAGGCCATTGGTTGGTTTCCAGATTGCAATCCTGCTTACTATAAGACTTGATTCCTACACATGTGAAAATCTCAGATGAGGCTATGCCTTGACAGAAGCCTGGGTAACATATGCCTGTGAACTCCGCTTTTGTGGGTTCCCAGCGACCAATGTTGTCCTCACCTAGTGAAGCTGTATTAAACATCACAATTAATTTATTTTAGCATTTTATCCTCTGTATGTTTTTAAGTAGGGACGCGGGTGGTGCTGTGGGTTAAACCACAGAGTCTAGGACTTGCCGATCAGAAGGTCGGCGGTTCGAATCCTCGCGATGGGGTGAGCTCCCGTTGCTCAGTCCCTGCTCCTGCCAACTTAGCAGTTCAAAAGCACATCAAAGTGCAAGTATATAAATAGGTACCACTCCGGCAGAAAGGTAAACGGCGTTTCTGTGCGCTGCTCTGGTTCGCCAGAAGCGGCTTAGTCATGCTGGCCACATGACCCGGAAGCTGTACGCCGGCTCCCTCGGCCAATAAAGCGAGATGAGCGCCACAACCCCAAAGTGGGTCATGACTGGACCTAATGGTCTGGGTCCCTTTACCTTTACGCTTTTAAGTATGGCTCTGATTTTTTCCTCAATTTCGTTGTTTTACCTTTTTGCCCAGACAACAAGCCTCGCTGATGTGGGCCAAAGGAATGCAGAGCAATACATTTGGCACCAGCTTGGCTGCAGGTGTTGCTGGAAGGAGGCATACAACGTTCCAGCCAACCATGTTAGCAAATCCACCCCAGATTTGTGTAGGGCAGTGGAGGTTTAGGATCAGTCTTTTCTTTCTCCTACAAGGGGCTCATCAACCCGAGAAGGTAGCCCATCTGTTCTGCTAACTTATATGACATAAAGGAAATCAAGCACAGGGGGAGCCCTCCATCCTTTTAGCACAAAGCATGGCCTTTCACTCGGTCCCTGCCCCCCCCCCCGTCATTTTCTGCAGAGCCCTACCTTGCCTGGTCTGAACTCGGGGAACAGATCTGTGACACTTGGCAGCTGCTTGGTGGTATCCTGCTGCATTATCCCTGCAAGTGGCAGCGTAAGACTTCTGTCGCTGGACTCTGCCTTCCGCGAGTCCTGGGACCCCGATTCCGATTCAGAATCCGAAGAGCTGCTGAAGTCATTCTTCTCCAAGGTAGCAGATGAAGGGGCAATGATGGATGGAAGGATGATACCATCGTTGTCTTCAGACCCTGGAAGAGAGTACCTCTCAGAAAGGAAGGAAGGAAGGAAGGAAGGAAGGAAGGAAAGCTCTACTTCCTAACCTCAACATGACAGAAAGCTAACCCTGGGTCACATGCCTTATTCCCGGCATCAAAGACAAAGTGCAGTATTTCAAATGGAAGCCAGCATCTTGAAATTCTCAGCTTGCATTTTAAAAAGGGTCAAGTGAGTGGGAGGGGAAGAGACGCCAAGAGAATCCTCCTGGACACATCAAAAACTCCATGGACTCCGCACTCAGGGAGTTTTAAATTCTCAGATCCAATTCTCCTGCTTCCGGTAGATTCTACGGTTATTGAATAAATGAAGCACATTTGCATACTGCCTTATCACAAAGCTGAAAGCACTTTAAAGTGAAAAACCGCAAGCCAGAAAAAAGTACATCAAAATAAAACCACATTTTAGCTGAGGCAGCAACGTAAAAGGGAAATCCCAGATTAGGGTTGTATCCAAAGTGGCACTGTGTGAATGTTCTGCCAGCGCAAGGATTTCTGCTTCTGCAACGGAACATCTTACCCCTCTCCTCCGCTGATGTAGCCCCTCCAGAACAGACTGGGTGTGTGGGGTGCACATGGGGGGAGTTACATGGCACAAGCAAAAATTCCTATGCTAACAGAACAATAGGTACTGCTACACTGGATTCCACCCACTATTTTTCACTGTGTTTCTTTCAGACCTGGGATAGCTCAGTGGGTAGAGCATGAGACTCTTAATCTCAGGGTTGTGGGTTCGAGCCCGAGTTGGGCCAAAGATTTCTGCATTGAAGGGGTTTGGACTAGATGACCCTCGGGTTCCCTTCCAACTCTACAAGCCTATGATACTGCTCACCCCTGGGCCCTGCAAGGCTCAAAGGCATTTCCCAGGAGTACATCCTCACCAGAAGCACTTGCATCCTTTTCGTCCTCTTTTCTCATTGGCCCTGGAGGTGGTGGCGGGGGAGGCATCAGCTTAGAGTCAATATCTTCAGAGTCAGCATCATAATCGTCATCGTCATCATCTAAGGAAAGGAAGAAAAGAAAGGAGTGGTGGGCAGCCCTTCCATCACATCACAACTTCGGTTTATCGTCCCCGTTAAAAACCACCAGGATTAAACATTCCAAGAAAATCCAGGCACCCTCCATCATCCAAAACAGATATTCTATTTCCACCATCTGAACTAGATGGTAAAAAAGGTAAAGGTTTACCCTGGATGGTTAAGTCCAGTCAAATTCAACTATGGGGTGCAGTACTCATCTCTGCTTTCAAGCCGAGGGAGTCAGCATTTGTCCGCAGACAGTTTTTCTGGATGATGTGGCCAGCATGACTAAACCGCTTGTGGTGCAACGGGACACCGTGACAAGTGCATGGAAACGCCGTTTACCTTCCCACCGCAGCAGGTACCTATTTATCTACTTGCACTGGTATGCTTTCGAACTGCTAGGTTGGCAGGAGCTGGGACAAAGTGACAGGAGCTCACCTCGACATGTGGATTCGAACTGCTGACCTTAAGATCAGCAAGCCCAAGAGGCTTGGTGGTTTAGATCACAGTGCCACCCGCGTCCCATTTGAACCAGATGTACCAAGGATCTGAATCAATATAAGGCGGCTTCCTATATTCTTTTAATATAAAACACCCAATGGGTGTACAGTAAATTTAAAAACAAAGGGAATGTGACAGCACGTGACAGCAGCCACACCCCAGAATTGGCTTCAACTGGCCAGCTAAACCAGGCGAGGGTAGTTGACAGGTCTCAAACCCCTGGTTAGTTAGGGGCTTCCCATGCATGCGAAAACAGGCTCCGGCAGATTGAGAGGACAAGAACAATATGGGCCCAATAGTTTCTGCATATGCTGTAGAGAGGTGAAGAGCAGACGGGGCTGGTCATCCTGGTAGCCCATCTACCATACGTACTACCCTTCCTCTAACGCCCCATACACAGGATGCTAAACAAGAAGAGCAACGGGGAGCCAGGGCGAGTGTCAGGTTAGCAAGGACCAGTTGAAGAGGTGATGCAGCAAAGCCGCACTGCCGTTATCGGAGAGCGCTGCCTTTTCCTGGACAATTTGGCATCTAAAACATCTATCCGTGAGTACCTGATCTTGGAAGAGCTGAACCACTTTTAAGACTGGTGAATAAACAAATAATATTGGACTTGAAATTGAACTTAATTGGGACTCGGAATGGGAAGGTCTAAACAGGAAGTCGCCTTCCGTTCTTTTGTTATGTGAAGAAAGCAAAGACAAAATATACTAAAGCCTGAAAATTAAATTTTAAGAGAACTAGAATTCAACATCTAAGATTTCTAGAACCCCCTTTGACTGCAGGAGAAAAAGGGGTTGTATTTGGACTTTTCAATCCTGCGGAAGTGAGTTTAAAATAAAGCAATTTTCCACCGCCCTGAACCAGGAGCGGGCTGTCAGAATTGACGTTCTGAAGTTTATCCAGCTCGACAGTTAGTTAAAAGAAGGGTAACATTTTGATTCTACTGTTGCCTCTTGAATTTGGAAGGGGGAATTTTGGATAAAGTGTTTCTGGAAAAAGAAAGATTGTTGCTGTTGCTTTTATTCCTTTAAAAAAAAAAAAAAATTCCATCTAGTGGAATTTAGTGAAATTGCAAGGCAGAGTGATTACAAGAGAAGGACTCTTGGACTATTCTCGGGCGAAAGAATTTTCTTTGACCTTGAAGGACAATGCTAGTACAAAGGCTTGAACAATTGTTCCTGGAAGGTTTTCAAAACTAAGTGCCCAGCTGGACCAGATGCGTCAGGAGACGACCTTGATGATGGAAGTTACCAGAGCACAGCAGCAAACAAATGAAATTCAGTTAAAGGCTATACAAGCATATGAACCTGCTGTAGTGACGGAGGCTTCAGAGATGGAGGGACCTTTGGACGGGCAAGATCAGCCTTTGAACTTGATAAATGAACTTAGGACAAACCAGATTCGGAAAGATGAAATGTGGTCAGATTTGGAAATGGGGGATGGATCGACCCCCTCCATATGGTTATTTGGACCTTCCGAGTCTGGTGATGGGCTATCAGAGGATTGGAGTAGCCGAAGTCTCCAAGCTTTGTGGAAATTTGAAGTGGTATTATTTGCTGTCTGGCTTGGGCAATGGGTTTGGGATGGACTTGTTGCAAAGGGTCAAAAGCATTTTCTTGCTGGAGCATCCACGACTGGAAAGGAATCATCAACAAGAGTGGCGAAAGGGGCAAGAAAGAGACTTGAGGGCCTCGGATACGAGACAACCAGGTTAAGGAGCCGGATTACCGAGGTTAAAAGGACTGACAATCCCGGGTCCAGGGGAGGGAGGTTGGAAGCTGACTGGACTGAATTTGACTTATTATTTTTTCTTTTTACTTTTTAATATTGGGAATGCTTACAAATGTTTGAAGGATGTTGAATGAAATTACATGACTTAAGTAAGGATTGGTAAATGATTCGTAAAAGGTAATGATGCAAGAATTTGGTAAATATTGAATATAAGCTATGAGTTTTAAAGTTTTTATATGACAAGAGGGAAAATAGAATAAGGAAACGTAATGACAGATTGTTATGAAAAAACAGAAAGGATTTGCTGTAAAAATTAAAAATTAAGAAACAAAGAGGGGAGGAGGAGGAAGTCTAGAAAGGAAGTCAATAGAGATTGTAAAGGACTTTATATTTTTGTTTTTCGAAAGATCAGTTGTGACAAAGGAAAGCAGCTGTTGCCACCACCTACCTGCCCTCTGAACTGGCTGAAGGTTGCCCATTGCCTGCCGGTACCTGCGGCTCTCATCTTCAGCCACTTCGGTGATGTCAGAATAATCGACAGCATCCTCGGTGCTCTTAACCCAGCCTGGCGGCAGGGAGAGGAACAGGGAAGAACACAGAAAAATTACAGACCCAACAGGCCACACCATTTTTCTATCCCAGCTTCCGCACCCACGTTCAAGAATGATATTGCTCATCAGGGCAATACGGGTTTCAGCATATAATGCCAATTCTGGCCCCACTGCACTGACTGCCAGTTAGTTTCCGGGTCCAATTCAAAGTGCTGGTTTTGATCTATAAAGCCTTAAATGGCTCAGGACCACAATACCTCAAGGACCACCTCTCTCCATATGAACCTACCCAGACCTTGAGACGACTGTTGGAGGCCCTTCTAGGTATCCCTCCTCCACACAAGGTCAGGAGGGTGGCAACACAAGAACAAGCCTTTTTTCTGCAGTGGGTCTCTGCCCGTAGAATGCTCTCCCCAGGGAGGCTTACCTGGTGCCTTCATGATACACCTTTAGGCATCATGTGAAAGCGTTCTTCTTCAACCAGGCCTTTGGCAGATTAACATCTTATACCACTTTTACACAGGGTTGTGGGAGAGGGTATGGGGGGGTTCATTGGTTTGTGGTTTTTTGTTCTTGTTTTATTATGTATTTTGTGTTTTTATTTTGTATTTTAATGTTTGAACCACCCTGAGATCTATGGATGAAGAGTGGTATCCAAATTAAAATAAAATATTGTGCTATCATGGTGGTGCTGGACTTTACAGGCGGCTTGTAGAGGCTACTGCTTTGCTACTAAGTTCAGCCATTACTTGCAAACCCTGAGTAAGCAATGCCAGAACACTGAATTAACCAGCTGCACCTCTTTTTAAATGCACAACCAGGAGTCAGCCTTGATCCCTGAGAGAGCAAAGCCCTTATATCCTAGCCTTTCCCAACCTAGTGCCCTCAGTAAGCTGTTGCACCACAACTACCATCATCCTTGACCACTGGCCATCAGCTGGAGCTGATGGGGCTCCCAACAACATATGAAAGGCACTAGCCTGGAGAAAGCTATTTTGTCCCGGTCCTAAGACAAAAACATTCTCCTACCTTCCTCATCCAACTGGGCTCCGTCTGACTCAGAAGCATCATCTTCGCTGGCTGTGATTTCTGTTATGAGGCTCCCCAGACCCAATGCCCCAAGTCCAGCCAAATGTTTTTTTGACTCCTGGGGAGGGGACAGAAAGAAAACAGGATTTGGCTGGAAGCGGAGGGAAAGAACCTTAAGACCATACTGTGACCTTCCTCATACAAAGTAGATGCTCTAACTCAAACCGCTGTGCCTTGCTCAGAGATATGCACTAGTTGCCCATTTGCTACCGAGCGTGCTCCAGCTTCTGAAGGCTTCTGAAGCTGTGGGTCGCTGTTTCATGCTGAGCCAAGGACAGGAGATCACCTGGCTACTGGCCGGTGGGCTGGAGCCAGCTGGGGGCTTGCAAGTTGCCCCCGTTCCCTTGGAAGCATCCCAACAGCTTCAAAGTGTTACTCTGTTGGCATAAAGCCCTGAATAGTTTGAGACCAGTTTATCTAAAGGTCACTCTGCTCCAGTGTGCTGACTCCCCCATCCCTTCCCTGCTGCCTCCGTTCCCCTCCTCCCTCCCTCCCTCCCTCCCGCCATCTTCTCTTCCCTGCTCCAGCTTGACCCAGAACCCTCCCCTGTCACGACAGCTGGGCAGCCCTGCCCCCCCATCCCCATGGCTGGGCAGCCCCCAACCCGCCTGGGCAGCCCTCGCCCCAACCCCGGTGGCTGGGCAGCCCCTCGCTCCCCGTCTGGACAGCGCTCACCCCTCTCCCCATGGCTGGGCAACCCCCCCACACCCCCCATCTGCACAGCCCTAGCTGTCCCCCATGGTTTGGCAGCCCCCTGCTCCCCCATCTGGGCAGCCCTTGCCCCCCGTCCCCATGGCTGGGCAGCCCCCACCCCGTCTGGGCAGCCCTTGCCCCCCCTCCCCATGGCTGGGCAGCCCCTTGCTCCCCATCTGGACAGCCCTCACCCCCCTCACCATGGCTGGGCAACCCCCGCCCCCCCTGCCTGCACAGCCCTAGGCCCCCCCATGGCTTGGCAGCCCCCTGCTCCCCCGTCTGGGCAGCCCTCGGGCCCTGTCCCCATGGCTGGGCAGCCCCTCACTCCCCGTCTGGACAGCCCTCACCCCCCTTCCCATGGCTGGGCAACCCCCACACACACACCCGTCTGCACATCCCTAGCCCTCCCCCACCCTGCTCCTCTGTCTGGGCAGCAATCAGGCCCCGTCCCCATGGCTGGGCAGCCCCTCACTCCCGGTCTGGACAGCCCTCACCCGTCCCCATGGCTTGGCAGCCCCCTGCTCCACCGTCTGGGCAGCCCCCATGGCTGGGCAGCCCCTCACTCCCCGTCTGTACAGCCCTAGCCCCCCCCTCCCCATGGCTGGGCAGCCCCCCCCGCCTGCACAGCCCTCACCCCCCTCCCCATGGCTGGGCAACCCCACCTCCCGTCTGCACAACTGTAGCCCCCTCCCATGGCTTGGCAGCCCCCTGCTCCCCCGTCTGGGCAGCCCTCGGGGCCCCCCGTCGCCATGGCTTGGCAACCCCCGCTCCCCTCCCTTCCCGTCTCTCCTCCCGCGTGCTGTCCTGCACACACACACACACACACCTGGCTGGCCAGCCCCCACCGTTCCCAGCCCCCCTCCCCCGTTCAGCTCGACCCAACTAGCCAGTCCGCTGCCCCTACCTTTCCCCCGTGCCCCCCTTGTCCCGCCCCCATTCCAATTCGACCCAGCTTGACAGGTGTCCCCCTTTCAACTCGGCCCCTCCCACTGTGCCCCGCGCCCCGCCCCACTCCGCGCGCCCCCTTTACCTTGACACGGCTAGCTAGCCAGCCCCCCCTCTCCCTTCGTCCCCTGCCCCCCCCCCCGACCAGTAAGCCCCCACCCCCGAGAAGCGCCCACCTGGTCGAGGAGCCCCTCGCCCTCGAGCTGGCCCTGCTCGTTGATGTTGCCGAAGAGGAAGCCGGCCAGGGAGAAGGGCGCCGCCCGGCTCTCGCCGCCCTCGTCGTCCTCGCTGTCCGAGTCCGACATCTCCACGACGCAGCAGCAGCAGCCGACTCCGTTCCTAAGAGCGCCGCCGCCTCAGCCGCCTGCCTTTAAGTGTTTACGCCGGAAGCGGAAGCCGCCGCGACCATAAAAAGCACGCCGGAAGGGTAGAGCGGCGCTAGGAGGCCCCCCGGGCGAGTTCCGCATCAACCGCTACAGCGGCGCCTCTAGGATTCCATCGGCCGGCTTCTCTGTCGATGGGTCGCTTGACGTATCCGCCGCTTTCGCCGCGATCGGCTATGCCAAAGCGGTTTACGGCCCCGAAAACATTGGAATACGTCGGAAATATATCAACATGCAGAAGATGAAGTTCCAAAACAACAACAACACACAACCCGGCAAAAATTAACGATTTTGCAAACGCAGCATGAATATAAACTGTGTTCTTTTTACCCCTAACATTTTGTGAATCTTTGTACTTTTGTACAATTATTATATTTATTTTCCCCGATTTGAAGCATAAAATGGTGATTTTCTTGAGTCAAAATGAGAGTACCCCCTAAACATTTTTTTTTATAGAAAAAATGCACTGAATATAAACAAACAATCTAGGCTGAAGTACTTAAATATGTATAGCAAAACAAGAGTTCAAAGGCCAATGCAGTTTCTGGCAATTGTCCTTGCTCCGCTCCTGGCTTAAATATAGTTCAGAGGGGAGAGGTGGTAGACGGCATACAACTGGCTCCCACGGAGGGGGGGTTGTTAATGGGTTTTTTTATTTTGATTATATATGTTGTGGTTTTTATGTTGATCTTTTCTGTGAACCGCCTGAGACCTCTAGGTATGTTGTTGTTGTTTAGTTGTTTGGTTGTGTCCGATTCTTTGTGGCTCCATGGACCAGAGCACGCCAGGCACTTCTGTCTTCCACTGCCTCCGGGTATAAGACAGTATATAAATTCAACCAATCAATCAATAAAAATAGTACTCCCAGAGGAGGCTGGCAGCAGCAAAAGGCGACTATCAGGGAGGGCAAGGATGGTAATTCTCTTTCCCCAGCCTCCTGCAAGTAGTAGCTGCTGGTGCACATCTTACTGGGGTTGTTGTGTATGATCTTCCTAGCTCTGCCATATCTTTTTGTGGGGCAGGGTGTGTCATGGAATTCTACTCAATAGTGATCCAGAGTAGAATCCCAATGTATAGTTAGCAGAGAAAAACTTAAACACGTTGCAGAATTCCCCAAAAATAGACCAGAGGCAATTAATATTTCATCCAGCAGAGCTTTACTGCTACTGAAGGCAAATGAGCATAATGGTCACAAATCCAATACAGTCAGGATTGGCCCTGCCCATAAGAAATCCAGTTGCAGCAGACTTAACTTAAACTTACAATAACTTTTAATAAGTTTAAACCTTAACACTAAGCATACAATGTACAGAACACTACACCAGAAGGAAAAGAAAGAAAGAGAAAGACATAGAAAGAGAAACGCAGGCTCCTTCTGGCCTCTTATTACAGTATAGTCAGCATAACCTTGAAGAAGAGATAAGAGAGCCATTTTAAGCCAGCTGTACTCAGCTTCTCTGAAGGAGAAAGATGATTCCACCTAAACATTAGGAAGAACTTCCTGACAGTAAGAGCTGTTCGACAGTGGAATTTGCTGCCAAGGAGTGTGGTGGAGTCTCCTTCTTTGGAGGTCCTTAAGCAGAGGCTTGACAACCATATGCCAGGAGTGCTCTGATGGTGTTTCCTGCTTGGCAGGGGGTTGGACTCGATGGCCCTTGTGGTCTCTTCCAACTCTATGATTCTATGATTCTATGATTCTAGGAATAATCCTTTCGACTTGACAGCTCAGGGAAGATACCTAGCTTTATAAATTTGTAGAAAATCCATACTTCATCCATCCATCCACCAACCGGCTCTCCTCATTCCAATGCCATTTTAACCCTTAAAGAAAGGTGAATTTGGGCTCCACCTCCCTCCATGAACCAAGAAGCAGGGAGTCACATAGGCAGCAGGAACAGGGCATCCCACCATAATTCCCCAAGTGTGAGAGCACATACACAGCACCCCACCCAAGGAGTGACCAAGGGGGCAAGAATAGACATCCGCAGAGGCAGTTTAGCAAGTCAGGTGTTCTGAAAGCCCATCTCCAGACAAGTCCTGAGGGCAAGGATATGTAAAGAGTTTTATCGTTCTTTCGGAGATGGGTACTTAAGAGGTGTTAGAAAAGGTGTCTGATAAAGTGACCTAACGTTGAACTTGTGTAACCCTTGTATAAAGGTAAAGGTAAAGGGACCCCTGACCGTTAGGTCCAGTCGCGGACGACTCGGGGTTGCGGCACTCATCTCGCTTTATTGGCCAAGGAAGCCGGTGTACAGCTTCCGGGTCATGTGGCCAGCATGAGTAAGCTGCTTCTGGCGAACAAGAGCAGCGCACGGAAATGCCGTTTACCTTCTCGCCGGAGCGGTACCTATTTATCTACTTGCACTTTGACGTGCTTTCGAACTGCTAGGTGGGCAGGAGCAGGGACTGAGCAACGGGAGCTCACCCCGTCGCGGGGATTCAAACCTCCAACCTTCTGATTGGCAAGTCCTAGGCTCTGTGCTTTAACCCACAGTGCCACCTGTGTCCCTCCTTAACCCTTGTATACCCTTCCCCATTTGTGACATGCTAGTTATGTAGTGATGATGTATCAATGATGCTGCTCCAAGCGTATTCTGGGGGAAAGAGGGAAGTTTTAAAAGAGGATGTCACCCCAAGCTTGGGGTTCTTACTCCTGTGGGGACCTGTTGCACAACAATAAAGATCATGATATACTGACCATTGTTTTGCTCCAAATTACTTGGCTGGAACTTCCTTCTTTTACTGACCACATAGACCTACAGGGGACTTCCACCCTGACAAGCTGGGCTGTTGAGTAGTCTCTCACCCCGGAATTTTTTCCCTTAACACAGAGAAGCTCCCAGAACCCCCTTGAATTAATTAGAATAGGAAAGCTCTCTACACATCAGATCAATACCTTCTGCACTAAGAAATACAAACTGATGGGGTGATCCAACCTTTTCGATCCGCCTTCCCAGTGTGAACAGAATGGGAGACTTTGGCAGAGACCACTCTCTTATAATTTACATTGGCTCATGAGTCCCAGTTACCTGGGATCTTGTCTTGCCCATAGTGTTGGGGTCCGCTAATCGGACCCAAACTGCCTTGGTCACTGAAAAGCCAATAAATGCTGTAGATAGAAGAGATTCCCATAATCACTTGTTTATTCAACTGAGTAAAATAGAGCGGGCTTTTTTTCATACTTTTTATAGGCATCCCCCCTCCCTTTCCCCCTTTCAAGGTTCCTTGCACTGATCAAAACAGGACACCCTGCCTGGAGACCTTGAAGGGGAGTGCCTGGCAGAGGGAGGTTTCCTTGAAAATCGCCTAGCAACGTTATCTGGTCTTCACATATTTGTGGCTCACAGATTCTAAAGCAGGCAGTTTTTTGTACAGAAGCAAAATGGCATCAAGGCTAACAAAAAAACAGGACAAGAACAGGCCTCTGCGGCTTTTCCTGAGACCCCACAATAAGAGGTTGCAGGCAAGATCCATTTGGAGAGAAACTGATGGAGCATCTGCTGTTCTTCACATGAGGAAGTGGGGCAGGATGGTGAAAAAGGACTATTGTGAACATCCCAATCTCTAGGGGTGCCTGTGCTTACCCCAGGTTCAGTTTCCTTGGAATGAAGACTGTGGTGTCTTCAGGATACAGTGGTACCTCGGGTTACATACGTTTCAGGTTACATACGCTTCAGGTTACAGACTCTGCTAACCCAGAAATAGTGCTTCAGGTTAAGAACTTTGCTTCAGGATGAGAACAGAAATCGTGCTCCGGCGGCGCGGTGGCAGCAGGAGGCCCCATTAGCTAAAGTTGTGCTTCAGGTTAAGAACAGTTTCAGGTTAAGTACGACCCCCGGAATGAATTAAGTACTTAACCAGAGGTACCACTGTATTAGGCTTTGTTTGCACCTAGATACTAGGATAGAAGCTTTCACTGCATTAACCCTCCAACCAACCTTGCTTCCCCATTAGTTTCCCCGGGATGCCAAAGTCTAAACTTTGGGTCTATTTTTCTTTTTTTTTAAAAAATACACCAAAACCCTATTAATTGATTTTTCACAAAAAATTACAAATTGTAACATAAACCATAAGTTACTTTATCTGTTGACTTCCTGGCCTCCCCTCCTATGGTTTCCATATTTACCCTCTTTAAAAATATATATTTTTATCAAAATAATTGCAATTATAAAGAAATATAGTGATGCAAAGGGGGGGGAGAGGGGAAGTGAGGGGGGAGAACAAAGATGCATATAAAGAAAGAAAGAAAATCATATACAAAAATGCAATATAATATACTCCCAAATATTCCTACATAAATTTATAAAGTATTGTTTAACTTTGAATGCTGCATATTTCTCCTATGCTATTCAACACATCCATTTTAACCTATCTTAATAATTATACAGTGTTGCTCTTATTTCAAGTCCTGCTCGCATTTTCATCTTGATGTTTTAGTTAAAAGTCCCCAGTCCCCAAAGTCACTGGGATGTTGTGGGTCGATACTGCGGGTGTCGCCGTCAGTGAGGCTCCTTTCCCAGCAGATGACATTCTCCTTGCATCTTCCTGTTTTCGGAGGCTGCCTCTCAGGCTCCAGCTGATAGGCCGCCATTTTTCATTGTGGTTTCATCGTTTCATGCAGGAAAGACAGAAAGGAGATTTTGTTAGGAGAGTAAAGATAAAGGGACCCCTGACCTTAGGTCCAGTCGCAAACGACTCTGGGATTGCGGCACCCATCTCGCTTTATTGGCCGAGGAAGCCGGTGTACAGCTTCTGGGTCATGTGGCCAGCATGAGTAAGCTGCTTCTGGCGAACAAGAGCAGCGCACAGAAACACCGTTTACCTTCCCGCCGGAGCAGTACCTATTTATCTACTTGCACTTTGATGTGCTTTCGAACTGCCAGGTTGGCAGGAGCAGGGACCAAGCAACAGGAGCTCACCACGTTGTGGGGATTTGAACTGCCGACCTTCCGATTGGCAAGCCCTAGGCTCTGTGGTTTAGACCACAGCACCACCCGTGTCCCTTTGTTAGGAGGGTACTAAATATCATTAGCATTAGACCCTCTTGTTGCCCCATAATACCGTACTTTCCTGTGTATTAGACGAGGTTTTCTTTACTGTAAAATATAGTTCAAAACTGGGGGTTGTCTTATACATGGGTAGTGGGATCGGTTGCTGCCGCTAGCTGGAGATTGTCAGTGGCTATTGGCCGTGTTATTTTTGGCTTGTTGTACACGCTCATTGGTCCTGTGGGTGAGCGATTTTCGGCAACAGTTCCCCCTAAAGAAAGCTCAACAACTCTGGGTAAAAGGGTAAAGGTAAAGGGACCCTTGACCATTAGGTCCAGTTGTGACCGACTCTGGGGTTGCGGCGCTCATCTAGCTTTACTGGCCGAGGGAGCCGGCGTACAGCTTCCAGGTCATGTGGCCAGCATGACTAAGCTGCTTCTGGCAAACCAGAGTAGTGCACGGAAACACCGTTTACCTTCCCGCCAGAGCAGTACCTATTTATCTACTTGCACTTTGATGTGCTTTCGAACTGCTATGTTGGCAGGAGCAGGGACCGAGGACGGGAGCTCACCCCATCGCGGGGATTCGAACTGCTGTCCTTCTGATCAGCAAGTCCTAGGCTCTGTGGTTTAACCCACAGCGCCACCCACGTTCCTACTTAAAAACCTACAGAGGATAAAATGCTAAAACAAATGAATTGTGGTGTTTAATACAGCTTCACTAGGTGAGGACAATATTGGTCGCTGGGAACCCACAAAAGCGGAGTTCACAGGCATATGTTACCCCGGCTTCTGTCAAGGCATAGCCTCATCTTAGATTTTACATGTGTAGGAATCAAGTCTTATAGTAAGCAGGATTGCAGTCTGGAAACCTGTGGCAGAAGAGATGCAGAATTTGGCTTTGGGGGACTCTTTGCTGTTAGTGGGAGGACACTTCCCTCTGGGGTGGACACAAAGCCAAACACTCGGCAGAAACCAAGCCGGGGTCTCCTTGCTCCACCCATCCTGTGCCAATCCCCCTCACCTCGCTGCAGATGGCTGCTTCTTCTTGTGGCATTCTGGCAACATCTTTGTTGTTGAGAGCAGTGGTGATGTTTTCCACCATGGGAGGGTTCCATAGCCAGCATCACTTTCCGAGAGCCTGGAAATGGAGAACTAGATCTTACTAAGGAAGGGGAAGACACCACAGAAAGCAGACAGGGGCACAGTCCTATCCCGTGCCTTGAGCTCCGTTTGCCATACTATTGGGAGCTCACGGTGTTCTTCCTCTTACTTCACCATGGTAGACAACCCCTGGCTGAAGGTCACCGTCTGAAAAGCTGGTCTACGATGGCCATCTCTGGTTGCTCTCCAGTGGTGCCGAGAAGGAGATGGAGAAGCTCCTTAGCCCCTCTGTAACCAAAGCAAGGCCAGTATTACCAGGAAGGTCATTGCCACAGGCTTTGGAGATCGGGGATCTTTTTTGGGGCAGGGGACCCAACAGCTGCTCTGAGCAGGATAGCATCAAAAGATCCTTGTTTTCTGTACTGTTTGGTATTTGATTATTGTAAGCCAGAGAACCAAGAACCAAACTGGAAAACCACATTTACGAGGCTACCCCAGAAGTTACCATATTTTTTGCTCTATAGGACGCACCAGACGATAAGACGCACCTAGTCTGGAGGGGAGGAAACAAGGGGGGGGAATTCTGAATCCCAGAAGCCAGAACAGCAAGAGGGATCTGGCTTCTGGGATAGCCTCTTGCTGTTGTGGCTTCTGGGATAGCCGCTGAAGCCTCTCCCGGGCAGCGGGATGAAGGCTCCCCCTGCCTGGAAGAGGCTGCGCGTGGGTAAGCTGCCCCCTGTACCTTCCCCCATCTCCTGCAAGAACCGTGCGCTCTTTAAAGGGAGTGCGGTTCTTGGGGGCTTTTCTGGGAAGTGGGGGAAGGGACAGAGCCGCGCGCTCTGTCCCTTCCCCCCCACTTCCCACAAGAGGAGCCTTCGTCCTGCTGCCCTACGGAGGCTTCGCGGGGGCTATCCAAAAGCCAGAATAGCTAGAGGGAGCGCTGCACAGCGCTCCATCTCGCTGTTCTAGCTTCGGGCTTAGCCACTCCATAAGATGCACACACATTTTCCCTTACTTTTTAGGAGGGAAAAGGTGCGTCTTATAGAGCAAAAAATACGGTAACTTTTCCAGAAATGGTGAATCATGCAGATCTGCCTTGACATGCAAACAGGATCAAATTCCGTCCCCATCCTTGCTCCCTGGTAGTCACCTGACGGACAGTCTCCTTTGGAAAACCAGGCTGAAATGGAAACCCCCAGAGGTCGAAGGAGAAAGGATTCCATTGGCCCCTTTGTGACACACTACTCACTTGAGGAATTCCTGGTCGTAGAGGAAGTTGGAAATCGTCTCCAGGAGAGCTATCAGCAGCTGTGGGAAGTGATGGCGCACATCTGCCTTGTATTCCTCCATCCCAAGGATGGTGTGCAACAGGCTGGTCAGATGTTGCTGGAAGAGAGAGGTGCAAGTCACTTTCCTGCATTTCTTTGCCCTGAACTAGGATGCCACACACTTCTGCCCTGCTCCGCTGGCCTACCTGGTAGATAGTGTGCCAAGACAAATCTCCAAGTCCAGAAGCCAATCCACACAACGAAGTCCCAAGTCCAAAGATCAGGAAACGCAGTCCGGGGTCAGTCCAAGTAACCCAAGATAGGTAAGCCAAGAAAATTGCAGTGGTACTTTGGTTCTCAAATTTAATCCGTTCCAGAAGCACATTCCAAAACCAAAGTGTTCCAAAACCAAGGTGCACTTTCCCATAGAAAGTACTGTAAAATGGATTAATCCGTTCCAGACAATTAAAAACAACCCTTAAAACAGAAATTTAACATGAATATTAGCATCTAACGAGACCGTTGAGCCATAAAATGAAAGCAATGAACAATGTGCCGTACTGTAAAATCAATAAAAAAATATTGTTGATTTAAAAAATTGAAAATGTGCTTTTTTCTTACCTGAACTGATGATAGTCATTGTTTGGATGGGGGGCGGGGGTCAGGGTCCTCTTCCAAAATCTCAATCAGTGACTCCTCTCCTGCCATTCCTTCGTTTGCTTTTTTTAATACCACTAACACCTGGTTCAGATTCACTGGATCTTTTCCTCACCGAAGTTTTTTCAATTGAGAATTGTTTTTGCCAATGTTTTAAAATTTGTCTGAAGTGAGACATAGCGTTATCATTGAAAGTGTTAGTGGCATGACTAACAGCAGCTTTATCGGGGTGATATTTTTCGACAAAAGTTTGCACTTCGGCCCATTTGCAAACATTTCTTTGATCACTACAGTAGATACACTCTCTCTGCTCCTCTCCTCCTTTGAAAATATTTCCTCAGTTGCCACCTGTCGCTGCTCTATCAGAAAGTTTTGAAGTTCTTCTGTGATGAGCTCAGTCTTGTGCTCCTCCACTAACTCCTTATCATCACCACTCACGTCTAAGCCTATGGAATTTCCCAGAGACACAATATCCTCCACCATAGGTGCATCCTCTTCAACAGCCCTACATACCTTATATCACAGCTACAATTATTACCGTATTTTTCGCTCTATAGGACGCACTTTTTCCCCTTCAAAAATGAAGGGAAAATGTGTGTGCGTCCTATGGAGCGAAGACACCATAGCCCCGCGACCCTCTCCCGGCTGGAGAGGTGACGTGTGGCTATGGAAGGAGCCTCTAAACCCCCGTGTCACCTCTCCAGCTGGGAGAGCGCGCGCGGGGCTAAAGCAGCCCCCCGCGACCCTCTCCCGGCTGGAGAGGTGACACACGGCTATGGCAGGAGCCTCTCCGCTGCGCCTTTCCGCTGCTCCCTGACCTGCTCTTTGGGGCTGGTGGTGGGCTTCCCCCCGCCAGCCCCAAAGAGCAGGTCAAAAGGAACCTGAAGCCTGGAGAGCGAGAGGGGTCAGTGCACACCGACCCCTCACGCTCTCCAGGCTTCCAAGGTAGCCGCCTGAACGCACCTTAAACGGCACCTTGTTTTAGAGCGGGAAAACAAGAGGGGGAAAGTTCTCCCCCTCTCTGCCCAGCGCCTCCTGCCACTTCGCTGAAGGGGCGCTGGGCAGAGAGGGGGAGATTTTTTTTTCCTTGTTCTCCCCCCTCTAAAACAAAGTGCATCCTATTGTCCGGTGTGTCCTATGGTGCGAAAAATACGGTAACTTCAATTCGCATTAACACATATAATCATTTGTAAATTCGCAAGTGAAGTTCTCCTTTCTTCTTCCTGTGTGAGGTTTTAATTTCCACCAATTGTTCCTCTAATTCTTTATCAAATATTACGTTCCTATTAGTTATGCCTGATCCTTTTGTGCCTTACAGCTTTTTTGACTCGAAGTTACTCTGGAGAAATCTCTGTCTTTGTTCTCAACTCTTCTGATTGCAGCTGTAAAATTCCACTTTTGATTTCAGGCAAGGAGTCACCCAACGACCTGCCAAAGCCTTGGCAGGCCTCCAAATTCTCCCCTCCACGTCCCATCAAAACAATTATAATTATCTATAGAAGAATGATCTAGTGTCCTGCCAGAGCTATGGCATGTCTTCAAAGTTCAGTCCCTCCTCCCCTCAATCAAGTGAGAAATTAACTCCGCAGAGGCTCCAAGTCATTTCTATAATTATTCCAAACAATATTTTCCTCACACAGTCCAGTTTCTCATTATAATCCATATCTGTACTCCCATCTCCTTTCTTCTTCACTTGCTTTAAAGAACAAAGTTTTTGGCATTCTTGAGGGGTTTGCCGAGTCATTTATGTAAGTAAGGATTTATAATGAAGTGATTGGCTCCCCCCACACACACACACAAAACATACCATCTTGTTACTTGAATGAAGTCATCTTTCCAATTTAAATCTGTACGACCTTGTAGCTGTTTTGATTTGGCAGTCCATAATCTTGTCCCATCATTAACAGCATGTGTCTGTGCATTAATCCTAATTAAACTCTTAACGAGCAGAAGAACCGCTGCTCTTAATGGCGGCATTGGAGGGTTACAGAGAGGTGAAGTGCTTTTGCACCCAGCGTCTCCCTGCCTCTCACATCCATGTCGGAGCAAAAGCCAGGTAAATGTAAAGGGACCCCTGACCATTAGGTCCAGTCGTGACCGACTCTGGGGTTGCGGCGCTCATCTCGCTTTATTGGCCGAGGGAGCCGGCGTACAGCTTCCGGGTCATGTGGCCAGCATGACTAAGCCGCTTCTGGCGAACCAGAGCAGCGCACGGAAATGCTGTTTACCTTCCCGGCAGAGTGGTGCCTATTTATCTACTTGCACTTTGACGTGCTTTCGAACTGCTAGGTTGGCAGGAGCAGGGACTGAGCAACGGAGTTGGAGTTGCGCCAGCCTGTGTAGGTGCCGCAGAAGAAGGGGAAGCAGCCCATCAGGTAGTTGTTGATTTCAGCCAGTCGGGTGCCCCCCGGCGGAGTCCCGGATTGCCATGGTGATCAGCACGATGTACAAGTAGGGAGGCTTCGGGCGACGCATGCAAGGCTTCCCCAGTGCTGTTTTTGTGTTGCTGGGCGAATGCTCCGAGCCTTGCTGCGGAGAGGCCCCGATGCCACTGGCCAGACTGAGGGCGGCGCAATCGCTGTTGAAGCCCAGCGCACTGTCGCCAGGCAGCAGCGATGACACACTGCTGCTTTCCTGATCACTACTGAGCTTGTCCTCGTAAGAGGCGAAGATCTCCAGCTTCATGGTGGCGCCTCCAGCCGTAAAGGGGCCCAGCTTGGCTCCCCTCACCCACAGTGTTAAGTTGTGGGTGAACATATCAGATGACACAGCGATTCTTCAAAAAGCTCTTGTTTATTCACAGGCCAGAACAGAACTGAACTGAAGGGTTCAGCCAGCCTGCTTATATAGAGCTCCACTAGAATGCAACAGTAACCATTTTCTGTAGCTATCCAATCACTGAATGTCACTTTTGATCCCTTATTTGCATATGTGGACCTGAGTGAAAAGTATCCCCCTGCTGGCCCAGGGTGAGAACTTCAGTACATAACACACAGGTCTCTTCTTCCTCAAGGATAATCAGTGGGCCTTCCGAGCGCAGCAATGGAACGCTGTAGGCTCAGATCTCCAGGGGGAGGGGACGCTAACAAAATCAAAACCAGCGCATTGCACTCCTAGCATGCGTGGAGTCGGCTGGTTTTCAAGTGTTTTCTCTTGGCAGTCCTCGATGGTGCGTTGCTGAGCAAAGCCAGCCTCTGCTGGCTTTCCCCCCCAGATGGTGATCCATGGCGGCGCTTGTCAGACTCAACTACGCTAAATTTGGGGGCACTGGCAGATCTCTGCACCCCGGAGGCGCATATGCTAAAGACAGCCCTGGCAGTGATTGAGCTTCAAGGCTTTATGGAGGCCTCTGGAGCAGACTGCGGAGACAAGAGAAAGGGTCTGGTTTATATACAGTTCAGCCAGCCCCCTGGCGACACCCACCTTGTGCACGATTGGCTGCTTTGCGCCAGGCAACGAATCACAGTGCAGGTTTTAGAAGCCTGGTCCACCTTGTATTGCAGATTCCAGCTCAGAGCAGGAGACGCTAAGGAACGAACAAACATACAGAACACCTGACACCAACCACTTTCATTGGAGCAACATAGTGCAAGGCTTCTGTGTTGCCCCACAGGCTGCCAAGGTCTGAAGAAGACTGAACTGTGGTGCTGTGGTCTAAACCGATGAGCCTCTTGGGCTTGCCGATTGGAAGGTCGGCGGTTCGAATCCCTGGGATGGGATGAGCTCCTGTTGCTCTGTCCCAGCTCCTGCCAACCTAGCAGTTCGAAAGCATGCCAGTGCAAGTAGATAAATAGGTACCGCTGCGGCAGGAAGGTAAATGGCATTTCTGTGCACTCTGGTTTCCATCACGGTGTCCTGTTGAGCCAGAAGCGGTTTAGTCATGCTGGCCACATGACTTGGAAAGCTGTCTGTGGATGAACGCCGGCTCCATCAGCCTGAAAGCGAGATGAGGGCCGCAACCCCTTAGTCGCCTTTGACTGGACTTAACCGTCCAGGGGTCCTTTGCCTTTACCTTTTTTAATACAGCCTTCAAGTTTCTTTGGAGCAACACGGCAAGGCCCCTGCTGCAGGACTGGGGAACCTCTGGCTCTCCAAAAGTGTTTGGCTGCTGGGCCCCAGTGGTCAGGAATGATGGATAGCCCCACGTCTTCAATCCCATCTTAAAGTGAGGGGGAAGGAGGCAAGGCTCCTTTTTGCGTGTGACATTCCAAATATAACGAGGGGTGCAAAATATGTCAAGGGAATCAGTGGGTATTATAAGAATTTTAAGGTCTCAAATATAGAATAAATATTCATAAATGCACACATATCTAAATATATAAACCATGTATCTGAAATAGTATGGGAGAGCAATCCTGAAGCCATTTGGACTTTCCCAATGACCTCAAATATTCCTCTGCAGTAAGGGAGGCAAATGGGGAAAGCCTTCCCATTGTCTTTTCATTTACAAATCCTGTCTTAAGGGCGTCTTTGTGTATGAATAGGGTGAGCCTGTGACCTGGACTCAGGAACACTAAAGTATTAACCATAAAAAGAAAGGCTAGGGAAAGGCTAGGCTCTCCTGTTTCCGGCGGTGGGAAATGGCGGACTGCCACACGATCGGACTCCAGCCGTTCTGATAATTCAGGGCTGATATAGGGGTAATTAGCCCTGGCAGCCTCCCCAGGGCAGGGGAGGACTGTCTCGATGATCCACGGTTTGCCCCAGATTGCCGATGTGGCAGACAGCAGGGGCACTGGGTCACGGAGCAAGGGACGACTGACACTCCTGCGATGCCACCCCATAGCCGGATGCATCTGTTTGGGAAAATATAAAGATTTGGAAAACAAACAGACACGCTCTGAACTGACGAAGCTGGGGAAAAACCTGCATGATGTACAGTCTCTGGTGTAAAAGATCAAACTTCAAAGAGATCCTCATCATGATGTTTGGAATCCGGAGGGGCTTTGTATGTTTTTCTTCTTCTTCTAACATTAACAATTGGTTTTGCATGCCAAGCCTCATTAAGAACCCAAATTGCTTTTTAAAAAGTGAGCCCAGATGGACTTTTATATATAATTGGGACTTATTTGCAGCCGCTTTTCTTTTAAGATTTGAAATGCCTGTTAAAGACGAAAACAAAGAACAAAATGACACCTACCCACTACACAGTTACGGAATATCTGAAATACCTCCCTGATTAAGAGAAACAGGAGCTAACCGATGGCTGGTTATAAAGATTGGAGACAATATTAAATATGCAACTGCTTGCAAAAAGAATTTTTTCATTATGAGGGAGAGAAAAGGCTAAATGGATGTCTGGCAGCTCTCCTCCAGGGCCCGGAGGGGGGACTCGGTGGATTCCAAAGACTAATTGATCATCATCTCTGATATATGGCTACATAACAAGCAGTTTGCTTAAGAATAAATCAACAAGCTTTGAAGAAGGTTTTCTTCTGTTTCTCTGATAACAGCTGGATGGGAAAGACTAACGATTTGGGAGTTGCCAAAATAATAATCTTTAAAGAGCTGGACAGAAGCCTGGAATGGAGGCAATTAGATGAAGCAATCGAAGAACAAAAACAGTTGAAAGAGTACAACACACTGGCAAGATGGGAAAAAAGCATTCGCCTTCCGACATGATTGAGGGTCACAGAGCCAGAGACAAACGTGGAGGATAAAATCATGATAAGGAATTATGAAAACATCTATGATAAGACGCAGGACTATGATGTAGAAAACGCTTTGGAATTCAGACCGTGGGGAGTCAAAAAAATTAAGATTACAATTTGGAAGACAATTGGACTTTTTTAATTTTAGTTTTTTATTGGATTGGATTTGATATGTTAATTGGATGTTCTTATTGGAAAATTAATAAACGCTTAAAAAAAAAAAAGAATGGCTAGGCTGCCCAGGTAATGCAATCAGCAACTATTATCAGGTATCCTGGCAGGCAGGATTTCTGCTGTAGATTGCCTCCTATGATGTATGTATGATGATTTTGGGGTGGTCTTTGGCTAAGGGGGTTGAGCAATGCCAGAAGTCTTTAAAGGTTCCTGCACACTTTGGTTCAGGGTCTCTCGCTCCTTGTAAGGAGGTGAGGGAATTCTGTTGCAACAGAAAAATAAAGATCTGCCTTGCTTTCCACTGGAACCTTCCTCCATCCATTTTTCTCTGACCTGTCATGGACGTAGGGGACTCAGAGTCCCATGGGGAGTTGGGCAGCAAAAGCCAAACCCCAATTTTTACATCACTATCAATGCCCCAGATGCACCCGAAGGCGATGGTTAGCTCCCAGTTCCTCTTTCCCAGGAAAGCTCAAAACAGCAGAATGAGCAACCTCAACAAGAAACTGAAATTTCTAGGCATTACTTGTCCAAAAATGGAAAGAAGAAAAAGTCCCAGCAAAGGAAGAATGGATACAAAAACTTATGGAATATGCAGAAACGGTGAAACTTACCGGAAAAATAAGAAATCAAGATAAAAGAATGGAAATGGTTTATTGAATATTTATCTGTAAACAGATAAGGACATTGGCAGGATTATTGTAATAACCTGCAGTTTTATAAGAGTATATATTTAAAGTAGATGAATAAATGAGTAAATTAAGTTAATGTGGAATATGCAGAAAATATAAAAAATAAATTTAAGGAACTGCAGAAAGAGGGGGAAGGAAGTCAAGTTTTGAAATGTTAAAATGATTGTAAAATTATTGAAATGTATAAAACTGAAAATCATAAATAAGATGATGATGATGATGATGATGATAGTAATAATAATAATAATAATAGTAATAATAATAATAATAATAGTAATAATAATAATAATGCTGGAGGAGACTCTTGAGAGTCCCTTGGACTGCAAGAAGATCAAACCTTTCCATTCTGAAGGAAATCAGCCCTGAGTGCTCACTGGAAGGACACATCCTGAAGCTGAGGCTCCAATACTTTGGACACCTCATGAGAAGAGAAGACTCCCTGGAAAAGACCCTGATGTTGGGAAAGATGGAGGGCACAAGGGGAAGGGGCCGACAGGGGATGAGATGGTTGGACAGTGTTCTCAAAGCTACCAGCATGAGTTTGACCAAACTGCGGGAGGCAGTGGAAGACAGGAGGGCCTGGCGTGCTCTGGTCCACGGGGTCACGAAGAGTCGGACACGACTAAACGACTAAACAACATTAATAAAGAACAAACTGAAGTTTCTATGACCTTGCACTGCAAAATAAGCTATGGACTGCCCTTTATAGCACTATGACCATGGGTGGGAAAGAGGCACTGTCCTCTTCAAGATCCACGATAATCCTCTACAAAAGGGGCAACACATTGAGAACCCCTTACATGTGATTTATGTCCCTGCGCACTACTGCTTCATGCCCACAGATGGCAGTAAACTTTTTTTTTTTAACCCTCAATCCTGTGCATGTTTACTCAAAATTGAATCTTGCAGAGTTCAACGGGACTTTGGGTCCATAAGAGATGCAGGAGATCCATCTTTGACTTTGGAGGAGGGGAGTTAAAGCAGCCATGCCGGGGGGTGGGGATAGGATCCCACACGTTGTTGTCAGAGAGCAAGGATAACCTTTCCCACACTAGGTCCATGCCATTTTCTAGATTCACCACCTCCACCCAATGCTATGAATTGGGTAGTGGAAAAATACAGGCCCCATTGTGGTACCTGAGTGTGATGTGTGGGGTCTTTTTTTCCC